GATGGCTCATTCGATGCTGCTGGCATGCAGGCCTGTGCAGGTACCTGCAGCACAGTACGTGGTCACCGGCCACAACGTTGGCCCAGGTGGAAGCTCGACAGTCGCCCACGGCCAGCAAATGGGAGACGGGGACGATACAGCAGGCGAAGCCACTAATGCCGGGCAATGAAGCAGCAGCCAAACACGACGAGGATGCAACGCCAGCTCTCCAATATACTCGGCACGGCCTGGAGAAGCCCCGCACCGGGCCCCCGTTGGCCATCGGCTGACCCCACAGCCTGAGCAGAGCCGGCCGGAGCCTTTCGATTTCCATTACCCCCAGCTTTCTCAGCCGACGTTTCCATTACCCCCAGGTTACATGATCGTACCCCGGAATTGCGTCTGCTTGATGGGCTGCCGGAGAGTCTAGATGGTGCTAACTGTGCTGCTGACCTCGAGTGCCAAGTCTGCCGCATATTAGGTATCTGCATGGACGGAGCACGGAGGACGACTCGGGAGGGGAGAACCTGGAACCTTGCATCAGCCATGTCCATCCGGGTAAGTAGGCGTTTCTGTACCTGGCAATGGCGCAAACGCGGCCAGCACGAGCCGCAGAGGGAGCAGACACGCACCCAGACGATGACATTGGGCTGGTCGATCGCGGAACCTGCAGTACTTGGGAGTACAACAACGCCTGATCTCTCGGTACCTCTTACAGCAGTTGTACGCACGCAGGAAGTCCTTGGTGCCGTAATCTGCAGGTAATGGAAATTGTCAGGTTTGTGGACACAGTGCGCCACGCCGGACGATTTACGAGTTAAGTGCCAGCAACAGGTCAGGTCGCATGGGCGAAGCAGAGCTGGTCATTGATCCTTTCGTCTCTGCTGCGTCGTCTGCAGGGGCTGCTTCTCTCGACTCCTGGGACAGCTTTCCCCGGGGAAAAGAGAAAACAAGCTAGTCAACGTCCTGGGACGTAAGTACGGCAGGGCGGTTGCTCGTCCAGCCATCGAGCTCCCTCCCGTCCGTACAGTAGTCTCGGCTGAGAAAATCTGGGGGAGCACAGCGCCGTCTGAACGTCTCCGCCGCGCCTCCAGTCGACTGCCATGCCTGACGGGGACGGAGCCGCCTTGCTTCCTTGGCGGAGAGTCAGGGCTGCGGCCACCTGTTGGCACATCGTGGGCCTTTTTCTTTGTTGGAGCAACTTGTCCCCGCTTTCTCTTTTTTCGATTTTTTCAATTTTTTTTTCTTTTTCTTCCCTCGTCTCCATTCTTCTTTTTTTGGCAGTCTCCCCCAAAATACCCCTTTTGCCAAGGGGCAACAGCTGTGCCTCTGCAAAGGACCCATCAGGGCGTCGGCACTGTACCATCACGAGGACTGCAAAAATTAAAGAAAAAAAAAGGAAGGGACACAGAATTTTGTTTCAGCTGAGTTTGTGGTTTTACAGGTACCTGCTCTTTTGTATCGTGTACCCTGAGGATTGGGACCGGCATTGATCCCTTTTCTTTTCTTCAGTTGTGTTTGGTGTTTCCCATGACGAGTCACGATAGCTGCAGGAAGGTCAATGTACTCTCTTTTTCCTCTCTTCGCTCCCCCCAGGCTCTAGTGATTCACATTTTACGTACAAGGACAGACGGGAGAAGCACATCAATCCTGCGCCTTCGCACGCCACTGCCGGCCAATTTTTTTTTTCGGTTTCTTTCGTCTTCATTGATTTGTTCTCTAGCACTTCCTTTTCCCCTTTATCTAATCCGTATCCTACGGCTTATGTGCAGCAGGTGTCCGCAGCATGATGCTTGGTGATTGGGCGCCTCAGTGAGAACTCCCGAGTTGTGGCTGTCTCGTCTCTGGAACCACCTGCGTATTATTGGTGCAATACGAATACGTTGCGGGTGACTGCGTACGTGGATCCAAGGCGCAAAGGCCGCAAACTGCATGAATGGGAAACGATGCAATCAACTCTGCAGGATGATACAGGTATCCGACCACACACCGCTTTACGATTGTCCTTTTTTCCGTGGCGATGATGTTCGCGGATCGACTCTTCGCTTACACGCACCGAGCGAGCTACTACTACTACTACTGAGAAACGGAAGAGAAGCCGGGAACGAAAATAGCAGGGCCACCGTGGTAGGTGAAAAGCTGGGGTTGCTCGGTACGCGCTACCGAGAGAGGACCTCCAGCCCAGTCATGTGGTTTGTCTCCTCTGTTACAGCACTTGTCACGCTTGCACGGCTTTCTCCGACCCCGGGTTTTCGGGGCTGCTGGGCGGCAAACAACCGTGTTTGACCCTGCTGCTTGGCGGTCACGATGGCAGGTTGGAAGCAGAGCAGCTTCACTTGATGCGGGAACTACTTTAGTCGTAGCATAGGCAATGGCTGCTACTACGTGTGCCTTACTACTTCGTACGAAGTTGGTTGTGATGCCCCAGGTTCCAGAGGTGTCCCCTGGCATATTATTTGAGACATGACTCTGTTCTCCCCCGGGGGGGGCTTGATGGTCTTCGATTCCTGGGGAAGCAAGCTTGGCAAGACCTTTGCACATCTCGATCGTCTGGAGTGCATGATGTAATAACTGGGGATGCCGGCGACGTTCTCCTGATGAGACTTGATTTGCTCTCTGTGCAGGTTTCTCACCGTCTGCATGTTATCCTCCAGAATTGGAGCAAGTGAGTTATTACACATCTCAAACGCCCTTTTGGTACGCAGTGCGAGGGTCCTTTCGTGTGCAAGTTGCACGAAAAGCTACATACATACCACCGGACGGCCCCAACATCCGAGACTTGGCCGTGACAGGTGTGATTTGCGTTCCGCACATCACCCCGGGCACGTTCTGAACCCCCCCTTTTTTGTAAGCGAAGCTACGGGAGAAGCTTGCTAGAAGAAAGGGATAAAAAAAAAAAAGCCAAAGGCAAATTGGAATTGGGCTGGATGGGAAAAAGGGCCACGCTTGACTGATCACAGGACCTGTTTTTTTTTTTTTTTTTTTGTTGGATTTGCTAATCCAGCGCCCCCCTTGGAAGAATGGCGGGCGGTGTGTGCTTCGTCTGGGTACCTTACCTTGAGGGTATACAGAGAGTATTACTTTTGGTTCTGGGGATATCATTCAATATAAGCTGTGAAAGTTCTCTCATGATCATTTGCGGGTTTGGGGAGGATCGGCGGGAGAAACTGTTGGGGGGCTTGTTTGGGTAAATGCATTTTTCTTACTCTATTTCCCGGTGCAAGCGTTGATGTGTGTGAGAAGACGGTCAAGGCGGTTGGTTTGTGTGGGTGTGTAACTTTCTCATGGTAGAGGTAGACAGACAGTGCATGTGTGTGGAATGTCCGGAAGATGTAATGCAGGTTCGGGACATTTCAGTAGAGTAATTTGTATCAATTGCGGGTGGGTGAAATACTTTGTCTGCTTTGTGTGAGTTTCTATTATACATAAGGTAACTTTGTTTCTCTGAGGGAGGATCAGGTGCTGCGTTTATAGACACGGAACTGGATACGATGCGGATTCTTTGTGTACCTTAAGGTACCCTAGGTACTAGTAGGTAAGGTATCCATGTAAGCGTGATTTGGGGATGTAAGACGAGGGCAGCCGACGACTTCTTACTCGGCTACTACCTGCTTTGCACAATGCAATAACCTAGAATAGAATGCTGATTGATCTTTCTTTGTTTGTGATTGAATCATGCTTTGCAATGGAGTAATGATATGACAGGTAATTAGGAACGAATAACACGTGAGGAGATACCTAGGTAATTGGAGGCCAGTCTCAGGACAACGAGACTCATGGGCGAGAGGTATTGGAGACGTACTCATAGCATGGACACGAGGAATGATGAAGTAGAGTTTCAATATGACACATAGAGTTCGACGGCATACAATTCAACAATACGAATTTACATACATAGATTAATAACAATGATGATTCGAGGTTCATCCGAAGGGCGGAAAAAATTGCAGTCGTCTGATTTCAGGGTAGGTCGCCGTTCTCTGCATTCCGGATGAGGGCGAGTACCTAAAACGGCAACACGATATGCATGCAGCCAAACATTAAAAGAACAGTATTAGATAATGGCGGCCGACAATGTTACTGACGGTGGCATACGATATGATGCTGAATGCAGGGACGCAAGAAAATCCCTTCGAGCTGCTGCTACGCTCCCTGGCACAAGTCAAAGTTTGCGGGTGTGTGTGTGCGTGTGTGTGTACAGTAAGTCGTAGAGCCGACAATATGCGACGAAGGATTCAGAAGTTGACTTTTTTGTCTCCAACGGGGTTTTTGCCTCGATGGGAAAACTCGTGATGACATCATGACTGGCTGCGGACGAAGGATTGTCTGCCCCGGTTTAGGTATTTGGAAGTTACTACCCGACTTCTTCTAGGTACCTACTGCGTACAGAGGGAGGACTGGGAGAGCGACGGGATCGGATTCGTGTGGCTGACGATGGAGGAATCCATGAGCTCAAGGTCACCGTCATCTCGAAACCGATTATACCTGGATTTGCCATTTTCCGTCTGTTGTATTTTTAGATTCTTCAGCTGAACTAGTATGTAAACATTCGTTATGGCAGCCATTGGAGCACAGGGCGGCGGCTGAAGTTTCTGTCATACTCGAGGCGCTCCCGGTCTACAGCGCGACGGGACAGGAGCTGGTTGGTGCTGATACATGTGTAGATGGCTTTTCAGTAGAGGCAGTGTCGTGAGCACGACAAGCGACGCTTGGTTTTTTTTTTTTCCCCAGCGTGACGAGAGAGGACTGGAGCAAACATGTTGGTAATATCGCCATAATATGCCAGCAGAAGAGATGAAATGCACAGAGACAGAAGAGAGAGAGAGGGAGAGAGCACGTGACCGTTGCGACATCTTCGGCTAAACCACCAACGCCTTGGCGGAGAGACCCATCCATTATCGGCTTGACGTGAGAAGAGCCAAAAAATTTGACCTGATAACTCGAGTGCCGCAACTGACGCAGCAAACACCATCTCCATCCCCCAAAGCATTGCTCCCAGTCTCGAACCAGCTTCTCCGCCAAAACGATTCACTCCATCTGGATTTGTCACGCCCCATAAGAATAACGACGACGAAAAAGAAATACTATACGAATTCGAGTGCCCCGCATCCGGAAGTCTTCGTATCGCCACTTGAACCGATATCTCAAACCACAGCCAGCGGCAACTTGTTGATTCCTTGTTGCCTGCGCACTACATCGCCATCTCCCCCGACTACTCCCACATAAACACCACATCCAAGATGGTCACCCTTACCGAGGTCGAGGACGAGCACTTCCAGCACGCCCACGCTGTTGAACTCGAGGACGACGACTTTACCGATACCGGTATGCCCTGCCCTGCCCTCCCATCATCTCCTTCTCACCAACAACAACAGCAAGAAGAAGAAGAAGAAGATCGCCGGCTCTAACAAGACAAAAATCTCCACAGAATCCGAAATCTCCAACGAGTCCGACTTTGACCCCTCAGAAGAGACGCTCGCCGAGCGCCTGTACGCCCTCCGCGACATCATCCCGCCCACGACCCGCGGCTGGGTCTCGAGCCGCGTCAACGCCGTCGCCGGCGCCGCCTGGAGCGCGCTGTCCTTTGGCGGCAAGAGCGCCTGGGTCATCACCACGTCGGCGCTCTTCCTGGGCGTGCCGTTTGCGCTGTCGTTTGCCGAGGACCAGCAGCTGACGGCCATGGAGCAGGAGTACAACATGCGCCAGACGGGCAGCGAGCTGCTGACTGCGGGCGCGGAGCCGAGCACGGCGGAGCAGGTGGGCGCGGCGCTGGGGTCTGAGCAGGCCAAGGCGGCGCTGTGAGGTGGTGGTGATGATGGTGGTGACGATGAGTCATGAAGAAGGAAAAAAACAAAAACAAAAACAAAAGAAGAACAAGCATGTTGAAGAAAAGGACGACGACGAACTGAGACGGAGCGTGGAAGACTGCAAATGGGGGGCGTCACATGGTAAACTAAGGCAGGTGCTTGGAACTGGGAAAAGATCTGATGTAATGACTGGCTTACATTTACACTGACGGGAGAGGGGGGGGGGGAAAGGTTGATGATGATATATCGTGGAGCGAACCTGAAGGCGAGATCAAGCAAAGGTTTCCTCCACTCGTGTACAATACGCCTTTTGGGAGCAAAAGGGCAACGGCTGGCTGATGGCGTGTCAGCCACATGTTATATATAATATCTCGGCAGGCTAGTTCAGAGGGACCATGGGGAATTTCGATGTACTAGAGTACCTTATTGATGCAATCTCTGCTCTGGATGATGTTTACCAAGTCTGTGCCCTCTTGCCATCACACAAATGATATAATACTACCAGTCGGTGCCTGGTTGATAGGCCTATTGCATCTGTGATAACCCGTGGCTGTGACGAACAAGGTGCCTTTACCCCAGCATCTGCTAACGACCTCATCACATGTAAGCTCGACATGCGGGGCCCATCTCCAAACACCATCTCATGTAAAGAGACTCCTCACCACTCTCACACGACCATCTCTCCCACTCCCGTCTCCGTATCATCACCCAACCAACCAAACATTCAACTAACCATGGACTATGTAGCCCTGCCAAAGATTGAGGTTCGTCTCTTGCTCCGCATCATCAAGAGGCCACACACAGACAGGATAATAATAACTCTTCTCACATGCGGTTCTCTCTACATAGCTCCACGCTCATCTCACAGGCAGCATCTCCCGCCAAACCCTCCACGAGATATGGCTCACCAAGTCCGCCTCTGGCTCGACCGATCTCGAGGACCCTCTCCTCGTCATACCAGAAGGCAAACACGACTTCAATCTCGAAACGTAAGGCCCTCCGCCTTCAGTCAATCCTTAATTCATCAGATACACAAGGCTAAATAAGAATGATTGAGGCAGCTTCTTCCCCCTCTTCAGCAAATACATCTACGCCCTCCTCACAGACGAACCCTCCCTCCGCCACGCAACAACCTCCGTCCTGCAATCCTTCCTCCACGACGGCGTAGTCTATCTCGAACTCCGGACAACGCCCCGCTCGACGCCCCATCTCTCCGCAGAGCAATACATCTCCATCATCGTCGACACAATCTCCTCCTTTGAAGCATCTCACCCATCTCTACATACCCGACTCATCCTCTCCATCGACAGACGCCACGACTTCGAAACAGCATCGTCCATCCTCTCTCTCGCCCTCTCTTCCTCGTCGTCGTCCTCGTCGTCTCCATCTCCCGCGTCAGAGTCCAAGTCCAAGCCCCCCATCATCGTAGGCCTAGACCTCTGCGGCGACCCAACCGTCCGTCCCCAAGGCGAAATATCCCTCTATACCCCGATCTTCCAACGAGCCCGCGCCGCAGGCCTCGGCATCACACTCCACTTCGCAGAAACTCCCGCCAGCGCATCCCCCGCCGAGCTGCGCACCCTGCTCTCCTGGCAGCCGCACCGCCTCGGCCACGTCATCTGGGACGACGACGAGTCCAAGCGCGAGGTTGCGCGCAGAAGAGATGAGCTCTGTCTGGAGCTGTGCCTGAGCTGCAATGTCCAGGCGGGCATGGTGACGGGCGGCTTCGAGGGGCATCATTTCGGGGCGTGGAGGGCTGTGGAGGGTGTCAAGGTGACTCTTGGGGTGCGTTTCTTCTTCTTCTTCTTCTTCTTTTTTTTTCTTCTTCCTTTCTAGTCTTGCCGTTTAGTTGACTATGCGGCGATATACACATGCCGTTTGCCGTGCTGTTCGTGTCCGTCAGAGATCAAAGCTGACATGACAGTTGGATTAAGACCGACGACGTGGGCATCTTCGGCAGCCCCCTATCCAACGAATACCGCCTCGTCGCGCAGCACTTCCGCCTCGACAAGGCCCAGATCTGCGCCCTCGCCAGAGAATCCATCGACCACATCTTTGGCGGCAAGCACGAAAAGGAACGACTGCGGAATATTATGTGGACTTGAAAAAGAAAAAAGGGAGAGGGGAAAACCATCAACCGGACCCGAATGTGCCACGCATATGTCAAGTCAGATTCACAGCAATCCTACATTGAACCAGACAGTGAAACGTCCGAGGACAACGGAATAGACAAGCTTCCTCCCCTTTTTTGGGTTCATGTATTTCCAGCCTAAACTTGCGCTTATACCAAGTGTTTGTTTTGTACTACGCGAAATGGACATTCATCATAACGCTGCTATGTGCTTGCTCATCGACAGGGGAAAAAACCAGGTACAAGAACGTAGGAGAGCAGAGAGGTAGTAACAGCTCAATCCATCCAATGGCTTCCATTCTCCTTTCCTTTCCCTTCCCCATCCTCAATTGGTGAAAAACTTTTCCATCTTCATTTTTGGCCTCCCGTAGGTCCCCCCCCCCTTTCTTGCATCTCGCCCGAAACAGCACTCCATAACGCATCATTTCAGTTTTCAATCACCCACAAAAACCAGTAAAACGCCCCGAGAAGAAAACAGCACGAGAAACGGCAAAGGCATCAAAGAGTCCCAATCTATTTTTCGTTTCGTCACACGTCATGTCATATCCGAATCCCCCCCAAAGCTCGCTCAGTGCGCAATCTGCTGCGGCGGAGCGTCGAGGTCGACGCCCTCCACCATGTTCTTCTGCACCTGGCTCTCGTTTACCAGCTTGCGGAAGAACTTGGAGGCTCTCTCGCTCTCGCCCTTGACCTTGACTGTCTCGTCGCGCTTCTTGTTCAGGTCCTTGACGCTGTGCTCGAGGCCCACGCGCAGGTTGTCCGCGGGCATGCGCAGGACCGTGCGGACGGACCCCGAGATTCGGGAGGCGTTGGTGTGGACGTAGTCGATCTCGGTCAGCTGTGCTTCAATCTTCCTGGCTAACCGATGGGGGAGAGAGTTGGGAATCTGCTGGAGGATATAGGCCGAGGCGGCAATGGCTAGAAAAAATGTCAGTAAGCAACACGATACACATCTGGAATTGTTAAAAAAGGGGGAACATACCGGCAACAACGATTCCAGGCAAAATGAGCTTGCGGAGGTTCTCGTTGCCAATAATGCGCGTCGCGGTGATGGCGTGGTCAACCCAGGAGTTCATTCCCAGCATGCGAGGGACGAGGGCGCCGGCAACGGTCAAGGCCATGCCCGTACCAGCAAACTTCTCCTGGCTATGCATCAGGGTGGAAAAGTCGACAAAGTCGGCAAACTCAGTGGGCACGTCCACCTGGCGGGCCAGGGCATCCTTCTTCCGGCGGAACATGACGTCTGGCCGGAAGTGGAGGTTCTGGAACTCGTCGCCGACGTGAAGCAGGCCCAGCTGCTTGATGGAGTTGACGCCCTTGACCGTTTGGGCTCGGGCGTAGTCCTCGCAGCTGCTGACGGAATCGGCAATGTGGGAGAGGATGGCGTCCTTGAGGTCGTCGGCGTATCCAAACGCACCAAAGATGCCTGGGTATGGAATGTCGTACTTGGTGCTTCCGGCATAGCTGATGGCGGCGTTGAGCTGCCCTCGAGTGTGCTCATACACATCCTTGCACGTCTCTTCAATGTTCTGCACGACCTGCTCGTCGACCTCTGACCGAGCCTTCTTGCTGGCAAGGATCTGGGGCTCCAGCTCCTTGAGTTCCTGAGTTACACGGTCATACTCGGACTGAGCCACCTCGTAGTTGACTGTTGCCAGCGTGTTGACGTCGTTGAGGATGTTGAGCAGATATGTCCTCGCGGGGGCAAGCTTTGACCTCGCTCGCTTTTCCAGGACAAATCTGCGCAGAGACTGCTCGAGCTTCTCGAAGTCTCTCACTTTGTCCAAGTCCTTACCCTTGCCGTTGTCATCGCCGGGATCGTCACCACCTCCACTGCCGCTACCGCTGCCGCCTCCGCCGCTGGGTCCGCCGGGGGGCGAAGGTGCCATAGGGATGACGTTGCTCGAGACAAAGTGGACGAGCTCGGATGCTTCCTTGTGCGTGCGCGGGCTCAGCCCCGCAACCTGATCCAGGATCATCTTCTGGCATCGCTCCTTGTCCCTGATGAAGTCGTAGCCATTGACGACGATGAAGATGTAGGCCTTCTCCGCAGCAGCGGCCCAGATGAACTCCTTGGCGGACTGCGTGAAGTGGTTTGCCGCAGAGACGACGAACACGACAACGTCAATCTCCTCCTGTCGAGCAAAAATGGCCGTCGTCTTGGTCGTGTCCGAGTTCAAGCCGGGGGCATCGATGAGGGCAATGTCGACAACACCGTTGCTGAGAAGGGATTCATCAATTGTCCGAACATCCTTGACGTATACCTTGCACTGCATGTACTTTTCATTGTCAATCACGATTCGTTCCAGTTCCTGGAGGGAGTATGCGTCGTAGGTGGACTCGTCGTTTCGGTTGTAAATGACGTCCTTGTGGACCGCATGGACCTCCTCAATGCCTGCATTCTCGCGAGCGTCCAGCACCTCGCAGAAAATGGCTGTGCAGGGCTGCTGGTCCTCGGGCAGGACCTTGCGCCGCAAAAGGGCATTGCAGAATGTCGACTTGCCCGCATTCAGATCGCCTGTGATGAGCACCTTGCTCGATGTGTCCTCAATACGCTCTCGAAGAGACACAAGATGCTTGATGCTGGAGCTTATTTTGCCGTCCAAGAGCGATGCGATGGAGCCCTTCTCCAGCGAGTGCACCAGCTCGGCCTGGTGCAGAGCTCCCAGCTTTAGATCCAACTTCAACACCGAAAACTCCTGCGCAATCGAAGGTGAAACGAGCCGCGGCTCTGGCGTGGGACGAGCCTCGGCAGCCTGGCTAGACTCGGCCGATGCATCCTCGAGACTTGTCATGGCCCTGCGAAGCATGGGCGGAGGCGCCTGGTTGGCTCTGGCTGTGACGTCTTCCATGGTCGACGAGTGCAGGATGCCGGGACGGGGCGCATCGGACTCCATCTTCTCTGCTCGCTGGACCGACGGGTAGTGCGCCGGCCACACGGTGTTCATCTCGCGCAGGCCGTGAAGCAGATCCAGCACCTTGTTGATGGACCGGCCGAGCGTCGCCCTCTGCGAGTTGTACCACATCTGATGGATGGCCCCCGACTGTTGGCGGCCGCCGTGCGCATGCCCGTCCCACATGCCGGGCTCGTCGCCCATGATGCTGCCTCCGTATCCCGAGTCGACGTCGAGCATGCTCTGCAGCCGCGCGGCGTGCTCCGAGGTGGTGCCGCTGCCGACCGTCATGTAGTTGGGCCGTCCTCCGGCCGAGCCCGCGGCATCGAGGTTCGCATCGTCGGAGGCGCGGCTGGCGGGCGCCTTGCCCTTGTCGTTGGAGTATTCCTGGCTCATGGCTTTGGTCAAGGACTGCCTGCCCGCAGCATTGTCGGGCGGGACAGAGTACTGATGATGATGCTGTTGTCAAGAGGCGAAGGGGTAAAGAGATGAAGGGGTGAAAAGGTGAAGAGGGCGAAGAAAGGTGAAGAAAGGTGAGGAAAAGGTCGGGTAGGTGCGCGAGGGTCGGGCTTTGGATCGGGTTCGTCAGTAAAAAGGTTGCATGATGTTCAAGCAAATTGCCGCCTCCCAGGTGACGCAGCTCCCCTGATTGGCCTGGCTGCTCGGCTCAAGGTCGGGCAGCGCACACGCTATCTTATCGTTGGCTCATGGATCTCGCCTGGGGAGGCAAAGGTGAGGTAGCTTCGCACCAGTTTGTCGCAGTGAGGGTACATGTCGTGGCGCCCAGCAGACTGACGTCCTGGCAACCCGCAAACATGCAGCACGACGTCGCTACACGTACCTCTCGGGCTCTCCGCCACGGCTAGGCAGATGCCGTCCAGCCTCTTTCATCTGCTTCACCACGATCTCTCAGAAGAACCGCCTTTGTCACCCAAACCCCCTCTGCTAGACCGACACAGCGCGACACCGCCGCTGTTGCTGCTTCCGCAAGACGAGCCGTCGTCGTCACCATGAATGTGAGGCAATGCCTTGATGATGATGATGATGCTCACTGCCCGTCCAAAGCGGCGCCTAACCTCGACGTGCAATGCAGATCCTCGAATGGGCCTTTGGCAAGCGCATGACGCCGGCCGAGCGGCTGCGCAAGAACCAGCGCATGCTCGACAAGGCGATTCGCGAACTCGACCAGACTCGCGTCAAGCTGGAGAAGCAGGAGAAGACGCTGATACAGCAGATCAAGACGAGCGCCAAGAACGGGCAGATGGGGGCGTGCAAGATCCAAGCCAAGGACCTGGTGCGCACGCGGCGGTACATTGAGAAGTTTTACGGCATGCGCAGCCAGCTACAAAAGATCTCGTTGCGGCTTCAGGTATGCTGGACCTGGGAGCGGTTGCGGCATGCGATTGCTAACGGTTGAATGATGCCAGACCTACCGAACCAACGAGCAGATGATGCAGGCCATGAAGGGTGCCACGATGGCGCTGAGCAGCATGAACAAGTCCATGAATCTCCCACAGTTGCAACGCATTGCCATGGAATTTGAGCGCGAAAACGACATAATGGAGCAGAGGCAAGAGATGATGGACGACGCCGTCGATGACGCCATGGATGTTGGAATCGAGGAGGAGGGCGACGAGGTTGTTGAGCAAGTCCTGGAAGAGATTGGCATAGACCTGAACCAAGCTGTAAGACTGCATTCGTATCCCGCCCCAGATCCGATGCACGGCATGGCTGACTTTTGGGATGACAGCTCGGGGAGACGCCCACCGCCTTGGGCAACTCTGCTCTGTCCGAAGGCAAGGTTGCGCAAGCCGTTGGAGCTGGAGGAGGCGGCAGCGGTGACCCGGTCGACGATGATCTTCAAGCCCGACTCGACAGCCTTCGAAAGTAGCCGCTTTGCTGTCCTTGAACAATTTGCCACGAAATAATGATTGAGACGACCTGGATCAGCCTTTGAAGTACTTTGTCAGATCTCGACGAAAGAGCAGAATGCAAGGCAAAGTTTGGCAAGGGGTCATGGGCCAATCGCAAGACGTATGATCTAGAAGACGATTGGTGCCTGCTTGTCATCATTTTATATACATGTACGTGGAGGAGCCTGGATGGAGAGTGTCGTGTCATGTTTTCCCGGGCGCAAGAGGTGTTGATTGCCATTATGATTTGAAGATACACTTGCTTGCAGATATATCTACGCATTCAGAGGATTTACCATTGCGATAATTGATCAGAGGCATGCTTGTCTCAATGCGGTGGAAAATGAAGCACCACAGAAGGCAAACTTGTGTGATTTCGCGGCAAGATTACCTTCCAGATACTACATGTATATGGAGACGATTCGACCATGAACAGAAGGCATGCTGGCTGCAATCTCGAATTCACGATAGAGCTATGCATGCGCTAGTATCTGTCCTTTCTGATCTCCTGTCCTCGGGGATTTCCCACCCTCGGCGATTACGGGCCTCGCCCGCGAAAGAGCATCACCCTCCACAGCAGATGCCAGATCAAGTGGACACACGCAGAACTGCTCATCCCACCAATCATAAGCACAAGCAGAGCACTCACGTCTCGAAATTGACGAATCGATCGGACCAGACGCATCCATGGTAGGTAGGATTGGAGCGCTAAGAGCACCTGCGCCTCGACGTACATGCGTGTGCCCATCCCCTTACATACCAGACCATACCGTACCTCAACCTGCTTAGTAGTATGAGAGCACGGAGCTGGGCATTCCCTTGGCGCCTCTGCTGCCGTTCCTGAGGTGGACAATGCTTTTCCTCTGGGGCAAACAACCGGCATTGCCGCATTTGAACTTATTGTCCAAATAGCCGGGACTGCGGGTGGGTGGTTGGGCATGCCTGATCGAGGTAACGCGAGAATGCACGGATGCCTGTACATATGTCCTGGGTCTGTATCATGTGTATGCAGCTGTAGAATAGTATGCAATGCTCAAGGTACCTTTATTGACACGGCGTCATTGAGATAGACACACGTATGATATGCAACCAGGTAAGCTAAGGTCCGTAGCTTCTGGGCAGAGTTCCAGAGCTGTCTCGATACTGGAAGCGCTGGGAACATTGAAACCAGCTTCGTGCAGACGCCTTGTCATGTCTGTCATGGATAGGCTATCGGCTTGAATGCCTCTCAGACTGGGGCATCGAGCATTGGATGTCAGTACTGCCAATCTCCTCTTCAACTGAGCTCCTTCACAGCGATTGTTTCATCTGCAGCCGCTCGCGTCCGGTATCCTTCTACCTCTCCTTGTGCTCGTCTGACTGTGGTTTGCCTCTGTCCCAAGCCCAGCCCAAGCATTGGATGCCACGCCATCGTCTCCGTCTCCCTCACAGTTACAGACTAGGTATCAGCACCAGATGCTTCCAAGTGTTTGCCTCGACCTTGTCCACACACTGCAAATTGCCACAGCCCGTGAAAGTAGTAGCACTATCCATGAGACAACTTGCTGCACTCTTTAGTTTGCCGTATCACGGGGCACAGCATTTGCCTGAGCTTCGTTAGCACCTGTTGATTCGCCTTCCACCAGCAGCAGTCCAAGTTGCCCAATCCCCCCCATATTACCCATATTACCCATGATCGGAGTTGACTTGTACTGCACTAACAGCAGCCACCTGGGGGGGCCTTCCAGGCTGATCCTCCCCGCCGTGGCCGCCGTCGGCTGTCCGCTGTCCCCGCCTAAGGCGTGGCATCAGGTAATCCGATGGGTGCAGGTGGCGCTTCCACCCCTCGAGTGCCCAAACTCCCAGATCCCCAGCATATCCATCCCGTCCACCATCGCCAGCCATTCTAGGCAACCCTACAACCTACACCACTGTCCAAAGCTACTCGACCAGCTCCCAAGTCCCGACAGGCTCCCTGCCACAGCTCACGCTCAGCGCTGCCGAACCCTCCCCCCCTGAGACGCCGACAGGTCCTCTGAAGAGTCCTCTGCAGCCCGCATCCAGCCATCCATCCCATCCATCTCGAATCGCCGCTGCAACTAGGCGCCTGGACCATCCAATCACGCGTGCGACAGCCGTCCGTGAATCCCAACCGCCAACCCCGCGAACGACGCAGACGCTCATACCCTCCCTCATTCCCGTCTCCGCGTGTCCCTGCAGTCCCAGGTCCCAACAGCCGTTGCCTCGCCTTGCGTTGCTCCGCGGCCCTGCGAACGTCGCCGTGCCTATAACTCGAGCCCAACTCGTCCATCTCCCGGCCGCCGGAAGTCCTTCTTCCTCCTCCACAAAACTGGCAGGTAGCAAGCGTCGCAGTCTCTCCTCGCACGGAGGAAGTCTGCTGAATAGAATGTTTGGCGGCGCCTCGAGCAACTCGTCGGGGCCCAAGCTGGACGATTCCAAGAGCGACGGCAAGTCGCCCTCGCCCGAGGGCAGCCCGCCCGCGGCCTCGGCTGCCGTGCCCATCAGCAACGCAGACCAGGCCGCCGGCGGCGAGAAGCGCAGCGGCAATGGCAGCCCGCCCACCCGCCAGGACACGGGCGACAAGAAGCGCAGGAGTAGCGGCGTCAGCAGCAAGGCCAGCAGCCTGCTAGCCTCGGCCAGGAACTCGCTCAACTTCTCCCAGGTTGGCCGCTCCGGATCGGATGCGGGCGCTCAGACGCCGCTGCAGAAGCTCGGCAAGCAGGACCCGGCCCTCGCCGTGCCCCAGGGCCAGCACAACAACTCGGCCGGCGACTCGGTCCCGGGCCCAAAGTCCACCTTCCGCGTCGGCGTCTGGGAGGATAGGAACAAGAAATGCCGCCGCACCATGGAGGACACGCATGCCTTTCTCTACAACTTCTTGGACACACCCGCCCCGGCCGTCGACTCCGCCACCGGCAAGGACAAGTCAAGTAAGGACGACAAGGATGCCGCTCGCCGAGAGGTCTCCGAGTCGGACAACGGCTACTTTGCCATCTTTGACGGCCATGCCGGCACCTTCGCCGCGGACTGGTGCGGCAAGAAGCTTCACATCATCCTGGAAGACATGATACGGAAACACCCCAACATGCCGATCCCGGAGCTCCTGGACATGACGTTTACGGCTGTCGACGCCCAGCTCGAGAAGCTGCCGCTCAAGAATAGCGGGTGCACGGCTGCCATTGCCGTGCTTCGCTGGGAGGACCGTGTGCCCAGCGAACGATCCATCACCGGCTCTCTTGCCATTGCTCCGGCCGCCGCAAACGTCGCTGCCGGCAAAGCACTGACCAAGTCACAAGAGTCAGAAAAGGAAAAGGACGGCCAGTCTGAAGCATCGCAAGCCGTTCCCAACGAGTCTATAACTGCGAAGCTCCGGGGCATGGCCAGTCGACAGCGTGTTCTCTACACGGCCAATGTGGGGGATGCGCGCATCATCCTCTGCCGCAACGGCAAGGCCCTGCGGCTTTCTTACGATCACAAGGGTAGTGACGAGAACGAAGGAAAGCGCATTTCCAATGCCGGTGGCCTCATCCTCAACAACCGCGTCAACGGAGTTTTGGCCGTCACCAGAGCACTTGGAGACACCTATATGAAGGATCTTGTGACTGGACACCCGTACACTACCGAAACGGTCATACAACATGACCTCGACGAGTTTATCATTATTGCCTGCGATGGGGTAAGTTGCTTGCCTTGAAAGATGACAAGTGATGTGGAAGGAATGCGAACAGGGCGCTAACACTTTAAACCAACAGTTGTGGGATGTCTGCAGCGACCAAGAGGCCGTCGATCTCGTTCGAGATGTCCAGGACCCCAGCGAGGGATCCAAGATATTAGTCGAGCATGCCCTCAGCCGGTTCAGCACGGATAACTTGTCATGTATGATTGTGCGCCTTGACAAGGAGGCGCTTGCGCAGAGCCAGACTCGCCAGGACGCGGAACCCGAAGCGAACAATGGGGCCGCGGCCAAGGTCAGCGAAGTGGACAAGATCATCATGGACACCAAGCAGAAGATTGCCGAGGGCACGACTCCCGCGGTGGGCGTGTCGGCCAGCAATAGTGGACGTGGCTACGACACTGCCCCTCCGCAAGAAGAGGGCTTCGTCCCCACGAGCCTGGGCGATGCGTTGGTCGAGGAACCCGTTTCCATTGAGGAGGCCGACAGCCCTGAGCTGGCTACAGGCGAAAGCCCGGCCGTTGCCGCCCCCGAATCAAAACTGGAAGCAAAGGTGCCAGCAGACGCCTAGGATTCATACACCCTTGCCGCCCAGCCAGAGAAGGTGAAGACATGATCCTATAACTTAAGCCAATCGGACAAACATCTCCACTGGACTACTAGGCAAGGGTGGTTGTGGCAGCAATACGATCTAGATATACGGACAAGCAGCAATACATGCGGCAACTGCAGACGGTGGAGGCAGCACCGCGTCGACGAAAGGGTGGTGGTGCCGGAGGACCTGTTTGGCTCGAGAACAAGCACTTTGGCAAGAGAAAGGCGCCAGGGTGGCGAGGCTGGTGCGTTGATGGAATTGCAGCGAGCGTACCTTATGGTTGGGATAAGATGGCACGGCCAGGGCTTTCTGTACGCTTCATGTATCTGTATGTAAGACGGCGGGATGACGTTGGCCTTGCTGGGCGAGACAAGACTTGATTACACAGCTATGTTATTGACTTGTTATTGACCTGGATGCTTTGGGTACTACGTAGGTACTAGTATTGTGTATTTTCTTAAGTGAGCTGATGGTGAGAGAATCAGAGGATAGTGCTTCCTATTGCATACGATAGTCCATCCTCCTCTTTGCCGGTGGTCCGGCACTTGGACGTACAGCAGATCTTCAGGGTAGCCTGCTCTTGTGCGTTTCTTGGATACTGGTAGTAACAGACGAGGTTTTAAGAGTCTCAACACCAATGAAGCGGCCATAGAAGGCCTGCGTGTGGTTAAAGCTCACCTACCAATACTATAGTAGTTGTACTAGTATCGTCAATTTGCGAGAGGAACTAGTAATCAACACCTTGCATCAAAAGCCTCCACCAGGAGGACGCTCAAGAGCTGCACTAGTAGTAGTAGAACGTGCGTGGGCAGGGGTCTCTTTGGTGCAGACAGCAGCTGCAAGACGTGCGTTTCAGCCACTTTACAGGATTACGCACTCAAAGGGCGTTTTGCATGTTGATTGAGATGTTTATTTGTGTTGTTTTGATTGCTTGTATCCGTAATATTAACAGCAATGACGGCGTCATTGCCATGGTACATCTTTACGGTGTAAGTCGTCGTTGTTTAGGTATGCAGCAGCGAAACAGACAGCCACTGCTCTCGCCATACCTAGTATTCTGTGTGTCACTTCCCCAAGGTATGATTATCACTCATCAAGGTATTCGTACTTTCACACTATGTATTATCGCGCGCAATTATCGGGAGACCGCAGAAGATGCCCAATCGCATGCCCTGTGCAGGCAGCTACATATTACCTTAGGGAGGCGGCCCAAGCTCATTTCACACACCAAATTGTCGACATGGTCTGGTGAAGAAGGAACAATGAGAGACAACGCCAAGGCCAATAAACTGTAGTATCTTTGTCTTTTACCTCTCGTCAACAGCAAACCCCCTGGCATAAAGGCCCCCCCCCATCATCCCGGAACCAGGGGTTCTCCCCCGAAATGGGCTTGAGATGGCCCCCCTCCTCCTCCTCCCCTCCCCAGCTAAACCCCCTTTAGCTACTGTACTAACGAGTCCAGTGTGATGGGGCCTCTTTTGTCGCGAATCACAACGCGAACATGAAGAGGGAATGAATGGCAGCGGAATGGTTTTTCTCGTAAGCACCCGGTGATTGATTGATTGTCCTCAGGGAGCGCGTACTTTCAATTACTAGTAGTACCCTTTTTGCCGTGGAGGGAGAGCTGGAATGGCCCGGGGCTGCTGCTGTTTTGTAGACTCCCATCAATATGATACGCAGCTGACAAAAGTGAAGCTACCCATTGTGCGGTTCCAACTGGCTCCCGCTGCTGCAAGGCCAATCTCTCTGATCTGCACCCTGGAATCTGCATACAGTAGTATTACCGGCCACTGGGGAATCTGTTGCTTATTCTTGTCCCCGTGCTTCTTCTTCGTCTTCTTTGGCTTTTAATGTGGGCTTTGCATTTTTTTGCTTGTTTCCTGTTTAGAGCACCCCTTGCCTCGAGACTTCTGCGGCGCGGCGCTTATAGTACATTGGATGCAACGCTGGTGTGGGCTATTGTGTGGACTTGGCTCAGGTACCTACCTAAGCATTTTTTTCTAGATCCAGGCACAGGCACAGGCACAGGCACAGAACTTGGCGCATTCCCGATCTCGCGACTTTTCGCTGCACGGCCTCAACGGGTTTCTCATCCTTTTTTCCTTCTTCACTTCTTCTTCGTTTGACCCTGTGTTGCGCAACCGCCACAAGAAATAGCGACAGACATATCGAAGAACCAGGCAGAAAGCGATTTCGGTCGGCTTTGCATCACAGCTGGGAGCTTTGCGCGAAGCTTCAAGCTCGAGTAATTCCGTTCCGGGGGCAAGTCGCGACTCCTTGGCACTTGTCGCCCATCTGCTGGCGACTTTCTCGATCTGCTGCTACCCATCAGTCGCCCTTGTCCACGCCCAGGCCGCCTCTCTCTCTCATCCTCCCGAGGCCTCGTCCGTCAATACTCGATACGTCGCGATACTCTCTCTCTCTCTCACTCTCGTCTCCATGCTTAACAACGCCGTCGCATCTTGCCCCTGAGACGCAGCTGGCGGTAGCATCGCTCGTCTCGCCGCGCAAGAGCCGTCGAAGCGCGCGCGCCGAAGCTGTTGTCTCTGCTTTCAGATCGCCCTCGCGGCGCGCAATTTGCGTTTTTTCAGTCCTTCGCTTTACTGCTGAATCGCTCACTTACATTCTTCACCTTTCGTTCATTTCTCTTTCTTCTCGCTTCACTTTTCGTGCTCCCAACGCCCTTCGGGTATCGCTCTTTGTCCATTCGTCGAGTCCTTTATTTCGCACCCCCAACTTCTTCCTTTCCTCGAGATACTCTGGGTCGAGCTGGACTTGCCCAGCTGGTTGACGGAAGCGAGCGAAGCTTCTTTACAGAAGCCACATCAGAGCAATCATGTCGCTCAACGGCCTCGACGATCCCAAGGTCGTAGAGGCGCACCAGGCTGGCGTCGCTGAGCCTGGAGGATGGTATGCATAACCGAATTCCTCCTACTCCATACACGTCTTGTGTACGACTTCACGCTTACCGAGACCCTGCTTTTTGCTTGTGATGCCTACAGGTTTCTCCTCAAATACTCGAGTCGCGACGAGGTCGAGCTGCTGGACCAGGGAAATGCGGGCATCGTCGAGATGCGAAACGCCATCGCCGGCTTTGAAGAAGAAAGCCCGCTATATGGCTTCTTGCGGTATCGGAGGAGGAATGTCATTGTCAAATATCTCCCCGAGGACTGCTCTCGGCTTATACAAGGTATGCTCTTACATGCTCAGCCTCGTCAAACTGGTTGATCGGCGGCGATCTGCGTTGTCATCATCCGGATGATTGAAACTGACTGGCAAAAAAAAACAGCGCGAGTCGCCGTCCACTTCAACGCCGTCTGCGAACGATTCTCCCCTTACGATACCATATTCGAAATCTCCACAGCCAGCGAATTGAGAGACACGAAGCTATCCGCTGCCTGCTCCTTGCACGCGGCGTCTGGATCTACGGCATCGTCCGTTAGCTCCCGCAGACGACGACTGGGGGAAATCGCCGAGGAGGACGAAGAGGAGCAGCGGTCGCCTAAACGGCAGTCGCTCGAGCTCTCCGATGACGACCGGCCGCGAACGCCTGGCAACCGGTCGACAACTGCAGATGAAGTCAAGCTCAACTCTGAGCTGGCATCTTCTCCGGAGCATCGCAAATTCTCAACCTCTAGCACCTCCGAGGTCCCCAAGTTCGTGGGTGTTCCCGACGCGCCAGCATCGCCTACGAGGTCCTTCGATACCACCGACAGCTACAACTACTACCCCGTGAGCAAACCAAAGGTGAAGCTCGCGCCCCGGCCGACGACGGACGTTTCGATCCGGCCAAAGGCTTCTGGGAATTTCAGGCCTGTTTCTTCTCTACCAGCCGGAATCAGGTTTGGCAAGAGTGGAAGGAAAGGACGAGGCAAAGACGACGACGCTGCGTCTTCGATTCACGAGGACATCCCAGAACTGGAGCTACCCGCCGATTCTACTACAGGGACTTTACCAGGCGGCTCGAGGCGACCCAGTGGCGACTCGTCACGGCCATCCACAGGCGCGGGATCGGCTGCTGATACACTGTCTGTGCCGGTGGTGCCAGCCAAGCCTTCCATGACTCCCGAGAAGGCCAGGCTCATGAAAGCTATGAAGCTGAGGGAGAAGAAGAAGAAGCAGCAACTGCAGCAGCAGCAGCAATTGCAGCAGAAGCAGGCTGCGGGCGGAGCCGAAGCCGGAGTGGACACACCGGGCTCGGAAGATATCAAGGCAATCATGGGGGAAGATGATGGTAAAAAAAAAGACATGACGCACTCTGAGGAAACCACTGTGGAGGACCATGAGGCTGATGGTAATGATGGGCTGGAGGCGGAGGAGGGAAACGCTCAAGAAGATGAGCAAAAAAAAAAGTCCAATCGAACTGAGGATGCAGCAACATCCATCAGTCAGGCGGATTCCGGCGTCGTCTTGGATAGTCTCTCGTCGTCTGTGCAAATAGATGAGGTTTCTGAGGGCACCCGATCAGAGTCCCGTCCCCAGAGCCCGGCAGTTGACTCTTCGGAGCACGATCAATCAACCACAGCTTCTTCACTTTCAGATTCCACCGACGAGACCGTTCATGCGAAACATCCAGATGAAGTAACCACAGATGGCGCCAGGGTAGATGACGCCGCAGCCGCGAAGCCTGCTGCTGCTGCTGACGATTCCGCCGTCGTTGCCGCGTACGAAAATGAGGGAAATCGGAAGCCAGCTGCTGCCATGATCCCCAAACCCGTTGCATCGGAGGAAGCGCTGCATGGGGAAGAAGGGATCCGCGTCGCAGAGGCCGAGGCGCTGGCATCGCCATTGTCGCCGCCCGACGCCACCGCCGTTCCCGCACTTCCTGCAGATGCAGCATCGTCGTGTTTTCTAGAAGCAAGTGAGGCGACTTCCACGGCGGATGGAACAAGAAGAACTGAGATTGAGCCTGGCAGCCCGACTGCGTTGGAGCCTGCTGATGAGATTGCGGCTGCCGGGGCTGCTAATAAGGGATCGGCCAAGGCCGAAAATGAAAAGGAGAAAAAAGGGATTGCAGTGCCAATTTCCAAGTTCTCGGCGAATATGCCGATGCCAAAGGCCCCACCGGCCGCCTTATTAGATGGCCTGGGATCTGGCGCAGGCGAGATTCCACTCGGTGCGACCCCCGGCGATGTTGCGCAGGCAACGGACAAAGGGGGACAGGGGCTGGGACTGGCTGGTGCTGCTGGCGCTGCTGCTGGTGCTGGCGCTGCTGCTGGTGCTGGCGCTGCTGCTCCACCGTCACCGTCCAGAGCGTCGACGCAAGACGTCGTCGACGCAGCAAACGCCGCCGCCGCCGCTCACACAACGGTGGCCACGCCCGCGATGGAGCTCGAGCTGCAGACGGACCCGTTGCCGCTGCCGGCAGCACACGAGGCAATTCCTGCAGCAGCGACGGCTAGTGACGCCGCGGCACCTCCCGGCGAGCCCAGTGATGCCGACGAGGCCCAGCAGCAGCAGCAACAACAGCACCAGCAGCAGCAGCCCAGCAAAGAAGAGGAGCATGATGATGAGCGCGCCAGACGCTCGGGAGCGCTTCCACGGCCGATCCGCACGGATTTGGCGTCCGCGGGCAGCAGCGGCGATGACGATGCCCTCGTCGTCCAGGAGGTGGCGGCTGCTGCTGCTGCTGCTGCTGCTCCCCTCCCCTCTCCCGCTGCTGCTGCTGCTGCTGCTGCTGCTGCTGCTCCCACCTCTCCCACAGCTCATCTTCCGGCCGCTCCTCCTCCTCCTCCTCTTCAGGCCCGCGACGCAGCGGCGCACAGGCACGACCAGCCAATGGTGGCCAGCAAATCTCCGCTCACCCCTGTCTTCCCCAGCGCTCCCATTGCCAATGGGCCGCTAGGCGCCAGAGCTCCACCAGCGCACACCGTTCGAACAGTCTCTAATCCTGTCCGTGGCAACTTCATCGCTCCGACAGATGTAACTCAGTCCACGGCGCGTTCTCTGAGTTCCGGCGCAGCTTTCTTACACAAGGTCACGCAGCAGCAGTCGGCCAGCCTCGCCACCATGAAGCCCAACGTCGGGTCGAGCATTTCGCAGCGCATCAAGGCGCTGGAGAAGCTCTCGGCCACCTCGGGCGACCAGTCCCGGCCCGTCAGTCGCGAGCGGCCGTCGTCAACCTTCTTCGCCGTGCAGAAACGGGACACGTCGAGGGCGCCGTCGGTCGTCGACAGGACCAGGTCGCTGCACGGCAGAGCCGCGTCGCCCACGCCCTCGCACCAGGACGATGCGCTCGAGGGCAGAGTGCGCCTGCAGAGGTCCGGCTCCGTCGTCAGTCGGGTGTCCATGTTCGAGCCGCTGGCCGCAGTCGCATCCTCCGCCTCGAGCCCGCCGCCGCCCGGTCTGGCGCCCGGCACGCAGTCGCGAGGGCGGCCAGAGTCCATCGCCATCACCACCAAGTTTGCTGGCTACGAGCTGCCCCCCAAGGACGCCTCCTCAGAGTACGGCGGCTACCAGTCGCCGCTCACGGCTGCTGACCACCACCGAGGCGATGAGGGCTCTGAACGGAGGCCCAGGTCCCTCGAGCGCCGCGGCGAGGACGACATGGGTAGGCGATCCTCGCTAAATGTGGTAAAGGGGTTCTTCAAGGACCCTCGGAAGACGGTCACGGTCTCGACTAACATGCGCCATGCCATAGCTTCTAGGACAACAACAGTGTCGCCCAGCAGCGCGAGCCATCGCCTGTCCATGAGCAGCCGCCGCTCCATCACCATTGATCGCGACGGCCTGGCCAACTCTAGCGTGACTGAAGATTCCTTTTCCGGCGACGAGAGGTCCTCTGACCGGAAGACGTCGCGCGCCGGGCGCTTCATGCGCAAGCTGTCTAACCTCTCCAGTGGGTCCAAGAACAAGGCGTCGTCTCCCTCGCCAGAGGCGACCCGCGGTGCCGCTGCTGCTTCTCAGAACGCTCAGTCATCATCATCATCGACGGCTCAGGCCGCCTCGGGCGAAGCCTCCATCGTGTCCGATCTGGGAGACGTCAACGTGCAGTTCCCGGACAGCCTTTTGTGGAAGCGCCGCAACCTGTGCCTCGACTCGCACGGCTGCATCATCCTCAGCACGCTGCCCGCGCAGAGCAGCCGGACCGCCCAGGGCACCAAGAAGTACCACATGGGAGAGTTTCGACAGCCCTACACGCCGGACGTGGAGGTGCAGGAGCTGCCAAACAGCGTCGTCCTGGACTTTGTCGAGGGCACGGGCATCCAGCTGGCGTGCGAAGATAGGACCGGACAGCTCAACGTGCTGCATGGTACGTATTTTCCCTTCTCGTTCTGGTCTGTAATGAGAGTCGTCGGGGGCTAACTGGTTGCTTATAGTTTTGCAAGCTGCTCATGCTAACCACAGCCGATGAGTTCGCGTGATGCTCATTTCATCTGAATTGAAAGCTTATCAAAAGGGCAGCGCTTACAGCAACTCGAATTGCCTGCCGTTATCTTGTGCCCACAAGACTCCATCATGCTCTCCATGTCTGCACGACGTCGGGAAAACTCCTCATGCACTAGATACTACTAACGGTCCTCCTTGATGTCCCTTTCCCCCCCCCTCGCTCTCTGTTTCTTTTCTTACCTCGATATACCACCTGACTGCCGACCACTTACTTGCCTTTGACCCTTTTGCACATAGAAGGATGAGGAAAGGGCAAAGGGGGACCTGGGGAGAGGAAACAAAATCCTCACAGTTGGAGACTTGTTTCTTGACTTGTTGCTAGTATGCGTCCAGGGGCGGGAAGGGGGGAGTGTAAAGATGTGTTGTATTCTATCTATGTACATGCTTTTCACCTTTCCATCCCTTGCTTTCATTGCCCCTCTTCCCACCTTACAACACTCAAGGCTCAGGACACAAGATATAGCACACAACACTGAAGCCTCGACAGACGATGCACTCACAGGACACCTACACACATCACACATAGACACCTCGACGCGGCATTTCCTTTACTTATCACCACAACTCTCTTTATCACTCTCGCCTTTTCTAGTCGTTTGTTTCAGGAAGGAAATAAGTTCATTTGTCTGTTTTTCTGTTTCTTTACTTGTTTTATTTTACATGATACCATGGCAAGTAGATTCCTTGCTTATTATTACTTCTTCTCTCTCTTCATCTATCTCTCTCTGTATCCTCTCGCTGCATATTTAGCTCCACGCTCTCTACGCTTAGAATTTCTCTCTCTTTTGGTCTACTGATCGTCCCACGTTTCGGGTGCATCTCTCTCTCTTGTCCCTTTCTCTCTCTCTATATCCTTTCCCCCCCCATTTGCTAGAAAAAGTCTTGCTTCCGTGTAAATCCAATAACAATAAAGGTAATCTCCCCCCAAAGAAAGAATTGTCTTACTCTACTGCTTTGTCTTGCTTTCGTCTGGGTCAGTCTTTTGTATGTCCACTATTTTGTTTTTTCTTCTGCTTCTTCTTCTTCTTCTTGTTTTACTGGGTTTCCTTTGGTGCGAGTTATATAGAATGAAGAGAATGTAAAGCTAAGGTCTGAAAAATCACCTCCTACTTAGATTTATTGTACTGTGTTGTTTTTTGCGTTGTGCTGTCTTTGCGCGTGTAAACGGTTATAACTGCTACTGTAAGGTAGTCTCTTTCACCTAAAAAAACTTGGCTTGAAGACGGTGTAATATAGTGTAGACAGAGAAGGCAATAATAAAGGGATTCAAGACTACTAGAACTCTGAATTAAGCCTCTCTTAAGATCATACGAAGAGATGCGACTAGAGCTGAAGGGCAATTCAACCATGTCGACGTAAAGAGCAATGTTGAACTTGACTTGCAATAGTCTCCATCAAGACCAGGCCATGAAATACACCTTGATATCAACGCATAAGGAGGTCATCCCACACCAAAGCAATCATAAAAACGAACCTCGTCAAGAATTGATTGCATTCGCTATTCGCCGCCCCCCTTAACGACACGTTCATTATTCTCGCCAGACAATTTTTTCCCTGTCCGATGAAACTAGTATATCCCTTGTTTTTGATACCGCAGCACCCACAGGCCAACTCATTCATAGCATCATAATCCTATCCCATCACATACGCTTCCCCTGTTCATCATCATCATCAACTAGCCGCTCCGCTATTCGTCCCGTCCAAGCCCGGAAACTGCACCGGGTCCATGGCCATGTACTCGAGCAGATCCAGCCCGCCGACGTTGACGCCCTCGGCCGTCATCGCCACCGAGCTGTTCTCCATGTTTTGGAAAAAGGCCGGCCCCGGCGGCAGGTACCACATCTCGCTGCCGGTGTTGTTCCACTCGTCAAACAAGTTCACGTCCATGTTGCCGGCGCCGGCGCCCGACGTGTTGCTGTTGTCCGCCGCGGGCGTCGACGGGCCAATGGACGACGCTCCGTGGTACGGGAAGTTGCCGGTCGAGAGGTCAAACGGCGTCGCCGAGATGTTGTTTGCCTCGGTGGTGATGGTGGGCGTCGGCACTCGGTCTGCAGAGGACAGCACGGTTAGTTTCTTGCGACAAAGGGGCTACATGGATACATCTCTCAAAGACTTACAGTGCCCGTTGAGGCCGTCTCTAAGCCTCTGCGCGTGGCTGCCCACCCAATTTGCACCATTCTCCCCATTCTCACCATTCTGCTGCTGCTGCTGCTGCTGCTGCGGCCCAGCGCCCGCGCTGCCCGTCTCCGGAGCCGGGCTCTGCGTCTTGGCAGACGGCTGCTGCATCGGCGCCTGGATGAACCGGTTCCGCAGCCGACTGGTCAGGGACTCGAGCAAGTCGGCGAACCGGATGCCCAGGTGCACGTCGTCGACGATGCAGTTGCGGAGCGCCTCGACCGTGGCGTCCATCAGCTCGATGCTCAGCTTCACGTCGGACCGCGGCGCGCCCAGGGCAAACGTCTTGAGCAGGAACATGGCGCCGCTGATGATGCGAAAGTACGTCCGCACGGGCGCGTGCTTGAGGTAGCCGCCAGGCAACAGGCCCTCGACGACCGTCCGCAGCAGGTTCCGGCTTCCGTCAACCACCTCGCGCACGTACTCCTGGTCGTGCACGGTGAAGCCTCCCAGCTGGCCCAGCGGCAGCTTGCCGTAGTTGATCATGGTCTGCGGGGACAGGTGCGTCGGCTGGAGCCCGTTGCCGGAGCTGGCGGTGTTGCCCGCATTATTAGTGCATCGCTCGACTACCGCCTGCAACGAGAGGGAGTTGATGTAGATGCGGACGTATTCGTACTCGATGGTCAGGATGTGCCGGATGTACTGCGGCAGGCGGAACAGCTCAAACTCCCGGTACCAGTCCTTGAGCAGCGGCGTAAAGTCCCTCAGCAGGTCGACGTACTTGCCCGACTGGATAATCTCCGTGGTGTGCTTGCGGGTCTTGAAGAGCTTCTCGTTGCCGAGGTGCATGGCGTTGCTGATGCCCGCCCAGCAGTGGATGATTTGATCGTCCAGCTCGAGATCCGGGACGTAGTTGAAGCCGTTGGCCAGCGAGGACGGGTTCGTCGCGGGCGTGCCGCTGCTGTCCGTGGTCAGGGGCCTCTGACGGGCGACGGCGGGATCGGCCTTGCGCAGGTGCTCCGGCGTCATGCTGGTCCAGCCCAGGCGGCCGGCGAGCTGGCTCGTGTAGATGAGCAGGAGCCGCTTGATGCGGTTCGCGCGCTGGCGGTAGACCTCGTCCTTGTACTCGGGGCGGGTGATGGCGTCGTCCTTCAGCAGCTCGTCAATGTCGTCAAAGACGCCAAGCTCATACGCCAGCCCCATGGCGGTGCTGAGCAGCATCCAGCACATGCGGTCGCTCCTCCACGCCGGTTCCAGCCAGCTCTCGATCCTCTTGCCCCCGATGCCGGCGCCAATCGTCCTGTGCAGCTCATCTTCAGACGCCATCAGAGGGGAGGCTTCGGCAATCGGGAGCACCAGCTCGTCGGTGGCCTCTTGTGGGGGGAAGTGTAAAGCGCGAGGGTGCCACTCGGTCAGGATCAGCAGCGACTCAATGGTGCCCAGGGTCCTCAAGCTGCCTTTACGAAGGCCTCGCCATGGCGCCGTGCTGCTTGTCTGGGACTCTTCGGTCAGCATGGAGGCGGATCCTGAGCCGCAGAAGCCGCCGCCAAATGCCTCCTGTCCCCATAGACATCTCTCAATCATGCCGCGCAGATAGGTCCATAGCTGCTCCGGCACCGCATGTGATCTACATATACCACCGGTGCCGGGAAGCTGGCAATATCTTGAGGAAATCGTGAGGAGGGTGACTGTTAGGATGGGCTCCTCGGTCAGGAGGGTGAGGTGAGTCGCAGGGTTGCTAAAGGTAGGAGGTGAGATCGGTGTAAGTGGTGAAAGGTATTTATAGTAGCTAGAAGAATGTTAGCCTTGCTATGTTTCGTACAAAGACGGCGGATCCTCAAGAAGCCTTACTAGTCGATGTATTCAATGGCTTCTTGCGCGGTGAACCACCCAGCACGCACGAAGCGGAATCTCGACCACGCTCTGAGGGCGTCCTCGTAGCCAGGCTGGGAGCTCAGCATCGGACGCGCCAGGTTGGGATCGATGGGCTGCTCGGACCGGACGGATATGGAAGGCCCCCTCGACTTGGCACGATGATGGCCAGGCTCGTCCGCTGCCTGCGCCTGCTGGGGCGGCCCCGGGGCGATGGAGGCCATGCTTGGCTGGCGCCTGTGTGTATCCGCAGCCGGGCTGGACTCGCGGTTAGCAGTGGCGTGAGCAAGCGACGACGGCACGACAAACCTATCCGTCGCGGCCTTGTAGAGCAGGTCGAGGGCGTCGTGGGGCCCGTAGACGCCGCGCCTCATGACGGTCTGGGCCTCGAGGTTCTCGAGCGTCTGGTTGGAGTCGCCATCGCCGTCAAACTCGCTGCCGGTGCGCGCCCGGCCACCGCCAGCCTTGCCGTCCGGCCGCCGCAGCGGCTGGTTCCTCCCATGGGAGCCTCCCGGCGTCAGGGGCGTGTCGCTGTACTGGCGGCGGTCGAAGCGGGAAAAGGGCGGGCTGTCGGCGGCGTGCAGCTTCTTGCGGCCGTTGCGGACGACGTACTCGTCGGCGTCGCTGTCGTCCTCGTCCGTCTTCCGCTTGCGGCGCGTGGCGCTGAAGAAGCACTCCTTGCTCTCGCGGCGGCAGCGCACGCACGGCGGATCGTGGGGGTTGTCGACGCTGCCGAGGTCGCATCGCACCTTGCGGCGGCGGCACGGGATGCACGCCTGGTAGACGCGCTTGTGCTGGGGAGGCTGCTGCTGCTGCTGCTGCTGCGAGGATTGCGCTGGCGCAGGAGCCTGAGCCTGCGTCTGGGCAGGGGTTGACTGCTGCTGCTGCTGCTGCTGCGCTGATGCCGTCGTCGCCGTCGACTGGGCGGGACTCGCGACGCTCGTGTATTGGGCCATCTGCTGCTGCGTCGGCACACACCACCCAACAGGCAGCGTGAGATTGTCGAGCGCGGTTTGCGGCGGGATGGGCGAGGGCAGGATAGGCCGAAGTCAAGCGCAGGAAAACGAAGCGCTCTCTGGCTTCGCTCGGGTCTGCGGGGTCTCGTGTCTCGCGCGCAGAGGGCGAAAGGCGAACTCGAGCCCGTATATAAAAAGATGCGAGGTCAAACCACCCTCTCTCTCTCTCTCTATCTCTTTCTGCAGACGGGGGCGCTTTAGAGAGGCGGGAAAACAAGCCAAGGGATTTCGCCGTCGCCGGATGTGGCTTTCCCCCTGTACGTTTTTTATCTCTCTTCTTTTCCCCTTGACCGTTTCCGCCGGTTTCTCGTCTGCAGGCGATGGTGAAGTAAGGTAAGGGAAGAAAAGGGAGACGAGGCCACAGTGGGAGGACGGGGGAAAATTGTTGTGTAAGAGGAGGATGCGCCGAGACCGAGAGAGGAAAAAAGTTACTAAGGCCAATTGAAGCCGGCGCGCAGCTGAACGAGGACGTAACAGTTTTCCAATCTCGATTCTGGACTCTGCCCTACTCTCGAGGTCTGGTCTGGCCTTTTCTTTTTCCCTTGCCCTTTTCCTTATTCTTGCTTCACCTGACCTTTTCCAGCAGCATGACTATCACCTGGATCCAGGTGGTACTGAGAGGAAAAGGCGGTCTCGTCCCCCCAGCTTCACTGCTGATATACAAGATGAATTGCAGTCGTCTTTCAGCTCTCCCGGCGGTTTCTGTTACTGTACCTGCAATTGTACTGCTTGTACTTTTGTACCTCCTTCCCCTCTCTTTTTTTCCAATGGTTCCCGGCCCGCGTCGCTCCTGCCCCCAGAAAGAGCCAACGCCAACGCCCATGCTAACGAGCTACTAGTATTACAGTACTGTACATACAAGGCAAGAACAAAGACCGATCGATGCAGATGCAGAAACAGCAGGAGCATCAGCCACCAAATCTCAGCGCCTCACAGTGTCTTTCTCGTGAGTACTTTCTCGGTAACTCCCTTACATGTGTACATATACGACTTCAGTTTGCAAGATTAGCAGCCCAACCATGAATACTAGTAGCGACAGCATTCAAAACACAGGCAGCGCGGCCTCCCTTTTTTCTCTTGCACTTCTGCACCGCGCTTTCCTTCCTTCCCCTTCCCATCCCCGGAAGACCCGCCCTCGCATTTTCTCTGATTCTCTAGCAAGTCTACTTGTCTACCTAGGTACCTCTACCTTGGGCAACCACCCCCACCAAACGCGTCGGCCAATCAGTGCCCCTCCAATGTTTGCGTCTGGCTACCGACCTACCTAGGTACCTAGGTAGTAGCCAATCAGAGACAAAAGCGATTTTGCTCCCCCAGCAAAAGGACCTAGGTACTTTGGCCCTCTCTTTTTTTTTTTTCCATCGTGCGTACCTGTACTGTACTGTGCACCCTGAGGTCCAACTTCTGATTAGTTCATGTGATTGATTTGACAGGATTCCCTACTCGTGAACCTTTGCCTACCTACTATCACTCTATCTATACTGTTCTTCATCGAGATCCTGACACTTGAAATGTGCTCTGCTCTGCTCGCGATTCAATGCAAGGGGGCTTGATAAGTTTCCCCAGTCTGTAAAACTTCTCTTTCCCCTTGCCGTTAGGCATCAGCAATCAGCAGCGGCATCAGATGCCGGGCATCATGTGCAGTCTCAAAACCCATACAGAAAGCTGCTATTTATGGCTGACTTTTCTTCCCCCCCCCCCCCCCCCCCCTTCCTCATGAAAGGCATAATGATACATCACTGTGTCATGTTCTCAGAGTGGTGCCTCGAGATCGAGATGCTTCAATACAACAGAACCTACCTAAAGTAACCTAACAGTAAAAAAACTCCCTAGGCATATCGATGAGATGCCAGACTGTTCAAATCCATAGAGTTCTATCAAGTCGGTGTATAAGTTTCCAAGTCATTGCTCTTAGGCTTATTATCACATTGATGTAAACATACTCATTGTTCTGGAAGCCGCTGTGCAAAGAAGCCATCACGCCCGATCCCAAATCATCCACCTTTAATCATCCTTTGGCAAAACGCCATTCCCATATCACCTACCTCCCTCCCTCCCTCCCTATTAATGCAAGGGGACCAAAAAGCAACACATCATCTCACATGAGCCCTCACTTCCACTAGTACCTACCTTACCTTGGAGCCTCCACGTCATCAAACCAAGCTCAGACGCACATCAGATATATCCATGTAAACCAGCACTTACAAGATCTTAAAAAAAACGTCATGGACTTCAACTACTACTGTATCATCTCGACACCAGGTAGCAGCAAATTTTACTTGCATCCCAGAGTTTCACGACTTTTCCCTCTTCCTTCACCGCGTCCTCTACCCACTTGCTATCCGACCTGTAGCCACCACGAAGGAAAACACGGATTAAGTGCACACTAGAAAAGAAATATTGACCAGATCAAAGAGTGAGTGCGAGAGGCCGAAGAGCAGTCCATTTGCCAAGCACGTCGATGCGGGCGTCCTCTTACTACCAGGGAACAAATCGCAGCCTTCAGACGGCAAACAAAATAGAAACACCAAGGCCATTACCCCCCCTCTGAGCGGAGTCAGATAGTAGTAACAGGTAGAGAGTGTCGAGTAGGACTCGTCGTGACAGACAGAAAAAAAGACGTGACCGATTTCGCGGTTGTCGTTTCAGCAAACCCCCCTTTCGTCCCCAGGCAGTTGCGCGCCTCGCCTCGCCTCTGTACCCTCTGCGTACATGTAACCAATTACTTCCGTCGTGTCGACCGATATCCTCGTTGCTTAATTTTTTCATGATGCTCCCTGCCGTGACATACAAAGAAAATAAAAGACATTTCTGCTACTCTCATCTCAAACGGCGGCCGCCTGCAATCCATTGACCGTGGGAGGCGCTCAGAGGTGCACCATCTAGGCGACAAGACCCTTCTTCAACTGTGCGACGCCGCGCTGTCAGGGCTAATTCATTTGAGCTTCATCCGGGATAACTTACCAGGTGATCCCAGAGCTTCGTGGTCAGGGTATCCGGCATGGTGTACAGATCGATGGAGAATTCGCCAGCTTCAAACAGGTTATTCACTATCCGGAAAGAAGAAAAAGCATCAACACAGGGGATGGACACAGCCGACCAGATGAAAAAGAAAAAGAGCGCGCTGGTTCCAAAACTCACCTTCCACATCGCTTCGGATATAGGTATCCGGCGTCTTGTTCTCGTTGATCAACTGGATGACGCGCAGCAGGTCCTCCTCCTCAAGCTTCTCGAGCGCATCGGCAATCTTCTCGTAGTCGTACTTTTGGGCGCTCTTCTTGCCCGCGATGCCCTTCTTCTTGGGCCGGTCCTCGTCGGACGGCAGCGGGCCCGACTCGCGCAGCCGCTCCTGGAGCGCCTGGGAAGGGTTCTTGAAGACGACAGTATGCGTGACCTCGTATCTCTCCTTGGCAAAGTTAAGGTCGTGGATGATGGGGGCCAGCTTGGTCTTTTCCGTGGTGTAGAGGTCGATTCCAATCTCAAATTCACCCCAGCCCTCGTTGGAGCAAATGAAGGGAGGCTTTGTGAAGGCTAGTCACGTCAGAGAGATGCCAAGAGAACACACGACAAGCAGAGAAATGAGCTGGGGTGAGGAAAACCCAAGCTCACGGCACCATGACTTACTCTGGACGGGGTTCTCGAATGTGGGATGCAGGTGGTAGACCACCTTGGTGAAGACGTCGGCAGGCCGCTCATTGCCCTCCTCATCCAGCAGGTGAAGCCGCAAGCTCCATTGCCGCATGGGGAACTCGGCCACGGGAGAAGGCTTGTCACTGCAGCATACGGGTCAGCATGAGGCAGGGCAAGGCAGGGCGGCTCCAAAGAGAGGAGGAGGTGACGCAGAGTAAAAGGGACCTCCTCCAACAATGACCCCCAGTTTGCCTTGCCAACTCAATGACAAGGCAACAAGGAAATCTGCTGGCAGATGCCGCGGCAGAGAAGAGCGGCAAAGTCGGATTCGGGGCATGGTAAGAAGAGGACTCACATGACGTGCTGCTCCGTCACCACCTTGATTTTCCTCTGTTGTCCGTCAGCTTCGGGCTCGGCCGTACTCCCCAGCTTTGCAGCGCGCGGCGCTCCTCTGCGACTGCGGAGCATCATCGTGAAAACAGAGATGAGAGTTGTGAGAAATCAACACTGGTGAATGCTGCACAGATGGAATAAGTGGAATCGAGAGGAGAAGAAACAAGTCTATCCTTCAAAGAACAGCAGGTGCCGGCGAAGGCCTTGGCGGGAGCAGGTATTGTGCGTATGTTGGTGACGCGCAAAGGGCTTCAACACGCGAGCTGAGAAAGGCCTCGGAATGATGCAACAAGTGAAGATGGAGAAGACCTCCCGAGCAGCAGAGTCTCGCGAGGAGCGGAATAAAAGAAGAAAAAAAAAGGAGTGAGCAGGAAGAGCAAGGCCATTCATTCAATCAATGGGAATGAATGTCCCTCCAGGGCCAGGCAAAAACCCACGACCGGCTGGCAGTTGGCGAACGCTCCCATCACCAGCTGGCAGCCGTTCTTCTTCTGCCCGCAGTTGCAACTCATTCGCCCTTCCCTGCCACCGCCAGTCCCCGTCGCCATGGCCAAAGACGAAGGGAAAAGCTGCTCCTTTCAAACAACATCTTGACTCGCCCTGCTGCCCGGTACGTGCCCCAATGCTCTCCCCGTCGTCGTGCAAACCAAAAGACTAAGAGATGTGATGACGAAAAGGATGGAACGGAAAAAGGCCCATGTTCCTCTGACGATGTATAAACCGTGTCCAATAGGAACAATACCAACCGAATTCACGAACCGCCACGGAATCCAAGATGAATGAATAAAAAGAACAACGAGGGGGAGCAAAAGCAAAAAAAGAAAGCCGCGTGTTCAAATGAAAAGAACTCACCTCGACCAACATGATGCTGAATCCGTCGTTTCCCTTTCCGATACTTCCGTCCGTCAAAAAATAAAAGAGGATTTGTGAAGAAGAAAAAAAGAGCTTCCCTCTATTACAGACCGGAGATGGTGGCAAAAAATTGGGAATTCCCCGGAGGCGGAGACCAAGAAAAAAATTAGGATGATACAAAAGATGGGCAAAGAAGGGAAAGAAGGAGGGAAAAAAAAGAGGACTTTGAGACCTGTCAAAAAAAAAAGGTCACCGAGAGTTCTGAGAAATGGCGGCTCCTTGTTCCCGTCCAGTGTCCAGCGGCCGTGTTCCAGCGCCTGTCGTTGCAGCGAGTGAGTGAGTGAGTGCCGGGCTGTCCTGCTCTTCCAGGTTGTTCCTTCAAGCTGTCTTCTCTGTCCTGTCACTGTCACTGTCACTGTCCTGTCCTTGTCAGACGCAACGCAGCTCACGCACACACGCGGACGGGCACGAACACGCAAAAGGACACAAACACGCGGGCACCGGTTCCGAAGGGGCGGTTGATGGAAGGGGGGAGAGAGGGAAGGGAAACAGAAGACGAGGAAGACAACAACAAGAAGAAGAAGAAGAAGAAGAAGAAGGACGACAAGGGAGACAAAGACCCCAGGGAACAAGCTTTCTCAAAACGAGGGACGGCACGCACCCAAATTGCCTTTTCGACGAATTGATCTTTCGGCCCAAAAGCTTGATTCGGATTCCTTTCTGTTGGGTATTTGTCTCCTCGTGGCTTACAAGATACCAATGGCAAGGCAAGGCAAGGCAAGGCAAGGCAAGGCAAGGTAATGAGGTAAGGTAGCAAGCGGATCTGCGGCAAGATTTCAAGGGAGAAGAGAGAGAGAGAGAGAGCGAGAGTAGAGAGACAGAAGCGCCCGCGTGTAGACTATGTACAAGGGAAAAGGGCTGGTTGGCTGCCCGGCTTGGGCTTGAGGCTGGGCTTGGGCTGAGGCTGGCTGGCTGGCTGGCTCTTCCGGCTCTTGTCCTGCTGTCCCAAGCAAACAAAGTGTCCCCAGTCTGCTACTAATCAGACGCCTCTAATAATAATTCGTTCCCGCCTCTTCCAGGGCAGCAAAGCTCAACGCTCGGGTCTTTTCTTGCTTTTGGGCCAAAAAAAAAAAAAAAAAAAAAAAAAAAAAAAAAAAAAAAAGCGGTTCCACTTCTCAGCGTCCCATCCCATCGATTTTACACTGGCATTGGGAGAATGAGACATGACGACAGGAGACGGGAAAAGAGAGAGACTCGGTTCCATCTGCTGCTAGTATCTGACCTGTTATGTAGTCTCGGCTATAATATGTCCTTGATCTCTATGTACGCCTCTTTCTTTTCTTCGTAAAGCAAATTCTATGCCATTCTTGATGCTATTCCCCCAATGCTGTCAAAGGCTGTCTAGAGTCTGCCCGTACCGACAAGCCATAATCATTGGACACACACACACAAGCACAAGGGAGGTAGGTTAGGTAGAAGCCCAGTCGTCGTCCTCCGTCATAGCCGCCAAACGCGGCACGCACCCGCCCAGATCGGACGGAATCTGGCCTGGCCTGGCCTTGCCTTGCCTTGCTTGGATTTTCTGTTCCGCCGGCGCGCTAGAAGAAAGAGGGAAGAATAGGAGAAAACATGTACCCGAATCAAGAGACAACAGCAACGGGCTTGGGGTGGGACGGAAATGCTGCGCGCCATCGTCTGGCGGCAATATCAGGAAGCCGTTCCAAGTACCTACTATAGCTCTCTGAATTCTGCATTCGAGGCTGAAATCACACCTCGTATGACGATTTTTGGTACATTCTACAGCGCCATATTGAATTGTTCATGCATCTGCCCGTACTACCTTCTACAAACATCATCACATCACACATCTCGAGTGCTCTTTGAATTCAACTTTTTGATTCTTTCAGGGTGCTGCAGTACTAGTCAATCGCCATTATTCGTCCTCTCCTCGGGCATGCACCACTTGGTGCTCAGTGGCCAGGGCCTCTCCAGTCTCCGTCCTCCAGGTCGACAGGCTCTGCTACATCGACCTGGTACAGACTACATGGCGAGCCATGTGTCGTTTATGTGTGTGTGTCGTCATGTTGTGATGTGATGGGGCGTGGGGTGTGTCAGGTAACAGCATCTCCGTGTCTTGGTCAACAGCGGATGCGCGGTGCGTGTTGGGGTTATGATGGTTCGAGAAGCGGCAAGCATTGTTCGGGGTCGGTGGTCGGGCAAGGAAGCGTCGTCGACTTAAGCGGCAGTCTTCTCCTCCTCCGCCTCCTTCTCCTCCTTGTCGTCAGAAGAGTTCTTGAAGAGATGGGCGCTCTCGCTCTGAGCCTTGAGGAACGCATCGCGGAACTGGTTGGCATCTGTAGATGATCATGTTAGTGAACAAGGGCATCTCCCATGGCTGGAGGCAGGCATGACGTACTGTCGGAGTTGGCGAATCGAATAGCCAGAGTGACGGCCTCGGGCTCGCCCTCGCTGACATCGGCGGCAGCGTTCCACACCCAGCTTCGGTCAGAGCCAACGTTGGCGGACAGAGAGATCTCGGGCACAACTGCGCGCATTTGCTGTCAGCTACCTAGTTCCATCATCGACGAAACCCCTTCTCATGGGTTACATAGAAGGGGATGAACAAGGGGAGGGCACATACTGTAGTGGTTGGCGCAGACCTTGAGCGTCTTCTCCCGTCGCATCACCAGGCGCACCTTTGCCGTCTCCTTGTGCTTGAGCAGCCTGACGTCGCCAGTTCCTCGCTCCTTCCACTCGCCGGCGGCGGCGGGCGCCTCCTCACCCTCCTTCTTGGCCGCCTTGACAAACTTGAACAGCTTGGCGCGCATCTTGAAGAGCTGCTCCTCCGACTCCTCGTTGGTCTTGACCTCGACCTTTTCCGTCAGCTTGACGACGGGCTCGAAGTGGACGTCTTCGCTCTCGGGGGCCTCGTCCTGTTGATGCAGAAAACAAAAAAAAAAAAAAACGTATCAGCGCATCATGATGGTTGTGGTATGATTTGTTGGGGTTCAGAAGAGCGCTCACCTCCTCGGCCTTGGCCTCGCGCTGGGCCTTTGCGCTGCCGGAGTTGTCACCCCGGTCCTCGTCCTCCTTCTTCTCCTTCTTCTCGCCTCCGCCGAACATGGAGAAGACGGACGAAGAGGTCACGGAGGGAGCCTACACGAACACGTCGTCCCAGTCAGCACAGTACCCAAGAGTAGGAGATGCCCCGCAGCGTTCGATATCAGTCGGTCGATGAGGCGTCAAGGGCGGGATTTCGTACCTCAGCCTTGGTCTGCTCGACCTTGGGCTCGGTGGCGGCGTCGGTGGAAGACATCTCTGTTGTGGAAGAGAGAGATGTAGGATCGGATATAATAGGTGGAGAAGAACAAGACGAAGAGGGATTCTGTTTCCGTGCGATAGGAAAGAAAGTTGTCAGTCGTGGCTTTTCGTCGGAAGGGGAAGCAGTTGAAGAGATAGAAGAAAAAAAAAGGAAATGAAATAAAATAACAGGCACGCAAGTTCTGGTCAGTAGTGGCGTGGCGGGGTCACAGAAGGACAAAGAAGCAAGCTGATTCAGTTCCTCTCTGCCCCTCCTCCTCCACGGCTTTGGGGGGGGGACAAACGCGGCACTTTATAGGTCGTCGGACAGCGAAAAGGAGCAGAGACTCACCTCAAGGGGACACGGGAAGCGCTGGCGATGAGGCTGGACGTATGTCGCAAAGGAGAGAGAGAGAGAGTCTACGGAGTCGTGGACCTATTTGGGAGGGGTGCGGTTGTCGTCTTGTCTGCCTTGGATAGCGGGGAACGGCGAAAAAATTAGAGAGGGAAATGCAAAACAAGTCGGCGGTTGGTGCAGCCTCAAGGTTTTTTGGTGTCTGGCTGTGTACTTGTGTACCTAGGTAGGTACCTTTTGTCTGTGCCCCTCCTTTCAGCCTGGGCAAGCGGTGGGCGGAATAAGGCCGGGCCTCTTCAGATTACGCGCATACAAGCCCGAAGAAAATATACACACAATTAACACGCATAGCGCTCGCTTATTACTAGAGGTAGGTAAGTACCTAGTAGAAATCAATATGCCCATACAGTTCGCTTAAGTGTGAATAATTCCTCTGTGTTTGTCTATTTTACGCTCATCGCCTGCTCAGGTGGCTTTTCCCATCAGTGGCGGGGCCCCTGGTCTTCACTTCACTGATACATAAGGTACCTATTGTAGAATAATACATGTCCCGATTGCTCCAACAGCAGCACAGAGAACACACCTACTAGGTAGTAGTAGTTATTACTCATTCAGGTCCTAATGCATTTCGCCTAAAAAGTATTTAGGCAGCTAAATAGTATAACTTCCTAAACCTATAATAAAATAAATATGCCTAAAAGTATCCTTTTTTTATATTTATAATACTAAGTTAGTAAGCTATACTATATTTATAAAAAGAAGCTTACTGCTTTTAAATAACTATACTATTATATTTTATAATTTATAAAGATTATAATATTTAAAATACTTTAAATTATAAAAAAAAATAGCTATATTTAAAGTTATTATAATAAAATAATTATAATTTAATATTTTAAGCTATAGCAGTAATATTTAAGGCCTTAGCTATAAAATAATTAAATAACTAGATATTATTTTTCTTTAGCCTAGTACTTAAAGCTATTTATAAAGGCATTATAAATTTAAATAAAGCCTTATATTTATAATAAGGCTTTAAAAAGATATTTAATTTTATAAAAATATAGTATTTTAATTAACTTTAAATAGCTAAAATATTAAAGAATAAATATTATTATTTAAAAAAATTCTAATATATTTTTAATTATATAAAAGGGTAATTAAGGATAATATATAATAAGAAAATAAGGACCTTAAATATAAGCTATTAAAATTAATAACTTATAATTACTTAATATAGTTATTTTAGCTAAAAGGTTATTATAAATAGTTTTTTAATTAATAATAATATTTTAATTAATAATTAGTAGGAAATCTTTATAAAAAACTAACCTATTAAAGAATATATTTAAAAAGCTAGTAATATTAAAGGCTTTACTATTATTAAAGGAATTAGCAGTTAAAAAAGTACTTAAATTAATAAAAATATTATTATAAAAAGTGCAGACTTACTTAATATTATAAAAAAGAATTTAAAGGAATTTAATATAGCTAGGGATAATAATAATAAAAATAAGGCTATTATTATTATATAACTTAAAATAATATTATAGCTAGTAATACCTTTATTAATAATACCTTTACTAGCGCTAATAAAGCTATTATTAATATTAAAGGTATTAGTATTAGTATTATTTATTAAAATAAGGTTAAGGAAAAAGAGGTTATTAAAAAGAGCTTAAAGCCTAGTATTATTAAAAGCTATTTAATAGCTATTAGCTATATAAGTAGTATATAACTTATAGCTATATTAATATATTATCCTTTATAAATAACTTCTAGTTAATATAAAGGCATTTAAAAATACTATTAAGGAATATTTTAAATTTATTAATAATAAAAGTATAGAATTTTTAATTAAATTAGTTTATTAAATATAAGAAGATTTAATTAATTTATTAATATAGAATTTATTATTAATAAAAAAGGTAAAAAAGGTATAGTTAGTTATAAACTTTAGCTAAATTTCTAGTATTCTTTTTAATATTTAAAAATAGCTTTAAAATATAAAATAAATAAATAAAATATTAATAACTTAGCTACTGCTTAAGCTATTTAATAAATTAACTAATTTATAATAATATAAAATTTTTATTAATTTAACTTAAATTTATACTTAATTTTTATACTTTTTATTATTATTAATGCTTTATTTTAATATTACTATTACTATTACTATTACTATTATTATTTTTTTAATTATTAAAGCTATTATTAAAGTTATTTTTAGTATTTATATAATACTAATAGCCTGCTTAAGCTGCCTTAATTATATATTTCCTTATTTAATAACTTAATAATAATAGTAAAATAAAATTAGCTATTTTTTAAGCTTATACTAGGATTAATTATTCTTTTTTAATTAAAGCTGCCTTAGTTTTAAAATAGCTTTTTATTAATATTATGCCTTTAAGTATTATAAAGTTATAAAGCCTTATAATAGTATATATAAAAAGAACTTAATTAATAAAATTATATTTTAAAGTGCTATAATATATAATTTTTTACTTTTATTTATAGTAGCTAAAGATATACTTTATAATAGTCCTTAATAAGGCATACTATAAGTTAAAAAGCTTTTTATTATCTTATAGTTATTAATTTATATTACCTTAGTCTTTTAAATAATAATATACCTTAAAATATAGTATTATAATCCCCTTTTATATTTTAAAGCTAGTATTATTAAAAAAGAATTATAACTTAAGGATTATAAAATTCTAAGTTAAAGCTTATAGTAAAAAAGTAGTATTATTAATAAAACCCTTAGCTTTAGCTAGTATATAATAAAATAAGCCTTTTAAAGTAATACTAGTAAGTATATTTTATAATATATTATTTTTCCTTAACTAAAAGTATTACTAATTTATTATAAAAATAAAGGCTAGGATATATATTTTATTAATTATATTAATTATACTTTTAAAGCTAATTACTTTATTATTTAATATTACTTATAGTAAGATATATATTACTAGTAGTATTATTATAAAAGCTATATATAGCTGCCTTATAAAATTAAGTAAATTACTAATAATTTATAATATAAATAATTAATATATTTAAAAATAATATATAATATTATATTAAGTCTTATTAAATATATAGATTTAAAAAAATACTATTACTTTTTACTTTAGTAATTATAATTAATTATTAAAGGCATTAGTATTAAGTCTTAGCTAATTATAAAAGGTATAAAATATAGCTTTTATTATATAAAATTATTCTTTAAATCTTTTTTCTAACCCTTAAAGGATTTTATTATATAATTACTAAAAGGCTATAATTATAAAGCCTTAAAGGCTATTATTATTATTATCTTTATTATTATTAGTTTATTATTATTATAGCTATAATACTTTTTAATTTTTAATATTAGCTATTATTAATAAAAGTATAGTATTTTTAAAATCTTAATTATTCTTATCTGCCTTAACTATAGCTTTAAAAAACTTATTACTTATTATAATAATAATTAAATTTAATAAAAAGTTAATTATAACTTTTATTACTATACTTTAATAATAGCTAATAAAATTTCTAATATATTTATATTTAAATACTTTTTAGCTATTACCTTTTATTTATAATAGAATTTCTTAAATATTTTTAGTAACTTTATTAATTATAATTATTTATGCAGCCCCTACTAGTTTAGTATATTAATAACTAGGGGGTATAGGATTTAGGAAGTTATATAAAAAATTATACTAATAATTACTTTCTTTTTTAGTAAGGTTACTTAAAAAGTATTTAGATTAGCTGCCTAAATACTTTTTAGGCAAAATGCATTAGGACCTTAGGCATAACACCAGTGGCGACATTATTTAACTGTTTAGCAGCCCCCTTATACAAGCCCAAGGTTCGTATCACAAACTTCTCAACCAAGTCATGCCAAACAATCTATTTCATCTGCCAAACAGCTCCAAGAAGTAACAAACAACCGCCATTCAAACTCAGTGAAGCAAACACTCTGTAGATAGGTAGGTAGGCATGCTAGTATGTTCAGCAACCACCCAAGATAAACAAAAAAAAAGTCACCGGCACGTGGCTTTGAGCTATTTAACGAACAGGGACTAGAGATCATGCAAGATCACGGGAGACGTGAGATGGAGGGTGACCAAGTGACACGCAAGCACTTGTTCTAGAATGCCCTGAGCGCAGATCTCCATTATGCTTTCCCGTCAGGTCTGCCAGATCTGTAAAGACATGGCTACAACATGGTGATGCTCTCTTGGTACCTACAAAGGTAGCTGGACATGTCACACAACTGCTCAGATGAGAGTACAGGTAGGCTCCATGAATGCCCAAGTAGTCATATGTCAACTATCATATCACGACATCGACCACAGCAGTCGGGCAGGAAAAGTAGCACATATATAGTTGCCTCTGCATTGCCAAACAACAAGAGCCATCCCCTGACCATCAATCACAACCTGAAAAGCTACCACATAGAGGGGAGGAAAAAAAAGAAGGATGTTACAATATCAAGGGAAATCCATAACTCCGTCCAGCCGTTCCAACCTGTTTCTGTTCGTTCAAGTTCATTAAACCATGTATCGGATCCTCGCGGATTCCTGCGTTTGCACACTGAAGAGGGGCTAAAAGAAAAAAAAGGACAAAAGGACACCAGAACAAGCCACTCTTGTGGTGTGCCTAGTTAACAAGTCTAGCCCAGAACCGTGATGCAGACTTCAAGAGCTCGTGCGAGTCCTTCTCGGCGTGCTTCATCTCCGCGGCTGCGGCGTGCTTGTCGGCCGAATACGACTTGGCTTTGCGCAGGTATTCATCGTGCTCCTCGGCGCTGCCAAAGGCCTGCAGCCACCAGAGCTTGGCTGACAGCTGGGCGTCGAGGAGCTGCAGCTGCAGCTTGTTCTGGGCGTCCTTCACCCATGGCAATTCCGTCTTGAGCAGCGACTCGATTTTGCTCACGTCGATCTTGCTCGCGGCCTCGTCAAGCTGCGCCTTGGCCGTCACCGCAAAATCTTCCAGGTGCTGCCGCACGCCTGCGATGCTGGCCAGCTTGGCGCCAAATGTCTTGGAGACGGTCTCAGTGACTGTGTGGCAAACGCTTTGGCATGCCGAACCCAGCGACTGCTTGGCATTCTCGAGGCACCGCTCTGCCTCCTGAGCAGCTGCGGGTACGAGGCCCGACAGATCGTGGGCGAGATGCTTGGTCCGCTCCAGAGCGCCCTCCATCAAGCCCCTGACAAAGCGGACCTTAACCACTTTGTGAATCTTTGGGCGGCAGCTGGCCTCGAGGACGACGCTGATGACGCCGTGCAAATCCCTCTTGGCAAACCTGAGGCGGAGGCCCTCGTCCACCGGCGATACGGTGGTGTCGACAAGGACCTCATCTCTCTTGGTCGTCACCGTCAGGCAGTCCTTGGTCAGCCATGTCTTCTTGATATTCTCGGGGATGTGAATCACAATCTCATTGTTTGCTTCGGCGGTGAATGACACAGTCGGCCTCTTGGCTCCAAATATCCAGTCGACCGACTGGGCGTCGCTAATGGGCATCAAGGCCACGCCATTGGTAGATGAAGGCACGAGACTGCTGCTGCTACTGGAAGCCGGTAATGACGACGAAGAGGTGAGGTAGGACGTAGTCGTGACTGTGGCGGTTATGGGAGGCGACATTTGCTTGTTTGCATCAGAGGGCTGGGATGCTGGTAGGAAAATCTGGATGCCTATCAGGGCGACGAGGATGAACATGACGCTGGGAAAATATTCCCATGTTGCCTCGAGCCCGGCTTCCTTGAGCTGGGCTCTGATTGCGCCCCAACCCTCGGACGCCTTGGTGCTCCACGACTTCTTCTTCTCATCTTCGCCGGGCCGCTCGATGACTCGGCTGGCCTCGGGGGTCGGGAAGGACGGGGTTCCCAGGCTCTGCTGCGTATACTCGAGCGACGACTGCGAGTAGACGTCGTTCTCAAAGACCGGGAAGGGCTCGAGCTTGTTGTCCTCGTTTGTTATCTGGGACTCGGCCAGCACGGCGTCCTCATGCACCGAGTCCTCGTCGTCCTCTTCGTCCTCGGTTTCATCGCGCTCAGACGAGGCGCGATCAGGTGATGCGCCGGACATGTCGGCATCGTCTACGGCAGACTCGGTCTCGTACGAGTCCTCCGTGCCGGCCAAGCTCTGGACATCGTCTGCCCGGTCGAGCGAGCCGACAGACTCGCTAATAGAGCCAGGGTAGTTGTCATCCTGAGACTCCTCGGTGTCGGTGTTGGGGCCCGAGATGAGCTCGTAGGTCGACTCGCTCAGGCTGTTGTCGTCGTGGGTCGGAGCCAGCTCCATGATGTTGGGGTTGCTGCTGGATATCCAATTCGCAAGCTGCTTGTTGACCTGGGGCCTGGGGAAGCGGAGCGTGGGCTCCGAGGCAGAGAGTCCTGCAGCTGCTGCGGGCGTTTCTGCGTTGGCCGACGGCGACAGCGTTGAAGACTGTGTTTGCGTTTGATTCGAAGGTGCGGGACTGCTCACTCGGGCAAGCAAAGTATCGCGACGGGGAGGCGGGAGTGGTGACGATTCACTCTGTTCCATCACGAAGTGACTGTGGTCAGTTCTCGAGGACCATCTCACGCACCCAAGCGATGACTCGTCGACGGGCCCATGAATCAAGCAGGTCGCAGGCAGCTCGTTTCTCAGTGGCGACGGTGGGAGGCAGCAGGCTGGAAGGTGGCAGAGGCAGATGCAGATGCAGATGCAGACGCAGAGATGCTGTGAATGCGTGCACGCGGCCGACTTGATGGTGGAGGGGACAAAGAGGAGCGGCGGGGAGGGGCTGAGCTGGGGGGGGGGGGATGAATGGAGAGTGAGGTCAGAGGGCCGGCACTTGCAACAAGGAAATGACTAACCAGGGCAGAGGAACAGACAAGAGGGCTCGCGAGAGGCCAAAAGAGGGCATGAGCCAGAGGATCAAGAAGAAGATCGTCCCTCGAAAAGAGCTTGTCGCAATCGACAACAAGAATAGAGAGAGGCAAGCCGCGCGTGAAGCTGGTCGAGGCACGAAATGCAACCGCCCTGGAGGCTGAGCTGATGCCTGCGGGAACCCGAGGCTGCCTGATGGTCGCTGTAGGTTTAGCGGACGAGGGCGCTATCTGGCACCTACGGATCGCTGGTGGGGTTTTGGCGGTTGGGCTAGTAGGGGGATCGGATGGCGGGGAGCTTCTGCGCGTGACCCAGCAGGCGAGGCAATTGTCCGGGTTGAGACAGCTCGAGGTGGACTTGGACTTGGACTTGATCCCTAGTGCAGGCGTGAGATGGGGATGGTGGGCGGCTTGACAGGTTGACAGGCGTCCAAGGCAGCAGAGGTGATGCAGTGAGAGGAGGCTGTCTTACCTGAAGGTAAAGGGAAAACACCCGCACGACTCCTTTGACTTGACTGGCAGTCCCAAATAGGTACCGAGAAGGAAGAACTGGGAAAGAAGAAAAGGATCAACCCAACAGCCCGAGCAGCCCTCAAGCGAGGCAAGGCAATGTCAGACGAGGCTGCAAGGAAAGAAACTCGAATCGAAGCAAACCGACGAGGCGCGGTGGGGCCTGCGCCTGCGTGGCTTTTGATGGTTCGACCGACCAAAGTACCTAAGCAAATACTTTGGGTCTCTTTGCGCTTTTTGCCTTGAAGCTACCTTAAGTACTACCTACCTGTGTCGAATAATGATTGCTGTACGATGGTGAGGAGGCAAGTTGACTTGGGAGCCAAGTAACGCAACGACGACCAAGCATGCAAGGTCCCAGCGGCGATATGCACGCACACACGTCTCCGTTGATTTGCAGTCTGCTTGGTGGTGAGTGGTGAAGGCCTGCATGTGTGTCCCCATTTGGGAGGGGATGTACTCCGAGTGAGGGGTCTCGTCTGGTTGATGCACCACGAAGTGCAGTATGTACCTAGGTACCTGAACAGCTCAAAAGATCATCAAAGTACCTATCGAGCTCTGGATCTCCTTAAAGATAATACAAAGACACATGTTCATTAGAGCAAGGCTTCTGCAGACTGAACAACAACAAACTCATCCCATCAAACCCCGCCTCACCAGCATCAACACCAACACCAAAAGCATCCTCACCCAAATCTGACATGTGCTCGATTAACGGTACCTACGTCAGTCAAGTCAAGTCATCCCCCCTCCCACTGTGGACCCTCTCCTCTCTTTCCCGCCCTCCCGAAGCTTCCCAAAGCGCTTCTCCATCCGGACCTTGCGGGGCGCCCAAGGTACCCTAACTTCAATTTCAATTTTCGTCTTTTCTTGTTCTTAATTTTTTTTTCAAATACATGCAGGAAATCCACATAGTATCGCACTGCTGCAGCCCTCTCTTGTTCTGCTTCACTTACAAAGTTCTCTCATTCAAACCAAGGCGTCTCTCATTTCGAAAAGTTCGTTCAGCACTTGCAGATCCTTGAGGTTCAAACGACAAAGTTCCGTCAAGACCTGCTTGGCTCATCTGTTGAAATAGGTACCTAGTATTCCCCCGAGGTATGAAAAGCCACTCCAAGCCCAAAAATGCTTCGTCATCCTGCCTTCGACCTGTGCCTGTCTCCGTCCTCGGCTTCCCACCCAGTAGTAGTAGCGACCTAGTAGCTTGAATTTCTATAAATAACCTCCAGTTTGCATCAAAGCATCAACACCTCTCTACCAACACAGTCAAATACCAAGCCATGATGAATGCGAGAGACGTGAGAAGCGCAGACATTCATTGTCATGTACCTAGACAGTCTTGCTCTGTCATTCAACTTTATAGGGCTGCAGCATCAAGTGACAGCTTCTTTGAAATGGATATGCAACTGTGATTTCATACGGCCGATATCGCTTCGGCATATAAGCTGAACCAGCCCTATCTACAGTACTGTACCCCGTCCCAACCAGTCGTAACCACCAGTCTCCCATGCATAACCCGCTGCAGCCTGCAGGAGCATGTGATACAAAACAAAACCGATAATCCAAGATGAGAACAAAAAAAGAAACGTTTCGACGTTCCGACATGATACGCGTGCCACCCCAAGTCTATAGGTTTTTATTCCCCCCTGTTGCCCAAGTCTCCCCCAAACTCCGTGTTGGCCAAAGCCGGTAAAAGAATATCCAAAGCAGAACAAAACAAGAAAAAAAAAGCAAAGAGGCGAAAATAGACTGAGCCCTCGCCAGGGCAGGGGTCTGGTCAAGCGTTGGCAGCGGCAGCCAGCCCCTACCAACCGCCCAGGGGTAGAAACCAACCCAAGTCCACGACCCCGGCAGCCAAGCAGAGATAAATTCGAAGAAGTGGGGTGTTCTCGCGTAGATGTTGTGACACGGAGAGGAGGCTCGGCGGCCGGGGTCGGTCAGCAGGAGGAGGCTGAGGGAAGAAAAAAAGAGGCAGACAAGGGCGATGATTCCAAAACGCTGATGCTATCCGAATACGTCGTAGCCGAAGCGAGCCGTCTGATTAATAATGGCGTACAAAATGAGGAGATGAGAAAGATATGCGCGATGACGCAGAATGCTTTAAGAGTTGTGCAAATCATTGCGCGAGGCCGGCTTACAGCACGCCGTGCTTCTTGAGGACCTTTTCCAGCGACTCGGCGCCAAAGTGCTCGTCATCCGGCATCATCTCGATAATGCCGGTGAGGTTGGCGAACAGATCTCCCTGGTTTCGGTAGGCCAGGATGGCAGGCACGGCAGCATTGTCGAACTCAATGTCCTCGTAGTGGACCTTGACGAAGTGCACCGACGGGTTCGTCTTGACCAGCGGCAGTAGCACTGACTCGATTGCTGAGGAAACCTCGCTCTAGACGGCGTTAGGAAGCTGATCATGACAAGAGAAGAAGAAAAGCAAGCCTTGACTCACCTCGTGATCGTAGACAAAGACGGCAACGGTAGTGTCTCTGTTGACCTTTTCGATGGCGTCCAAGTAGCCCAGGGCATCCACCTCGTCCAGGCGGCCATAAATGCGCGTGCTGGGGCTTGTCCTCCGGTTGCGAATGGATTGGCCGGCTTCCTTCTCGAGCTCCTGTCTCCGGGCCTCTCTCCACTGGCTCAGGAACTCCTCCTCCTCCTCGTCATCGCCGCCGCTGAAGATGGCTTCCTCGCTCTCGCTCTCGCTCTTATCGGCATGCGAGCGCGGGGCGCCAAAGACGCTCTTGCGAACGGACATGGCGCGGCTTCTCCATTTCGTCTTGCGGGCAGACTCATAGCTTCGGGCATCGGCAATGACGCCCTTGACACCGGTGGAGCGGCCGCTGTCAAACGACGCCGGGGGAAGCTTGAGCTCGGTGGCGGCAGTGGGCATCCTCATGGCTTCCTCGATTCTTTGGTTGCGGTATTGTTCCTCTTCAGAGAGGTCGGATCCGTGCTGCGAGTCGGCGTCGTCACGGTCCTCGGGATGTAGCGTCTCGCGGGGGGTGTTGTTGGCAACAAGTGCGTTGAATTCGTCTTGAGCTTCAGTCGGCATCTTGAAGGGCTCGGGGCGGCTGAGCGCTGTTATATAGATGATTGATGAGGACTGTATGCAGCGGCGCAGTTGCAAGCTCGAACCAGCGGCCGTTCGAGGTGGTCGAGTGAGCCGAAGACAATAACGTGTGGGAGGGGGCGTGGGGAAGCGTTCGACTGGCTGTCGGGCAACGCGTTTCTCGAAGGAGCGGAGCAGGCAAGCAAGGGGGTGAGACAGAAAAGCGTCGATTCCGAGTCTTGATTTGACCAGCAAGGCGCTCGGATCAGGGCAGCGTGTGATGGCGGCTATTTGGTTCGAATGTGCAGGAGATGGAATCGTCGGCGACAGCGAGAGCGAGAAAGAGAGTCGAGCAGCCAACAGACGGGGCCCCTGACCAGAAACGCACGCCCCCCTTTTTTCGATGCGACAAGCGGTTTCAGCAGGCAGATCGCGGTAGTAGCAGTGAGTCCATATGCCACCTGACAGGGGGGGGGAGCCAGAGGATCCAGAGGGCAGGGCTTCCGCACCAAGTCCAGCGGTCGCAGTGCCGAGCCTGGAGCGGGTTGCGAAGAGACGAGGAGAGAGAGCCGGGCTTGTGATTGGCGAGGTTTGGTGTTGAGGTGGGCTTTGGGCAGGGATTCCTGTAAGGTACAGTTCGGGCTACCGCGGCAGAACGAGGACGTGGAGGGTGGCGCGGGGGTCGTGGCGCAGGCGCATGAAGCTTCAAGGTTCCAGTTAGCGGCTGCCGAGCCCTAACACCACCAAAGGCGATGCCTGTAAGTGCTGTAAATGGTCTCCACCAGCAACATCAACAACTTCCATTGACCTTAGGATGGCATCACCAGGACCACTGAAGCTACGCATTGGCCCTTGATTTGGCAGCTGTATGACGGTGCGCACCGCGTTCTGCTCCTAGCATTCCCACCGCAAGCACCAACTCGACGAGGCTGAAGATCTATTCATGCGTCGACACTTGGATCCGGGGTCATCCCTGCACCTCTTTACGAGCAAGACTGGTCGTCAATGCGGCCACGCCAGAATCCTGCTGGAAAGCTGCTAGAAGCAATTGAAGAGAGCCTGATGCTGCCCTTCGTCATGGTCTGCCTTCTCCCCGTCACATTTTTCTCCCAAAGCCGGGGTGACATGTGGCTCCTCGTCAAACCGCCGGCGCCAAGGGAACGAACGACTGACGGCTGAGCCTCGTACTGAAACCCGTCGATTTCATGGATAGCCATCCAACTATCTTGGCCTTTTCAAGCCTGACGAGACACCAACGGATGGCCTTGGGCTCGCCAGTAGATACAGACCAGCAACACAAGAAACAAGCCGGCAACTTTGTCGCTGATTCTTGAGCTTTCTAGAAGCTCAAGCGTGGTGTGACTCGGCAGGATTAGATGCAACGTCAGAAGCTCAGGAATGGTTGGTAGGATTCTCACGACTCCCAAGCCCCATTCAACCTCACCTCTTGCATGGATATCTAATCTCGTGCGCGACCTGCCACGCTATTCTTGGGCTCACAAGGATACGTTGATAAGATCAAACAGGTGAGGGAATCCGTCTGACTGGACGGCAGAGTTTGATCGCGGTCACAGCCTCTTCATGCGCATAATGACCTTGTCTGGCGTTGGTCGGGCTGGCCAGAATCTCGCAGTGTGGGCTCAGACAGGCGGTATGTTTCAAGCTGTGCCGCCCAGCCCTATGTCGGAGATGGACGGTGAGGGAACAAAGAAAGAGGGAGAGCCCCCGGCTCCGGCTGACGCGGTTGACTTTGGACAAGGACGGCCTGCGTCTCTTGATGACTGCTCCATTAGTACCAGGACCAGCGGAGAGCTGATGGGATGACTGCCTGCATTTGCTACAGCTTGCCGTGGTGCTCTCTGGCTTGGCGTCGATGCTTGAAAATTGTCTCGTGACTGAAATGAGAGAACAAACGGCAATTAGACAAGAGGACACTCGATTTCGCGTTTACAAGCCGTCTTCAGCCATGGCTTCATCTCGACTGCCGCCGCCAATCTCACTGCCGAGGCCTCAACCCCAAGCCGCCGATATCGACAAGTAATACATACAGCATCCTGCGACAATGGAAACGAAATACAACCCACCCTCGGCATTCCCAGGCCAAGGGGAACAATGAATGAACATGATGAGCTGGCAGTCAGTCAAATCGAAGGGTCGAATCGAATCGCATGCCTCCATGTCGTCGTAGTATTGCTGTCAACGTGCGCTAGTCGATATCTGGCAAGGCCCCATTTGCGCCCTTTTTGTTGTTTCAGGATCCGTTTCAGCTTTTCTCATGCAGATCCGAGGCCTGGCTAATATCAGACCAGACCCTTGTTCCTGGTCATCTCCGGGGTTCCTTCTTGTTGGTCTGCTGTGTCATCTCAGCTTGCTGGCTCTGACCGAAGGCAAGGAAAAGTTGTGCTGAGAAGAGGAATAACGGGATTGAGGCGCAGCCAACACGCATTCTCATGGATGATGTGATTTCCAAGGATAGGCTTGAAGGGGGTCCAGCGCTTACCGTGAGATCAGATACGAGTATATTTGACCGGACCATATGACGTGGTTATCTTCTCCTCTGATGGCACTGCTTCCCAATGGCATGTTGACCTATTCAACGAAAGTGCTTTTTTCATCTCCATCTACTGCTGGCCCTCATGCCTCCATGATTGCAGAGCATCACCACGGCGAGGCTCGGTGAGGCTGCGAGTCAAGTGATACAGGACCCTTCTTTAGCTCCGCTCAAGCCTCGAGGCTGACGTCCTTGATGCAACCTTATCGACGTGCCCAATCTTGATATGTCGCCTGGATTTGCTGCACATGCAGCTTCCCGATACCATCGATGCAGCCGCATGTTAGCGTATCGTCCCAGTCTTGATTGTCCACGCTTGGATTGGGTTTGAACAGTGAGGAGCGAAATCATTGTCAATAGCTGAAGGTTATGAAGCTGAGTGGCCGTCATCGCCTGACTCTACAATCTCGACTGCGGGCATTCACATCATTACCTAGTACTTACCTTATCTGGAACTCCATCTCTTCCCCTAAAAGTCACAGCCGTCACTTGCAAGCAACCACCTCTACTATACTCGCGAATCGCCAAGCACAATCATCAGCTCATCAACCTACTGGCACTTTTTTTGACATCCCCCATCCGGGCACCTGCCGGCCACTCGAACATTCCCGCCATCGCGCCATGCCTCCAAGAGCGAGCACAAAAGACCTCCTTCAAGCTGTTTCTGGCCAGTGTCATTGTATGAACGTGCTTGATTCCAATCTAGAAATTCATGCTGTCGCTGCGCTGAAGCTTTACATGTCCTAGGAAGTGCTTCGTAAAGGACCATGTGCATGCCATCTGCTGACAACAACGAAGCATCTTCCTGGAGACCAGTACCAAGGCAAAGATGTATTACATTACACATTTAATATACATATATATATAAAAGGCAGTGTGTCAAGAATCTTTCAGATATCCTTACCATGCCAAACTTACGCTTGTCTCTACGCTCTCTCTCATCAGCGCGGGACAAAATAAAGCATTCTCATCATGCGTCATTGTTGGCGCAAAGGCTGGGGTGGGTGTCCCTTCAGCTGGAAAGTTTCCTCGACAACTAAAGTAGCCTATAAGCATCTGTAGCCTAAAGGAAAAATGATGTCTCTTATCCTTTGATAATACCTACGCTGGTCTGAATCTCGATTGTTCTTTAATTTCTTTGTAAGGCCTGTTTCAATCGATGGATAACGGCCATGTACCCACCTCCCCTCGGTCTTCCTGTTCAGCATGATGCTAATGCTGATTGTGAGTCTCTTGATGAGTCGGAAAGTAACCTCTATTATGTGTATTTGTGCGTATTCTCGATATCTAAGGTAGTAGATGCAAACATGCAGCCTGCCGTTGCTCATTGTCGATCATCCACTTTTCAAGGCCATATATATCATCACGACACAATTTAACGGCCTAGGCGGGACACAGCAGCTCCAGATCAATTTTGACTTCCTCCTCCACTTCAAGTCCACATCAATTTCATACCTACTCAGCGAGAACAAAGAGGCATTGACCCAAATCGAAAGTCATTCCGATATCCACACTTCCAGACTTTGACATGCCAATGCCAAAGCATAGCCCTGCTCAAGTGCCGAGGTTCACTCAGACGAAAACATCAGATTGTTCATCTATCCCTCCATCCAGTAGACACCACCGGGTAATGATGAAAGAATATCTCATTCAAGAATAAACATATTAACAAAAGCATACTACCAATAAACAGATATATCTCAGCCAAACAAATGCAAATGAATCGGAAAACCCAAGACGAATCCTCCCCGTGGTATCGCTGTATTCCACTCCCAACCGCTCAACATCGTCCACTCTCCCCCTTCCATCACTCTCCGTACCCATTGAACATCTTCCTGGAAGTAAGCAGGAGACAAGCTTGGCCCTGTGTGTGTCTTGTTGAATCATCGTACTGTATTATCTGAAGCTTTGGAATCTGCTCCTTAGTTATAAGTCACCCACATTCCACCCCGTCCCTACCAAAACGCAGAAAAAGCATCCTCCCCTCTCCACCTGACTTTCCCTTCCAACAAAGATGAAAACGAAAACCACTCCTCCCTCTGGCTCTCCAGAATTTTTTTTCTCATGGCTCTGTAGTATGCGTTGCCCTTCTAAAAATCACTGAGCTACCGGCTCGCCGGGGTCAAGAAAACCGCAGACAAGGCCGGAACGCGTACAGAGGCAGTCGAAGACATAGAAAAAAACCATCAAGTAATACAACACCCGGCCCGTCGCCAACTACCCAGAGCTTATCAGAAAAACGCAGAAACTAATGTGCAAAGAATTTTGGGGGGATCAGGCGGGAGGGAAACCAAAAACTAAATAATAAGGAAATCAAAAAGGATAAGGAGAGAGAGGGAAAGGAGAAACAAAAGGTATCAAGTCGGCCGGTTTCCTTTTCCGACTGTCGCCGAAAGAATCGGAGTATGTCTCCGCGAGACCTAGGCAGGGGCTCATGCATCGGCCAAAAATAATTGAGGTAAAAGAAAAAAGAAGAAAGAGGATTCGGTTTAAGTAGGGCACGTTTCGTCACTTCGTCCTGCGTACGCCAGTATTCGCAAGCCAGATATGCGTAGTCGGGTGTCCGAATTGGCGGGTAATATGATCGTTTTGAATGCGGATGGTGATGAAAAGTTCGCGGGGTTAAGACTCGAGTCGGCACATGCGACAAAAGTCCATCTGTATCTCAGCCGTAGGCACTCTAATAAGCCCAGACCTTGAGCTGCGGAGGAGGTTAGCCACGTCGAGTTTGAGGAGAGCGATCTGTATCCTGTTCAACATACCAGAGAGTCCCATGAACCCGTGCACAGGCTGATGCCGTCGTTGCTGACACCCAAGCAGCTCACACGGTTTTCGTGGCCTACCAGTGAGCCGACCTTTTCGCCTCGTGTGATATCCCAGACCTGAGTCGCCGGTTAGCGTTGATGTTCAAGAAAGAAAGAAAGAGGCAGATTCAAGAGCTTACCTTGCACTCAAAGTCGTCATAACCGGCAAAGAGCAGACGTCCGGACACGGAGGTGGCAACGGAGGTGATGCCGCAGAGAATGGATTCAGACTATATCAATTGTTAGCGAGCCGATTTTCATTGATTGAGAGAAACCCTTTTTCCGCCAAAGGAAAGCTGGTGCTACGCACTCCATAGAGGTTGAGTTCACGATCGGCGCGAATGTCAAACAGTCGGCAGGTGGCATCATCGGAACCGGTGACGAAAGAGTGGCCATCGGGGAAGAACTGGATGGCGTTGATGTCGGACTCGTGGCCGGCAAACGTCTGGACGGCCTTGCCGGCACGGATGTCCCACAGCTTGGCGAAGGCGTCGCAGGCACCAGAAATGAAGGTGTTCTGGTTGGTCGGGTTGAGGCTGATGCTCATGACGTCGCCAAGGTGGTCGGCGAACTCGGTGACCTTCTGGCCCGTCTCGATATCCCACTTCATACAGGTCATATCACCGGACGAGGTAAGGATGCTTCGGTCGTTGATGAAACGGCAGCAGGACAGGTAGCCGGCGTGGCCGGACAGCTCCCTAGCTACTCTAGTCGGCCCGTCGCGCTGCTGGTTGAGGTTGTAGATGGAGCAGATATTATCAAGACCACCGCAGGCGACGAAGTTGCCGCTGGGGGCGTAGGCGCACGTCATGACCCATGATGACCGCAGCGGGATAGCGTGAACTTTGTTAGTGGTGTAGGCATCCCAGATGATGAGCTTTCCATCCTGCGAGGCCGAGACAAGGTGTCGACGATCTGTAGACCAGTGCATAGCGTAGATCTTGGCCAGATGGCCCTTCAACGTCCGCTTCGCCCGCATGAGCTGGTTCTTGGGGATGGGCTCGTGAGCCTGCTGAGCGACAGCACGGACTAGAGGGCGAGGACAAAGATGACCGGGTTAGCATCGCGAGAGCCTCATTAGGTTTCTTGCCAAGTTTCCCTGCTTCGACAAAACTGGCGGACAACAAAATCATCGCAGGCCGTGGCGCCACGTCGATTGAGAGGCCAGGAGAGAGAGAGAGAGAGAGAGACGCAGAGCGTCGCCGAGGGGGAATGGAGAGAAGCGGAAAGTCAACATACGGGTGGTGTCGGCCAGCTCGTCCTTCTTTCGCTTGATCCTGTCCTTGAGCGTCTCGGCCTCGCGACGCGCCTGCTGGATGCGCGCCTGCATCGCCTCGGGCGACACATCGTTGGGCTGCGAGTTCATGGCGAATCGACGTCGGGGCGGGAGAAGACGATGGAGATGGGAGGCGGGCGAAGGAGTTGGCGGCGGGTTTGGCGGGTTCGTCGTCGGGGGAGAGTCGAGATCGAGGCGAGTCGAATTGACGACGGTTGGGACTGTGGAGAGCGGAGGGAGAGGAGAAGGAGAGAATTGCGCTGGCTTGGATTGGGGGGGGAAATGGAACAAGAGAAGCTGGAGGGCACGGAGTACGGCCGGGCAGGTACCCTTTCAAGCCTGGGCTCTGCTTCTTTTCCTGGGCAGGAGGACGGGACCGACCAGATACAGCCAGGCGATAGAGAGAGAGAGAGGACTGGAGGCTACAGTGCATGGAGGCTCCCAGGCCCAGGCGGTCGTTAGCTCCTATCCCGGGATCCCAGCACTGGCGCTCGGCGCTCCAGGGGCTTTGGCCCGGGCTGGTTAGGGCCGCTGGGCCAGTGGGCAGTGGGCGGGCCAGCGCTGTGCCTTAGTGCCGGCTGGGGTGCCTGGGGCGGATTTGCGGGAAATTGACGGTGGGCTCCAGCGCAGAGGCCCTGAGCGCGAGCGCAGTTGAGCCTGCGGCCATTGGGCACTGGACCGTGCTGGACCTGCACCTCAACTGCAGCTGCAGCTGCGCTTCCAGGCTGGGGCCGGGGCGATGTGCTGGGCTAGAGGCGCCTGCACCAGACCAGTGGCCCGCTAGAGCTTGCTAGAGCAGCTAGGTGGTTATCTGGCTGGTGCAGCTGCGAGATGCGACTCCCAAGATGTCGGGAGCTACCGATGATTAGGAATCGTCGAAAATTGTTGAATGGGCACTCAGTCAGATGTGAGTCCAAGGTACATAATGCGTGGACTTGCGTCACGGCTTTTGATTGCATGGATGCGGCCTTTCTGGTGCGTACTCCAGCGCTCCGACCTGCCAGTTGGCGCTGCAAGGGGAACCGGCAAGACTCCCGTCAGGTCCCGTCGACAACAGGTCGAAGCTCTGAAGTACCGGTCTAGTACCGAGAGCGGCCAGATGAGAGCCTTGATACCTGGCTCTGCTTCTCTCTGCTCCCCCACGATGCAGCACTCGCGTAAGTACCGACGCAAGTGCCAGTACCTCGCCTGTACCGGCTCAAGATTGACGGAGGCAACTGGCACCAGCGCCATGACAAGATGCGCCTCAACGTGCCTCGGATTCATTTCATCCACTCTTGACTGATTCACTCTCGTGGCCCCCGTGCGCCCCCGTGCGACTGCGAGTTCCATGTCCGGGAGCCTCTGATTCTACTTGTCTTCTATTTCTAAGCGCGTCCTGGCCCGCCGTTCTGGTATCCGGGAAATGACCCCAGGGATGCTGAGCAGCTGTGTTTGGTGATCCGTCACTGTACGGAGCACGGGAGGCTCGTTTCTGCACCTCGAAATAGCAGCCCGGCGGTTGCATCCGCATAAGATAATATTGTAATATGGACAGGAATCAGGCATCAAACACGGCCGGCGAGTCGATTCAGCTCGGCGACATCGATCGATGGCGGTCAGACAGACTGGCGGACAGGCTGACCGACAAGGCGTCCCCCTCTCCCCTCTCTTCTTCCTCTCTTGCCTCCCAAATCCCACGCCGATGCTGCTAATGCTTCTCTACCGCTGACAGTGACGCACACAAGCTGCCGAGCTGCAGCATGCCAGCACTAGGCGCAGATGAGGACCGCGATTCAACGCGGTTGGTCGACCGAGACGACAGATATTGCCTTTAGGAGGGCCAGCCTGCCTCATCTGTTTAGGCCACAGTGGCGCCAGACCTCAGACTGCCACTGTGTTGCCTAGGCGAGGCGCTTCCCGAGATGCAGATTCTCCGACTCCTCTCTCTCTGTCTTCTTTAGCCTGCTCGTAATCAAGGTAGCATTGATTATCAGGGGCAAGGAGACGGGGTGGGGTTCTGGCCCTCTACGATGCATGTGCGGGTTGGGCGGCCCTGTTTCTTCGAGAGAAGAAGAAGAAGACGAAGAAGAGAGACGACAGGAGCCAGGGGTCGCCTGACGGTGCAGACAACCTTGCAAGGAACCGTCGCTAGCCCGGGACACGAAGAAATGGGAATGGGCGCGTCCGTGTGCCTGTGTGTCATTCGGATTTGGGCACAGGGCACGGGCAGATTGATGAAATCTTGCTTCCATCGTACATTTCGAGATGCAGCTTTCCGCGCCGTGCTTCTGCCTCTGTCTGTTGCTCGCCCGATCTGCAGCCAGCCAACCAGTGACAGCCCGTCATCGAGCAATCAGCCCGACCAACAGCTCCGCCGGCTCTCACGTCTCGATGGATGGCGAACGAACGCATCGCGGTTCCTATGTATCAGCGGCGGTTGACGCCACTGGCCGAGGCCCTGCAGCTGGCCCCCCCTGAGAGCAGATTAGCCATGAATGATACGGGGGGCGGTTGCGAGTAATATTGCTGGCTGGCAGGAGCACAAGTACAGGACCGTACTGTACAGGTTTGTACATGTATGTCAGAACGTCAGGTCTTGCGGTCTTGTCGTGCAACAACATGGCTCCGCCGAGCTGCGCTCCTCTCCCACAAGGCAGAGAGAGACCCGCGATGCCTCCCTATCCGCGCCATCGCCTCCATCATCATCCTCTCTTCACCCTTCTCCCTTCTTCAGCATGCCTCTCCTTCCGTCCTCACTGACCACAAATCCCCAATCCCACATCCCACATCCCAATCCTTTCCCCGATCCTGTCTAGCCCAGGGCCGGGCCAAGGACCGCAATTTACGATGCCTGCATCTCGACCCGCTTCCCTGCTCCGAGCCCACCTTCTACTCGCAGCTTTGGCCCGGCCTAGCACCAAGACGTTTTGCTCTGCACTAGCCGATCCGCAGCTCATCCTCGACCCCCGGCCTGGGGGCACATCGTTCGACTCGCCTTGTCGCCTTTGGCTGGGTCCGGGCCAGGCACGGAGGACAGTAACTTGCATGCGGTGGAAGCCGCCTGCGAGTAATTAACGACAGCCGCCTCAGTGCTCAAAGCAGGAGATGCCGGAGATGGGGGGGGAAGCATCTCCAGCTGAGCAGAAGGCTGTTTGATGAGCCCCCTTTCAATCGTACCTGCTCCAGTGTGAGTAATAGGTGAGCGCATCGAAAAAATACTCTGTTGACGATGAAACCAGATCAATCTCTTGGGAGTGAACATGACGTGCTTGGTACAGGTACATACGCGGCTCTTCTGCCGACACTGACACCAGGACGCGCAACTTGTCGTGCTGGAAGACGAAGCTGGTGTCCTTGCCCGCATTGCCGTGCGGATACTCTAATTTCATGCTTCTCTCGACAAGCGGCCGCACTGTGGTTTCTGGACTTGATCAAAGCGCTTTTTTTTTTTTTTTTTTTTTTTTTTTTTTTTTTCTTCGTTTCCTATTTCCTTCTCGCCGTGGCTACCGAATATGACGGTGTGCAAGGTATTACTCTGTGCTTTGTACAAGCTCACCACGGGCATCGCGGGAGGATGCCATTGTGGCGGTTCACCGTTGTGTGGCAATGCCATACCGTTGCGTGTCTCTGCTCTGGTTACACTGACGATGGCTGCATCCAATAGAGGCGCCGCGCTGCCAAGAGCAAAGAGGATTCTTCCTCGTCGATCCTTTTCCGGGGGTGTTGAACTCGTGTCTGGATTGTACCGAATCTGAGTACACCTACGGATACTACATATCGACTTGATCGACCTGCCTCACTTGTGTTGATAGGTACATACCTTCTATATGGGTTTGCATGCAACATGGATGCATCTTCCGTAGTTTTCATCTCTTGGCCCTCTTTCTCACGTTTGATACAATTGTAAGTCCGACGACTTAGGAATTGTAACCCCTTCATTGTACAGTATCCATGAGGCAGTCACCTTTCTGCATACCTGCACACCGTCACCGTATAAGTCTGTCTCAATATTCTCTTCACCCTCGTCTCTCTCGCATCCTAGGGTAGGTAGATGAGTGAGGCATTCTCGCGACCTGTCCCGAATCCAGCAGTTTGCATGGATGAATCTCGATGGATTCGACCCTTTCACCCCAGCAAAGATATTACATACATACTACTACTATGATACACACACTAGAAGCGATAAACCTTGCTGAAGCTGAAGCCACGGTTGTTCCGAGGTGGTCAGTTCACGGAGATTCGGGATTTACTCTCTTGATACCTAAGAGACCAAGATGTCACATATTCTCACGTTTGGAAAAATTTGGCATATCAAATGTATTCAGACATTATAAAGAGGTAAAAACTACTCCCACCCGAACTCTTTCTATATCAGATTATATCTCCAATTGGAAACACTCCACCACGCCCATCATTATAAACCCCCAAGATCCATACCCAAATACTTTACGGATGCTGAGCCTTCCCTCGTCCTCGTGGTATACCGCCAAGCTTCCTTACGAATCTTGGCCGCTTCTGCTCTTTCGTCGCTTGGTGCCTTGGTGCTCATCGGCAGGAGCACATCTATATGCTGCATCACGCCTACCGTAAATTAATGCGTCTTTGCCCACTGCTTGAACCACTCCAGGGCCTCGGGATTCGCCACGCTGGCGTTTGTCTTGACGCTCATGCCCGATAGAATCTGCTTCACGGCAACTTCGATCCTATCAACACGTGTTAGGCAATGGACGAACCCTGGGGAAGGGGGGGGGGGGGGGGGGGGGGGGTTTCTCCGGGCTGCTAAACTTACTTCTTGCCGTTGCCCGTCTTGGGAATGCCGCCTCCGCATTCCTCCACTATCCCCGGGACGTGGCGCGGGCTGAGCTCGCTCTTGATTTTCTGCTTGATTCTGTTCCTCAGGTCGTCGTTGAATTCGTGGCCAGGCGTCATGACGACAAACAAGCACACCGTCTCGTCCGTGTCCGTGGCTCTTCTCCGCCCAACGCACACGGCGTCTTCCACCTCGGAGGCAAAGAACCGGATCAGGATGTTGTAAATCTCGGCCGAGCCGAACCTCACGCCCGCCGGCTTCAGGACACCGTCGGACCTGCCCAGCATGAGGAGCCCGCCCGTCTTGGGGTCGGGGATCTTGACAAAGTCGCCGTGGTGCCACACCGGGCCCTTGACGCCGCAGATGTTCTCGAAGCGCTCAAAGTAGGCCGCCCTGTACTTGGCGTCTCCGTCGGGGCCGAAAAAGGTCAGGGGCTGGCAGGGGAACGGCTTGACGCAGACCAGGTCGCCGGGCTCGCCCGCGGGAATGTCCTCGCCCGTGACGGAGTCGACGGCCTTGATGGCCATTCCAAGGCCCGCACACTGGATTTCGCCGACGCGGACGGGGAGGAGGGGACAGGGCGCGCCGAACAGGGATATGATGTCGGTGCCGCCGGTGATGGAAGCAAGGTTAATGGTCTTGGGGAAGGCCTCGTAGACGAAGGAAAAGGTGGATGGCGGTAGCGGCGACGCCGTGGAGTATATGGCCTCGAGGTGAGATAGATCGATGCTGGAATCGCGGACGGGATAGACGCCATTGGCCTCCAAGGCCGTCAGGTAGGCTGCGGAGGTGCCGAAATGGGTCACCTTGAGGTCCGACAAGACGCGGGGGATGGACATGTACGAGTTGGGTCGGAAGGGCGATCCCGAGTATAGAATGAGCTTGGCTCCCACGGCAAGCGCGCCGACGCTCCAGTGCCACATCATCCAGGACGTGGTCGTGTAGTAGAGCATGCTCGACGAAGAGGTCAAAGAGCAGTGCAGCATGTGCTCCTTCTTGTGCTGGATCAGCGTCCCCAAAGCAGTGTGGACAATGGCCTTGGGGAGGCCAGTGGTGCCGCTGGAGTAGAGGATATAGAGCGGATGTGACGGCGGCAGCTGCTCAAACGTGAGAGGATCCGACGAGGCGCTGGCGAGGAAGCTCTTGTAGTCGACGGCCTCGACGCCGTGGGCTCTGATGTCGTCCATGCCAAGGTCGCCTATGATGTTGTTGATGACAATGACCTTCTGCAGGCCCATCTTGCTGAGCTCGGCGACAATGTCCGTCGTCTTGGAGGTGCTTGACCACTGCTTGCCATTGTACACCGTGCCGTTGTCGGCGAACAGCACGCGAGGTCCAATCTGGCTCAGGCGGTCCAGCACGGCCGAGACGCCGCTGTCAGGGCTGATGCCCGTCCAGATCGCGCCGAGCGAAGCGGCTGCCAGCATGGCCACCAAGGCCTCGACATGGTTGGACACGTATCCGGCGACGATGTCGTGTGGCTTCAGGCCGCTGGCTCGCAAGGCATTGGCGCACTGGCGGACCGACTCGCGCAGCTCGGCCCAGGTGGTTGAGCGCAGGTCGCCGGGCAGCTCCGTGGTAGTAATAACGGCAGTAGAGGAAGGGTCGAGAGGCTCGGAGGTGGGAGGGAAGAGGAGGTTCTCGGCAAAGTTGAGGCGAGCGTCGGAGAAGAAGTCGGGACGAGGGAACATGGGCGCATCAGGCGGCAGAACCTAGGTAGGTAGTGTTGCCGTGTAAGTCGAGCTCTTGTCACTCGATACCCGGAGAGGGAACGAACCTGTGTATATGGCTGGGACGACACAATGCCGACAAACTGCCACACCTCATCCCAGAACTGGCCGACGTTGTCGACCGACCACTTGTACAGGTCGGGATACCCAGTCAGATGCAGGCCGTGCTTCTGGTTCACCGTCTGCAGGAAGCGCCACATGGGCGTCGAGGCGGGATCTGGGTGCCGCCAGAGCTCCGTTGCCTGTGGCGGGACGCCCGCAAAGGCGCTGTCGTGATCGATGGACTCCCCCATTGCGTCTGTCGGTGATGTCGTCGTGCTCGATCGTCTCTGCTGTCGTTCGGAATACAGGGCTGGAAATCAAGCAGAAGAGAGAATCGGAGGGGACCAATGGGCGTCTGGCGATCTTGTCCCTCTCTTCTATAAGAATCCGCCCATCAGATAGTCTTTTCAGGGACCGGAAATGGTTGGGGATCGTGGCCCAACTGCCGAATCGGCTGCATTTGCGGTCCCCCTCCATCGTGGCCCGTTGCAACCCGCGGGCACCCTCGGTTCTAAACTGGAATGGACGAGAGGCAGGGCTGAGAGCCGAGAGACGGTGGCTGGAGAGTGGATGACTAAGGACGGTGGGTGTGGCTGGTGTCGAGCTGAGCTTGGGAGAGGAAAAGTTGAGGTGAGACGTTGGTGGGTGGGCGTGTAAGAATGGCGGTTTTGTTAGCAGATGCACTATCGCTTGGAGTCGAATCTAGTAGCGGTATTATCAGGGGGGCCGAGGCAAAAGATCTAGATGAGGTTGAAGAGGTTTTTTCTTCTTTGGCTCTGCTTTTGTCCGTCTCTTCGGAAGTCCTGGGTAGACCGGAGAAGATGCTCGAGTGTTCAAGCGTGGAGTTGGCACTGTCGAGTGAACCTCTGCGTTGGAATGCTTCCTCAATCAACCACCTCGACTCCGCAAGACAAATGACGCATCAAGATCAAAGATGCGTCAGGAAATCGACTACTATCTGCTGGTTCAACGCACCCGCCGGCGCTGCGGGCGACCAGTCAAATACACGTAAGAGAGGGAGGCAGAGGCGGGAACAGATACGTGTTTCCGCACGGAGGACCAAGTCCGTGTTTGCCTCGTCTAGAAGCCCTCCATTTGTTCGGTCAGACAGGGCTCACTTGTCCTCTGCAGCAATGGATGCTGAATAGCCCTGCGCCTGTTGGACCGGCTTCGTCGGAGAGTGTTGCGACCACGAACCACTAGCAGTCACGGAACCCGGCCGTCAAGTCATGGTTCCAACAGCTTCAAGATCCACGGCGTCGAGCTGCCAGCTGCTGCTTGTAGTAGCACCAGCTCGGCGGCCTTGGTGTCAGCGCCCCCTTTTTTGGGCTGCCTCCTATGGACGAGAGAAATGGCGGCAAAATGTCATCGCGCGGCCCCTTGCAGATCTCGAGTCGCATTGCTCTCGACCACCACCGGTTTGTACGGATTTGTACGCACAATGGCCAAACAGCTCTCTTTTCACCACATCGGTACATGCCTGTGACACGGAGCAGTCCTGCAGGTGGCGATAGGTCGTGGCACGGAGTAATAATACTGTGATACATAGTGCCAGGTCGGCAGTAAGACGGCACCCCTGGCAAACCGCCTCTCCAGCAAGGGGGATCGCAGCCGCTCGTCGTCGCTTGTCGGGAGAACTGCAGAACCATCTAGTATCGCTCGAGTGACCTCATCAGCTGCGAACCCGCGCAACTGGCATCGGACGACAAGTCGCTTTCGTCTCAACTAGCACGAAACGCGGAAGAATACATAGTAGGTAGTAGAGCCATCGCGTTGTAGGGCGATGCGTCCATACCTTGTAAGCCCGGGCGATCCGACCGGCAACACCAGCTTGTCTGCCGGACCTGCAAGGCCAGGCCACTGATTGCCCGCGATCCATCACGCCCTCGGCAGACGTGGGCAAATTAGAAAAAAGGCGACCCATGACAAGCTAGACGCCCACTTTTGCCCTTGTCGTGACGGATCGCTTGGGCTGGGTCTTCGACCGACCCGACCCTCCTGGTCGCCGTTCTGTTTTTCTTGTGATTCTGGCTTGTCGTGCATGGTGTTTGGCCGCATGTGCCGCAGCTCCGTAGCAGCTCGGGGGGGAAAGAGACGGAAGCAATGGCGATGGCATCAGGCAGAATCGGCGGCCGCGCAAGATGGTGCATCACAGCAACAACGACGACAATAGAAAGCATGGCTGCCAGCTCATGTAGGGCGTCAAAGGCGATGATAAGTAATAAACCGGGCGTGGGCTGGCACTGCACTTGCATGTCCATGTTCCGAGGCTGGCCAATTGTGAACTGGGGCCCCTTCCCTTGCCTAACAGGTACCTACGGTGCTAGTACAAGCACTGAACTGCAAGAGTGGCTCCCGCTTTGGTGCCCAGCCGCCATTTCATTGGCCTTGTGGGCTCGTCAAAGAAACGCGGGCCCCTTTCGCCAAATTCATCCCCCCCGAGCCAGAGACCCAGAAGCGAACCTGTCTTCTTCAACTTGCTTTTCTTTTTTTTGCTTGCTCTTTTGCTCTTCCCAGCCCTGCCATCGCGGTCACTTTGTCCTCCTGTCGCGTGGTGTCCTTGTGCGGCATCTCCACTGCGAGCTGGGATACGCACGTCTTGCCTTGGGGCAGCGATTCGCCTGTCGAGAACCTCAAGTCTGTGCCTGTGCCTGTGCCTGTGCCTGAGCCTGACTCTGAGCCTGAGCCTGTGTCCGTGTCCGTGTCCGTGTCTGTCCGGACTCCCAAGCATTCATTTGCTTGTGCGCGCGCTCAGCAGAGTCGACAACGGCTTCGAGGCCCGTCGGGACAATCCGCAACACCATCACCATCGCCCTCGGTGTTGGCTTCGATCTACTGCCACCGGTAAGTCGCGCAGCCGGCTCTGGCACGCCTCGCCAGCTCAGCTCCAACTCCAACCTCAAATTCCTTACCCTGCCCCTCCACAAACACCCCTTGTGGAAGAGCCGGCGATGGGCTGCAGTATCGCCCTGCCAATGCCAGTGCCAGTGCCATTGCCATTGCCATGACGCCAGGCCTTCTCTCAAAGCTTGTTTCGACTCGACTCCATCCAGACGCTTGACCGGCTGCGGCCAAGGCCCAGTGGCGCCGCCCGGCGAGGCTTGGAACGTTGTGTGTGGCCACACCGCGACTTTTTGAGTTGCTCGGTGCCGGATGGCTTGACCCTCTAGCGAGGCGATGGCTCCGGGGAATGGGATCGATTGGGAAAGGAAAAGGAAGAGAAGGGGGGGAAAATCCTGACAACTCTTCAGCTCCCCATTTCACTCATTTCATTCTCACGCCACGCTTGCACCATCGCCAATCTGTTCGGCAATTGAAGCTAACTCGCCTTGCTTCCGCTCTTTTTTTTCTACAGACAGTATCCCCGGAAAGCCTCGTCTGACCCAAGAGCCGGCTTCTCCCTCGAGTCTGCTTAAGGCGTTGGAGAGATCATGCCGCGGCGGCTCGCAAACCCCTTCTCCTCCAGCCAGTCTGCCATGTCAGCGTCCGAAAAGACTGGCGAACGACGTCTCTCGGCCTCCAAGACCAACCGGTTGAGCCAGCTCTTCTCGTCCAGCCCAAAGTCCAAGGACCAGGCCGCCATGCATCAAAGCCAGATGAGCACCGTCTCGCCGTCCACGGTGTCGCTGCCCACCATTTCGCTGTCCACCGCGACGGGCGAGCCCAACACGGCCGAGCCCACCACGACGCTGTTCAAGCCTCAGTCGGCCGAGGAGGTGGAGCGACGACGACGCGCCGAGTCTCAATTCGCTCCGCTGCTCTCCCCGGAGCACCTGTACGTCAGCCAGGCCCATGGCAAGCCCTTTACGCGGCCGATTGAGGACGAGCCGGCCTACTACTATCTCTTGACCACGTACCTGAGCTACCTGGCTCTCATCCTGTTTGGACACGTCCGCGATTTCTTTGGCAAGCGGTTTGGCGACCGCAAGCGCTACGCGCCCCTCAAGGTGCACAACGGCTTCGCTCCTCTCAACGATGACTTCGACAGCTTCTACAGCAGGCGGCTCAAGCTCCGCCTGGACGATTGCTTTGCCCGCACCACTGTCGGCGTCCCCGGCCGCTACATCACCCTCAAGGACCGCAAGTCGGACGACTACAACTACACCTACCGTTACACCGGCACCCACACTGAGACCCTAAACATGAGTTCCTACAACTATCTCGGTTTTGCTCAGTCGGACGGTCCCTGCGCCGATGCCGTCGAGGAATGCGTCAGGAAGTACGGAGCCACCTTTGCCAGCCCCCGGGCTGACAGCGGCACTTCGGATCTGGCCCTCGAGGTCGAGCGCGAAATCGCCTCGTTTGTTGGAAAGCCCGACGCCATGGTCTTCTCCATGGGCTACGTCACCAATGCCAGCACGTTCCCTGCGCTTGTGTCCAAGGGCTGCCTGATCATCTCCGACGAGCTCAACCACGCCTCCATTCGAATCGGTGCCCGTGTTTCCGGCGCCGTCATCCAGTCTTTCAAGCACAACGACGTCGAGGCCCTGGAGCGCGTCCTCCGCGAGGCCATCTCCCAGGGCCAGCCAAGGACTCACCGCCCCTGGAAGAAGATCCTCGTCGTTGTCGAAGGCCTCTACTCCATGGAAGGCAGCATGGTCAACCTGCCCGGCATCCTGGCTCTGAAGCGCAAGTACAAGTTCTACCTGTTCATCGACGAGGCTCACTCCATCGGCGCCCTGGGACCCCGCGGCCGCGGCATCTGTGATTACTACGGCGTCGACCCTTCGGAGATTGACATCCTCATGGGCACCTTGACCAAGTCCTTCGGCGCCAACGGAGGCTACATCGCCGCCGAGAAGCACATCATCGACAAGCTCCGTGTGACCAACGCCTCCACCATCTTCGGCGAGGCGCCTGCCCCTTCGGTTCTCATGCAGATCCTGACGTCCCTGAAGCTCATCAACGGCGAGATCAGCCCCGGCCAGGGTGAAGAGCGCCTGCAGCGCATCGCCTTCAACTCTCGCTATCTCCGCCTCGGACTCAAGCGTCTCGGCATGATTGTCACTGGCGACGACGATTCACCCATCATCCCTGTCCTGCTTTACCACCCCGGCAAGATGCCCGCCTTCAGCCGCCTGATGCTCGCCCGCAAGATCTCCGTCGTCGTCGTCGGTTACCCGGCCACTCCGCTCATCAGCTCGCGTGCTCGCTTCTGCGTCTCTGCCGCCCACAACAAGGATGACCTCGACCGGTTGCTCATCGCCTGCGACGAGATTGCCGACCTGCTGCAGCTCAGGTACTCGACGGGTATTGCCGGAGGCTTGGAGCCGCTTCCCGAGGGCGTGGCGCCCGAGGACGAGGCCGAGTGGAGGAAGGCCAATGGCATTCCCATCAAGCCCCCCAGGTGGAAGGTTGAGGATGTCATTGCGCGAGGCGTCGCTGACTGCAAGCTTCCCCTGCGATGATTGTCACTTCCATTGGTCTTTGTGTGAATTTACTTTTTTTATCATGAATCTTGTGGGCAAGCCAACAACATCCTTCCCCCTCCCTTGAAACAAAAGACACTTAGAACGGGCAAAAGAAAGAAAGAAAGAAAAACAAAAATATCACGGCTCGGTGTTTGGGGCGCAAAGTGTTTTCTTTAACTGACGTCCGGTTCCTGGGAGATGTACAAACGGCCTCGCTTTCTTTCTTTGGCAACATATATTCAAGGAAAGGGATGATTACTACTACCTTTTAATTCAACGTTTCGACTTGACCGTTTACGATGTACAGAGCCCTGTGATGTGAGCGGCTCTGGCTTGGCGGAAGCCACTCTACATATAATTTATGTGACACATGGCCGAACAGGCGGCCATGATGCGAAGCTGCAGGGAGGTTATATGACTGCAGGGCGAGCTTTAATACTAGTACTGCTGGGACGACGCCCGGGACACGATTTGCTGAGGCTGTCGGCCTTTAGCTGAGCGGCGACCCGGTTGGCATTTGCGGGCGAGCGATGCGGGATATATCAGTGGATACGGGTGTTTTTTTTTTTTTTTTTCTTCTTCTCTTTCTTTATGTTTTTCACCGGGGATGCGTGCTTGCTCAACGTGTACGTCAACGTGTGCAGACGTGTAGGTAGAACGACTACTAATGGAGTTGAATATGTGGAGAGCTGATGGCTTTCGTCGAGTGGGTTTGCGTGTTCTGTCATTTGTGAGTTGTGATGCCACGGAGGTGAGGTTGATGCCATTCTGATGTGGCCCGTGATCCATCCAGTCACTTCCGTTGCTCGTGTCAGAGTTCGGTCCATCTACATGTAGGTACATACGAGTTGGTACTCCATGCACACTGCGGAGCTGATGAGCTTAGGTTGATTGGTACAGGTTGTACCTACCTTACCTAGCTAGCATGTACAAGTACGGGGTAGTAGTACTATGGCAGAGCTGCAAGCCTAGGTTATGGATATTTATAGAAGCACTCCATTGTTGCTGGGAGCAAAAGAAGGGATAAAGTAGAAAGAACGGAGAAGGAAGTTTGAAACGCGACGCCGAGGGTGAAAGGGGCGGGAACATGAAAGAAAGCTTCCATTCGGGGGTTGAATCACTTTGAGTATTACTGACTGTGGTGGTATAGGTAGTATACGAGGTACCTAGGTATGATTGTGAGTTTCAGGATGGAGGTTGGGGGTGTGTGTGTGTGTTTGGGGGAGGGATGAAACGCGTTTCTGTGCGGTATGGGAGGTGTTTCGATTAGGGGGGGGATTTTCTTTTGGCCTGAAGACGGGCTGGAAGCCGGAATGGATTGGGATGCTTCTTGGAAGTTGTACTACATAGTATAATAGTAATATTTTGAGACAGGATAGTCGATGGAGGACCTAATTGGCCTGGTTGTTGGCTGCTGCAAGGGAGGCGGGACGGGACAGGTTACTGGAAGTGAAAGTGTAGGTAGTGAACGGGTTGGAGCTGTTCCCTTGCATGTGGCATTTGGGGGGGGGGGGGGCGGAGACGGAGACGAGACGAGACGAGACGATGTGCGGGTGCGGGCGCGGGCCTTGGTTTGGGGCTTCGTAGGGTGTAGGATCGTGGGAAAGAAAAGAGGCGAGATTTGCTTTTTTTTTTCTTCTTTTCTTTCTTTCTGTTCAAGGTTATCCAAGGTATCGTGGGAATTTCTCTCAGAGGCTAGTGCTAGCGAGTTGGAAAGAGGATTCTTGCTTTTTTTCAAAAGCCTAGCGAAGCAGGGGTGTCGTGTGGTTTTTTTCTTTTTGTTGTTGTTGTTGGGAGCAGCTCGGTTAGAGTTGGACGGGCTTTGGAAAGAAGATCTGGGCCGTTGCGCGTGGGTTGTGGAGGAGGAGGAGGAGCGGGAGGGCGAGGGTATGTATGGGCTCTTGTGGGATTCGAGTGGTCTGTGAGTGTCTGTGGTTTTTGGTTGTTTACGTGTGACTTGGGCTCGATGTTGACTGAGGTGGTTGGAGGTTGCATTGGATGTAAGTGATGCGTTTTGGGTTTCTGAGTGATTGGTTACCCTGGAGAGCTCTGTGCGTGAAGAAGTAGGGTCAATTGCTCAAGTAAAGGCAATTGAATCGATGGGTTGGATTTGTGCTGGCCTCTCAGTCTATGTGGGAGTCTCTGGTGAAGCCTATGTGAAGCAACTGATTCTTCGAGGCATAACTCTATTGTTTACTATGGTTTGCGACAAGTGAAATGTCAAGATCCAGATATCCTTTTGGAGTTGAGGTTCTCTTTCTAGTGTCGTTGCTTTTTATGGCGCCGTATTGCCTCATGACGCTGCAATGGAATCCTAATTAAATCTCAAAGAAAAATATCCCAGTTAGAAACAAGGAGAAGAACACAAGACATATACAACTGCTGAGCTTCTCATCGACCGCGTCAAACAAAGCACATGCAGTCTGTTCAGTTGCTCGTCCGCTCAGCCACAAGAACAGGGAGGGCTCGCAATGGCTGCCACGCTTGGCCCGTTGTGGCTAGAGGCGCCGCCGGCAATGGCTCGTGCCCTGACGCATCCATCCAAAACGGCGTGCTGGTGCAGTGGAAACGGCCGCTGAGCCGGAGCGAGCGCAGAGGGCGTTAGCGGCTGGCTCCAGGGCTTGTCCCTTCGCTGTAGCGCCTGAGCTGCAGCGCTCCAGTCGACCCGACTTGTCCATGGATGCCCGGGCGCCTCTCTTGGAGGGACTGGCGCTGGAGGCCACTGGACGGCGCCCGCCTGGAACGAGCGCGTACCGGTACTTGCAGCTGCACCAATGCCGGGGGCTGCACGCACTGCGCTTGCCGCCTGCTGCGGTACCGATACCTGCCCTCCGCCCGCCCGTGCTTCACTTCCAGGTACCTGTGCCTGTGTGCCTGTGCCTGTCGGCTGGCGTCTATTGGCCGAGATTTGACACCTGGGCCTGTTGCGAACTGATTCAACGCGAAGGTCCCGAGTTTCGTCCTGTTCCTTGCCTTGCCTTGCCTTGTCCTTGCCTTGTCCTGCCTTGTCCTGCCTTGCCTTGCCTTGCCCCTCCTCACGATCGACACGCAGCAGCCAAGCAAGGCTCACGTCTGTCGTCGCCCTGTCGTCTAGTCTACCTTATATCTCGACGCCCTCGCTCTTGTTTGCCCTCGCCCTTTTGCTTCTGGCTGGGGTCTCTTGCGTCCCTCCTGCTGACCCGACTCGCCCACCCGGAGCGCCTTGTATCGATCCATTAGCCGCCCGTTGGCGCTCTGCTCGCCTCCGCACGAACCTGGTCTCCCCCCTTCGATCGGGTTGCCTCAATTCCTGCCACAGCCCGCACGCTCCCCGAAGCGAAGAGACGACCGCTGCGAGCGACAACAACAAAATTTGGTGGCCGCCTCGAGAACTGGTCCTCCATCGAAAGAAGCGCAGCGGCCACGGGACGGCGGACGAACGGGACAGGCGTCAAATAGGGGACGACATCCCGCGCCTGCGAGGGGGAAGAAGAAGAAGCGAGAGAAAGAAGCGTCACAGACACTGTCCCGCTGGCCACGGACGGCGGCGCCCACGATGATGAACTTTGAGGGAGGGACGGGCTACGCCGAGTCGGACGCCGACGACGAGTACGAGCATCACATGGGCGACCACTCGCCCGTGGGCGATTCCGAGACGTCGCCCATGGGTTCCGAGCTGTCAACGTCGGCCGAGCACACGCCCACCACCTACGGCCATCGCAGCAGCATGGACCGCCTGCCCGAGACCATCATCACCGAGTGGACGGCCGAGGAGTGCGCGGATTTCATCAGCGCCATCGGGCTGCCGCAGTATGCCGATACGTTTCTAGGTATGTGTATTGATGGGCCGGACTCTCGATGAGGTTGTGGTTCCTTGCTTTGGTCTCGCTGCTGTTGATGGGCGCACATTTGGCTGATCGCTGGGCTTGGCGCTGCAGAAAATGACATTGTTGGAGAGGCCCTGGTTGCGTTGCTGCACGATGATCTCAAGAGCATGGGCATCGCCAGTGTGGGCCATCGCCTGACCATCCTCAAGAGCGTCTACGACGTCAAGAAAGCTCAAGACATTCCCATGGAGAGCGACCACTACCTACCACTATGTAAGGCTTCTGCATCCCTCTGCTCCCACCAACCCATGAGCGGGAAGATTGAACCGTCCGGGAACTGACTGTGCTGGTGTTGTAACAATCACAGCCGCCGATGCCGAAGCCCAATATGCCACGGCAACGCTCAAGGACATTCGACATCTAGTAGAACAGCTTCGGTTGCGAGACGAGCGAATGAGCCTACTGGAGCAGGACCTGCGGCGGATGAACGAAGACTTCAAGCGTCTGAGGGAGGACATGCTGCCGGCGCTGCGGCTGGTCAAGGATGTCCAGCACCCGCTGCCAAACGTCTCCGGGCCCAGCCAACCATACGCATACGAGGCCACGCTGTCTCCGCCCGCGCCGACACCGCCCGGGGCCCAGCCCGGCGATCGAGGGGTGAAGCGGCAGTACTCCCAGAGGCGGATCCTGATCGGAGCGACGCCCAAGAGCAGCTCGCCAACGCAAGCGACGCACGACCAGCGCATCATGCCGGAACAGACGCTCGACCCGTCCAGCGCGGCAGAGAGAGCCGTCATGTCGTCGTCGCACCTGGCTGCGATGAACGGAGGCAACCAGCATGCCTCACCCTCAGGATACCCTTCGCCAATCATACCATCACCGACCTCCCCCCAAAACCACATGAGCGCAGCGACTCTCGGCTCTCGAACGTACAACTCGGCGGCGCCCTCCGTACGGACGACGTTTATCGAAGGAGACCTCGGCTACGGCTCGCGAGACAAGGCCGGGGCCGGAGGGTCGATTCGACGCCGCGAGACGCCCGTGCCCGAGACGCCCAGCTCCAAGGACTCTGTCGAAATCTTCAAGTCCTTCCGAGTGAGCATGGACGACCCGTGCTACAAGGTGCTGCCGGCTGCGCTCAAGAAGTACCAGATCAACGCACCTTGGGACCAGTACGCCCTGTACATTGTCTACGGCGACCAGGAGCGCTGCCTCGGCATGGACGAGAAGCCCCTGATTCTGTTTAAGCAGCTGGATAAGGAAGGCAAGAAGCCCATGTTCATGCTGCGGAAGACGAACAGCGCACAGGTGGACGGCGACATTCCCGGCATGAGCATGAACCCGGCCAGAGGAGCTGCGACAGGCTACGATCCGCCGGGAGGCATCATCTGAACAATGCTTCACTTGGAATGGTCTTGGTCTCTGGATGACGGCTGGGGGAGAAGGCCTTTGTTCTTTTACGATCCGCTGGTTGAGCTGTTGAACCCGGGATGGCATGGCGGTGTATACTTGGGAGTGGGCGCATTGGAGTTTGTCGGATAAAGGAAAGGGCAAGAGGTTTTGACCCACGACGAAGAAACAAGACGGAGACGACGCTTCTCGTTGCTGTATCCCGAGCTTGTGTTGCAGTACGAGAAGAAGCCGCGAGCCGTCAAACAGAGATGGCACGAGACTGATGCACCAGAGCCGGAAAAAGGACGTGGACTCGCCATTGGAGATTCGGTGAATCGACGTCGAGCTTTATCGACAGACCAGTTGGCACAAAGGGCGGTCTTGCAGCACAATGAGCAAGGTGTCGAACCTTGGACGTGGTCTGAGGATGTGAGAATAAAGCTACCTTGCAAGGCTGGGTCAACTGTCTGTCGTCGGTCGATTGGGATCCCATGATGCTGACTAGCTATCTGTGAGACTATTCATCGTTTCTTGCATATATCGGGCAATGGCGCATGCGCGGAGGAGGGAAGAAGGGAATGGGGGAGAATACAAACACGGCGGGGATCTCTGGTGTACGGCAATCTGGGCAACAAAAAATCACGGAGAGCGCGAAGGGGTCGTGTATTAACCTTGTCTTTTTCTTTTCTTTTTCTTTGTTCTCTCTCTCTATCGTTTGTATGTGGCTTATTAGGGACGCATGTAGTATTAGGAAGCGAGAACTATGTAATACTCTATTGAGTGTTTTTTTTTTTTTTTTTTTTTTTTTTTTTTCGTCTTCTTCTCTTCCTTTTCGAAGGTGTACTTGAGCGTGAGTGATGAGTCTTGAGGATGGATTAATAGTTGAGGATTTGGTTTTGGTCTGGGTCTGGAGTTTGGCGATGGAGCTTAAAGAGGAGCTGGTCGGGATAAAAAGGCTGATGGGGGGGCGCGACGGAAAGAAGGTCAGTCAGTCAGATTTTGGGCAGCATGGACGGGGGATGCGAAGACTGGAGATGCTGATTGTGGGTTTTTTTCTCTGAGAGCTTGATGTTGGTTTCTTTAGGCTAATTTGTGCGCTGAATTATTAGAGTTTTTGCGTGAGTTGCTTGTGCTGTTGAGGGGAGAAGGATGCGGAGTTTGTTCACGGTGGGTTGGTGGTTTGGGGGTGGATGAGCGTGAATGGAATCTAGGCTGCTTTTTTTGAAGAACTTGGGGCGCAGATGGCGTCTGTGGGATTGGAGGGTAGCAGGATATTGTAGCCGGTTGGAGAGGTTATATTGGGGTATTTTCGCGTACGAGTTGCGTGGTGGTTTGACTTTAGGTGGATGAAATGATTGGGAAAGGTAAGGTAAGGTAAGGTAGAAGGAGTGCGTCGTAAGAAGTTGCTGTTGGTGGTTTACAGTACCCGGGGAGGATTTTTTTTCGTTGCGTAGATTGTTGTTGCGTTTTGCTTTTTTAATGTTTGCCTCAAGGGTTTTAAGTGCCGCTACGTGGAAGCCTCGTTTAGGAATGTGTGTTCTTTTTGAAACCGTATATCCGTTGACATACGGATGTAGAAGAGAACTTGGGGTTGTTTTAGGAGATTTTTTGCTATATTTTCTGCCTTGGGTCGTGTTGGGTGCTGATGGGCGAAAAGTTTTGCCTTGGAGTAAGCCTGTTGATGGATCTGGAGTTTTGGTGAAGTGGTTGAAATGATGTGTGGCTTGGATCAGAAGGATGTTGTCCATCTTGTTCCCCTCAGAATCAGTCTTGACATAATTGAGAAGCTCTATGTGGAAAATGTTTGCTTTGTAATTGTCTGTTATGAATCCCATCGATCAGGCTTGTGACGAGTAATCATTGAAGGAGTAGAACCGTGATTTAGGTAGGTTCAGCGTCAGATGCTCAAGCCCCGGCTCCCGCACCCGAGGGTTGCATCGACAGCCGCGCGCCGAAAAAAGGAAGACGCGGCTTCGGCTTCGGCTTTGGGGCCACACCAGGCACGGGTGATACGAAGCTTCGACTCGTAGTACTATTACTACCTTTATTCGGCCAGTCCAATTGTGATCAGGCTTTAGCTGGGCTAGTCATTATACTAGTATCATCTACAGTCGTAAGTATCTTATGTAGTTTTTGCTGCCTGTTATGTTATGCTGCTGCAACCATGATGGTCCCTTGCCAGGTTGAGTCATCGCCGAGACGGGGCGGGGGGGCGCCTAATGGAAGCCGAGCTGGGAAGGGGGGGACGTGAACCCGATGTGCTGGTTAACCTTAGTTTTTGTTTGGTCATACACACACATGCATGGATGAATAGGTACTAGTAGTAGTAGAGGAGTGAGGACAAGAGAGAATCGGCCTTGTGTGATGATGGGGGATGCGTGACCGCGCGGAGCAAAGTTTGCGTGGGCTTATGCCGGGGCTGGGGTGTTAGTCCTTACATACTGGGTAGATGCTACTGCGATAGGGCTGTGTGGACGTAGGTAGGTAGAGTCATCAGACGCAGAAGAGGATGCGGTCATGGCGGTGCTCGGAGAAGGCTTGTTGTTGGGCTGGGCTGGGGAAGGGCGTGTCGTTGCTTGTCTGTTTGTTTATAAGGAGGAGTGGTTCGGTGCCTGGGATTTGGGGTTCTCTTGCGGTTCCATGTCCATGATCTGATCTACTTCCAGAGACACTTGATATTCGATATATGATAATCATTGAGCAGCTGGTATATCCACTGTCTTGATACTGAGCATCTGCTTTGTATTTTGTCTATATACTTGCCGATAATTTACGATCGAGTGACGAGAATGGAGGAGAGGATATAGTGCTTTATACTGAGCCTACCTACATACGACATCAACCATCAAGGTACGCTATACAAACTGAGAAATACCACAATGATCATCACAATGGCTCTCAAGCCAGACACTCTGAACACAACTGACCATGTACGCAGATGGTCGTATTACCACGCCTGGGCATCGAGCCCAACCCCGACTTTCCCAAGAACTCTCCTCCTCGACCGAGTCCCATCCCCACGCCCGCTATCACTCCCACTCCCACTCCCACCGACATCATCGCCAGCATCATCACCAGCAGCGCAACATCCCCTCCCCCGACATCTACAGCTACCAGCAGCAGCAGCAGCACTGACAATGGAGCCGGCTTCATGCAGGTCGCCGAGGACGGCACGAGCGGGGACAAGCTCCTGCGCGGGTTCCTCGTCGGCATGGCCATTGGCATCCTGGTGAGCCTCGTCATGTGCTGCTGGCTGCCGTGCTTGCGAAGGGCGAGGCGGACGCGGCTGCAGAGGCGGAACGATAACATTAGGAGGAGGAGGCTGGTGGTTCTCGAGGACGAGGCGTGGGTGAGTGAGAATTGGCCGCGGAGGAGGCCGTGGGAGGTTGGCGATGATGAGAGTGGGAGTCGTGAGAGTCATGAGAGTCATGAGGGGTAATCTCTTATAGCATTCTCTCTTTTGGTGCTGTTTCTTTTGTTCTGTTTCTTTTGTTCTGCTGGGATGGATTATAGGCATACAATGATTGGATGATACAGGATGGGAGTTGTGAGGCGTTGGGAATTGGACATTGGCATCTGCCTCTTTGGCTTTATTTGGATCGTCTTGGGAATATCAAGTCGTCAGCTGTGACGAAGAACAACACGCTGCTGGATGCTCACGAATAGAATAAACCTATTAAATAATCAATCAATTCAAGATCAAAGCATCTGTGCTCTGTCATCAGGTACTGATGTGCACACCGACTCGCAACTCGTCAAGGGATGCTGAAGAGATCAGCCTTGAGCGATTCGACAATTCGCTGATCTTTAGAGTAGGTAACAATACTGGACGAGTATAAAAGGCGGAACCGCACAGCCACTGTCTGGGGCCTGTGGGCCAGCAGTCGCGGCTGTGGCGCAGCAGTGCTTGCAATGACGTTGGCAGCCGGTGCGTAATGCCTTCATGTTGAATAAGGTAAGCAGCTTCATTCAACTTCAGTCTCTTCAACATGTCGGACAGTGTTCAATGCCCGAATGCCCTCTACTTGTTCTCTCAACTGCATCATCATCATTCCCATCTTCAGTCTTTGATTCAACTCCATTGAGCCACCATCCACAGCAGCCACTACTGCAGGATCCGATCCTTCAGCCTCCACGCATTGGTTCAACCTGCAGCCTCACGTCTTTGTTAGCCGCCCTGTCCGACCCCTCTGGCCAAGGCTCGCGCGTCATGTTCAGCTGATGATTGCCGCCTGAAGAATTACTTCTCCAAGTCTTCTTCTTCTTCTTCACTTGCTTTCCCAAATCCTCAATTCAAGCTCATCTGGCATCCGCAGCCATGCTCGACGACAGCTTCCCGACGTACCGCCTGCACTCCTCCGAAGATCCCCTCCAGACGGGCCTCTTCTACACCTACAACGGCTCGGACCCCGTCCGCGCCTACAACCTCCAGAGACCGGCCCCCTCATCCTCACCAAACCAGTATGCCGTCGCCTTGTTCGACGCCCACTACCCGTCCGTCATCTACGGCGAGGTCCTGGTGAAGCCCGAGTGGCAGCAGCCCACGCTGTCGGCCGCCGAGATCCGCAACCAGAACGGCACCGTCCCGGCCCCGGTGCCCATCACGCCCGACGCCTTCTCCGTGCTGCTGTACAACCCCGACCAGAGCATCGTCGTCAAGCGTAGCGCCGGCGGCTGGAACCGCGCCGACTCGTGGGGCTTTGAAATGCCCGAGCGCACCTTTAAGCTGCCCAGCGCCAGCAGGCTGGACCAGGAGCTGGGCAGCAACGACGTGTCGGACCTCTCGCCCAAGATCATGTTCCACTGGAAGCGCGACGGGCGCCTCAACAGGGACATGACGTGCTACATGTCCGGCAAGAGCGTGGGCGGCAAGAAGAGCAAGGAGCCGGACATTACCGTTGCCATGTATCGCAGCCAGAAGCACGGGGATGCGCTGTGCATATACGAGCCCAACATGGCGCGCGTCGAGGTCGAGGACCGCAAGGGGCTGGAGGTTGTGCTGCTGCTGAGTGCCGTTGTCGTCCGCGACTTGCATTTTGCGCCTCGGCAGGATCCGTTCAACATCTCTGGCACGGCGGCCGCGGGGGTTCTGAATGGAAAGGGGAGGAGAGGGTCACGGCCATTGGCGTCGTCATCGTCACCCAGCGATCCAACACTTGTCTCGGGCGCACTGGGGGGAACTCCGTCACCGGTACAGGCGACTCACACGCCTCCGTTACGGCCGTCTCCGGCGAGCAACGTCGCAAAGCAGACCGAAATCGACGCCGAGACGCGCAGGCTGCAGGCAATGGTGGCCGAGGAAGAGCGGCAGCGCCGCGCGCGGCTTGCCCGAGAGGAGGAGGAGAGGACGCGGAGGATGCTGCGGCAGGAGGAAGAAGCCCGGCGGCGGCAGAAGCAGGCAGAGATTGATGCCGAGACGGAGCGACTACGTCGGGAGTACGGCGTCCAGGTCCCGCCAGCACGGCCCTCTCCCCCTTCACAGAGGCCCTCTCCCCCTTCACAGCGGCCCTCTGGGACGGCGGCCATGTCTGGAGCGTTGAGCGGCGGCAGCAGCTGGTATGGCCCGCCCGTCGTGAACAATCTCCAGCCTCCGCCTCCGCCTCCGCCGCGGCCAAGCAGCGTAGGGCCGCAGTCTGTGCCACAGCAGCAGGGTGGACGCCACAAGCCGGGCCCTTATTCGGGGCTGGCAGGGGCGCGAGCCAGTGCGATTAATCTGTTTGGGGGAGGTAAGACGGAGGAGGAAAAGAGGAAGAAGATGAAGAAGAAGCATAGCGTGTTTTTCTAGCATGGGCGTTTTCTTTTTCCCTCAGGATGGGCATAGATGGCATTGTTACATATGGCTGGCTTACGATTTATGATACTATTTCTTGACACTGATTCAATCATGAAGAATTGCATGAATCACTCGGTGGAAATCTTGACTCGGACTCGACCGGATCATGTTCATGTTCAGTGCAATGAATGCGAGAGAGTAGAATGAAATTGTGTATTATTAGAGGTGTTTCGATGTCTATATCGAACCCTCTCCGTCACCCCTTTTTTGTTTTATCCAACAGGTATCCTCGAATCAAATGGGTATATATCTAATACTCATGATAAAAAAACTTTTTGTGCTCCCAGCCCGAAATAACAATATCCGTGTCCGAATTTCAGTAAAGCAAGATAAACTTTTTTGTGGTGGTCGTTGTCGTCGTGAAAGTTGCTTTAGTGAATGAACAAAGTTGGTGTTTTTTGCAGGTTGTTGATTGTTCGTGTTAAACCCATTATGCCTTGACAGAAAGGCCTCTCTCTCCCATCACCCCTTTTTTTTTCAACAAAAACCCTCGCACGCTCAGGAACACAAAATCCAAGAAGCAGAAGCAGAAGCTAATGAACATGTTGTAGAGGTGAAGAAAGTCTTTAGACAACGTTCATGGGCAGCTTCATGCCAGCGCCGCAGTTGGCGGCCTTGACGGAAGGCGTAGGCCGGGACCACCAGTGGCGCTTCTTGGTCTTGGTGTTCTTCTTGTGGTGATCGTCCTGAGAGGCGATGGAGCGGTTGTCGGGGGTGTTGCATGCGGCGGTCGAGTTGCGGCGCGAGACGGCGGGGGTTGTGTTTGCCGTTGAGGGGGAGAGGATGAGGTCGTGGGAGACGCCGTTGCTGAGGGCGGCGCGGAAGTGGACGAGGTCGCCGACGAGCATTTTGTGTGGTTTGTAAGGGGGAAGATGTGTTTGTGTGTGTGTGTGTTTGTGTAAGTGGTTGTTTATATGAGTTGTGGGTGAAGCTTTGGAAGCTTTTGTTGTTGTTGATGTGGTTGAGAGTGTAGTAGTTGTGTGTTTGTAGGTAGTGTTGTTGATCTTGTAGATGCTTGATGCTTGATGCTGATGTTGGAACTACGTTCGATGCCTCTCCTTATATACAACTACGAGCACGCCTCCATTTAGGTACGTACATGATGCAGTTTTTCACGATGCCGTCGCTTTCCATACCTCCTGAACCAGAAGAAACAAATCATGGCAATTTTTCCTTGTCCATATGTTTCTTCCTACTACCAGCATCACCTGCAGACGGAGGATCCGATTTTTTTCTTCTTCAAGGCCCGGCGTTGCTCTGCCGGATCCACATCCCGATCGTAGCCAGGGGGTGTGTGTGTGTTTGCTCATGATGACATGGGGGGGGGAGGTGAAGAGAATTTTCCAACGTCGTGTGTGTGTGTGTGTGTGTGTGTGTGCAAGTTATTGGGCATTGTTGAAAGGGGGACCTGACAAGATGCTGTCGTTGTAGAATGTGGATAGAAGTGGATGGATGGGGGGGGTTAGCAGGGGGGGTGGCTTCAGCTGGATTGGATCGAGGCTGGGGCGCTTCTTCGGCAATGAGTCAGCAAGGGGGCATGGGATTGACAGGGGACAGGGAAGAATTTTTCTTTTTCTTTTTGTTCTTTGGGCTTCTTTTTTTCGTTGGTTGGTTGGTTGTGAGTGAGTGTGTGTGTTTTGGTGTGTAAGTGTGTGTGAGTGGTTCCTGGGTTTGGCCTTGATTTCAGGTACCAGGGCAGGGAGAGAGAGAGAGAGAGAGAGAGAGAGCGGTAAGATGCGGGTTAAGGATTTGTCTCGGGCCGAACATACAGGGGTCTTGCCTTTCGTTTTTGTTTCCATCTTGAGCTGTGAAGGGGGCTGATGACTGATGCTTGATGGAGCTGTCATTCGTACGAGGACGTGATGATGGAGTCATTTCTACGCCTGATGGACATGCGATCTTGTCTATTGACTGTTTTTGATACGCACTTTGACTCACTCGCCGTCATGTAAGCTGTTTTGAAGCTACACAGTCTCAGACTACTTCCTTCACCTCTATCTTACCTAGCAAGCTCAATAGTGACCAAAGCCGAAGCCGAATGCTACCTTACCTTACCATACCATACCTAAGTAATGAGAAGCAACAGAAGAATCTTAGCGACCCTGCCAGCAGCTTCCACAGCTCAGAACAGCACAGCACAGCCAATGCCTCACACACGCCTTTGGCCGACGGCCCGGCCGATGGAAACCCTACCTAAGTACTTGCATGGCCTCGAGCTACAACGACTACTGACGGGTACCATCGCCAAGTTTTTCTTTCCCTGAGCATCGTGACCTAAGCCCTATGGAGTTGCTACATAGTAGCAGCAGTAGTAGTAGTAGAACGCTTCAGGCCAATACTACTACTAGTATAATTGGTAGGTATCCATCAAAGCTCAGCCAGGCCGCCCGACGACCCGCACCCTCGAAGCCGGGATCCGTGAAAACCTGCACCTGCTATGGAGCATCATCATCTTCACAAGGCAAAAGCTTCCCAGGAACCCACAAGTTGGCGCCCGTGATGGAGCCGTTTGGGCGGGAGAGGCTGAGCTGGCTGATGGTGCTGGTTGTGTGTGTGTGTGTGGCGTGCCCTGTCGTCCGTTGGTTTTCTTGAAACCCATCCAGGGTTTGTGGCGAGATTCAAGGAAGGGAACGGGTTCTGTAAGTGGTTCCTTTGCGTAATCATTACTCCCCTGGTGCCTGAAGTAGAATCTATGGGTTTTGCGAATGAACATTTGCCTGTGAATGGGATTGGTTTTCCTTAGTCCCGTGGAGTTTGTGCCTGATGCGAGATCTGGTGTTGGGATACACGTATTTTGTGGCCGTGTAAGTGAGATGGACTTTGATTTGCTTGGAGTCCTGATTCAACTGGATGTAGCTCCTTTGCTTGACTGCATGTTTTTCTGTCATTGGAACCCTTGAACGGCTTGCTTTTAGCACGTGCGTATTGTAGCCGTCGTCAAACTTGTTATTTCCACGACCACACAAAATACATATACTTGTACATGTATATAGACTGCAATACGTAAAAGTGAAGCCCATTTCGAGGAACATGTGGATACCTCACGATGCGTTTCCAATTCAATGAGAAAGAAAATTTTTTTTGCGCCTTGTTCAGGAGGTCGAAAGTGGGAAGTGGATGCGCGGATGCGGGAATGTGTGGGAATAGGGGCGTTTTTTTCTCTTCCCTTCCTACGTGACCTGCGTGGGGACCTCTTGTAACAAAACGAAAAATACTAGATGGATCGGGTGATGGAAACACATGATGTGACTTTTTTTCTTCTTCTTCTTGCCTTTGCAGTAAAATTAGAAACCGTGTCTTCCGTGAATAGCCGCTTGGGTAAGTTCGAGTTGTGAACCTTGATGGTACGAGTATTGAATACGTTGCTCTGAACGTGGAGGGTGATGCTGTGATGATGGCTTCAAACTGGGTTAGTTGAAGGGCAAATCAATGCTTCGATGCAACAACATTGGGGCGAACACACTGAAAAAGTCTGTTCGAGGCGTAAAACCTTACCCATTGCCTTTACCGCACAAAGGCTGCCCTGCCTTTCCCTTCCTACCAAACAACCCCCTTTTCGTCCACGACCAATACTGATGTTCCATGCCATGAACCATTCATTGCCCTGCCTGCATCGCTCCACGTCTGCACCACGTCCAACCCCCCCCCCCCCCCCTCAATCACAATTGCTCTCTCAATCCCAAACCCAACAGTTTTTTTCTCTCTCACATCCCCCTGCCTTGAATGCCTGAATCAACTCTCTCGCGTAACAGAAAAGACCACATGGTGGAAGCACGTTCTGAGTCGCTCCCCCAGCATACCAAAACGCCATACCATGCTCATCTCCGAGTTTTTTTGTGAATCCAGACCGTCGACACCCGCCCGCCAACATCAGCTCATCCCTTTTCTTTTCCACTCCCAGAACCCTAACCTCCCCCAAAGTCTTCGGCTGGGATGCGCATAGTATGCAGCCGGCAGTTCACAGACTGATCTAGACTCCCGACTTCTCCTCTCCAATCTCGCAGCAACGGTGCCGTGACAAAGACCCTCGTCTTAGAGATCACTCCCGTGTACCTCTTCAACAAGGTCCTCAGCGCATGAACCACGTCTGCAGGGAGTGCCGCAAGCTATGGAGCTTTCGTCTGGACGGATGGAACACCTCGTAGGGTCGCTTGGTCGCCTTGTCCAATGTAATCCAAGAGCGCAGCCCAGTCTTTGTGATGAGCTACATTGTAATTCTTGGTGCGCTGCCTCTGCCTCGAGCTGCAGTCTGGCTCTTCTGGCTCTTCCACTTTCTCGTCCCTAGAAGCGTCAGTATCACGATCATCAAGCATCATACCTGTTGCTCTCCTCTCACGAACCCCCTTATTTCGCCCATACCACATCGAATCACTTCACACAAACACGAATATGCTCATCGTAGAAGCGTAAGAAAAGGCCGTTTGACATGCATCTAGGCTCTCAAAACACACCATACACAGTAGCCGGCTTCCCGCAAAATAACGCCGCTCATGCAACAACGCCCAACCGCCCTCCTCTTGATCGTCAAGTCCATCCTTGGTCCCAACAACAAGCTTCCCCTTCACAAAGCTCCCATGTAGATTTCAACTCGCTTTATATATATTTTCTCTTCTTTTCTTCTTATTGTCTTTTTTTTCTTCTTCTTTCCGTTGCCGTATTGGCAAGGGGGGTCATACCCAGTTATTGCTCCTGGTCCACCTTTTCCAGTCGCAGGTCGTTGACGAGCATATACCGGCTGAATCCCAGCCACAGGTATCGGAACCAGACCATCTGGCTCTTGTGCGCCGTCGTCATGGCTTGCCAGGCGGTGCCCAGCTTGGGCTCGGACCCAAACAGGTTGTTGGTGTAGACGAGCCTCTCCGGGTGCTCGGGGTCCTGGCCGCCGCGCGAGAAGAGGGTCGAGGCGATGGTGGTGAAGAGGTCGAGGCCGCCCGAGTACTTGCGCAGCAGGCCGACGGTGCCCAGCGTGTAGACGTCGACGGGGCTCTTCCACTCGGGCTTGCCCTCGGTCAGGGCCCTGGCGAAGCCGCGCGCGCCGTGGTAGAGGGAGATGTGGTTGGGGTGGGACGAGACGCCGCGGCCGTCAAAGGTAATGAGGGCGTCGATGTTGGCCGTGGGCTCGGAGGCGTTTTCGGCCCGCTGGCGCGCCAGCTGCGGCGCAAAGGCCTTGGTGAGGAGGGTGGCGATCTTGGTCTCGTCCCAGTGCGTCGTCATCGAGTCGGGGAAGTCCTTGCTGCAAAGCGCGACTGGTGGTCAGTGACCCAGGACGAAAACAGGATGCGCCGTTGGTAAAAGCACCACTCACGGGTTGTCGACGACAAAGACGTCGGACTCGTCTCGCAGGCCCAGCGCCAGGCCGCTCTGCACGAGCTCCTTCTTCCTGACTTCGCCGAGGCCTTCCGAGTTCCCTAGAAGCGCAACGCCCCGTGTCAGTCGCTTGAAGCTTCTTCTTTCTTCTTCATCTTCTTCTCCTCCTCTCCTTGTGATTCCTCAGCATCATCCCGCCGTACCTGAGCTCAGACAGAGAATCTTGACGTGGTTGCCCGTCTCGGGCCGCGCCAGCGCCAGCACCGTGGGCGCAAAGAACATGGCCTCGTCGTCCGGGTGCGCAATCAGCAGGCACACGCGCTTCTCCAGCAGCTCGGGGAAGCGGTTGCGCACGGCGCCGGCGGTGATCATGTAGATGGCGGGCACGGCGGCGACGAGCGACGCCGTCAGCACCAGCAGCGACCTGGAGTTGAGGTCCAGCCGGAACGGCAGGTCGAAGGGGAGGCTGAGGGAGTTGGGCATGGCGGCGGGGGGGATCGTGTCGACGTTGACGTTGACGAGGCTGCGGGACGACGCGAGCCTCGGGTAGTTTTGAGGGCGGAAGGTTTGCTGCTCGTGGCCGAGGCTGAGGTCAACGTTGAGGTGTGATATTCGGTGTTCTGGGATCTCGTGATTCGTTGCTCGTGTTCGTGTGTGTATGTGTGTGTGTCTACGGTGGTGGTGATGCGACTTGTGGGATGTTTTTGTTGGGGGATAAAGCGGGTTGGTTTGCCGGCCGAGTCTAAAGTGCGTGCGTACCTTTTTCTGCGGGAAATCAGACCGGCGGCATCAAGTGGGGGGAGCTTCTTCAGTGTCTCCCTCTCTCTCTGGATCTACACGTCAGTGAGGATTTAATAGCGAGGGGCATGTGTAAACAAGCCCGCAGCCGGAAGTTGCAGCAATGGCACCAGACGGCGCTCAATCAAGGGAACTGGGCTCTGTTTTTCCCAAGGGCCGATGAGCGGCAATTGGTCCGATGATGGATGACGGGTGAAACATTGGATGGACGCCGGAGGATCGCGGACAGAGGAGCTGCGTGCTGTAAGGGAGGAGGGGAGGCATCACGGGGACACGATGCGGTGAGGATTATAATACATGAGTGAGCGGTTTTGAGCAGATGGAGAGGTACAGTCTCTAGCATTACAATTTGCTTTTATCCAGGGAAGATCCAATATGACATGTTTCCCAAGGCATCACATCGCAAGTACCTTATCATCCATCATCATCTTTGTCTGTGCAGAATCCCGGATATGCCATGAACTGCTAGAGGCACCTGTAGCGCCACCCTCCAGGGGCATCGAATCCGTTCCGCCCCCCTGGCAGTGTTATCGATAAAGCACCTTTCCTCGGCTGACTTGATCTGATGTCATTTGCTATTAATCGGCACCAACACGAGAACACGTGTGTGCAGGTGGGATGCCAAAAGCCGAGCATCAGCTTACTACCTATATCATCGCGACATTGAACCCTTTCCACCCGCCGGTCGCCGACGAGACTCTTTCAAAGACTTGGGCATGAAAGCTTGAGAATAGGAGTGATAAGAAAGTAAAGGGAAATGGCCAAGAACCGCAAGGACCCAGCAAAAATCAAGCTCCGCCAGCCCGACCGCTCCCCGCCCACCGAAAAGACGCTGCTGGACATTGCCCAGGAACGATCCCTCTTCGACCAGGCCGCCAGACGAGAGAGGGAGCTCGCAGGCAGCAGCAAATCCTCCTCCTCCTCCTCCCCCGGCGCTCGAGATGGCGAGGACGATGATGATGGGAAGCTGTCGCCCGGCGCGGAGAGGTTCCTAGATGCGCTGCTGTGGACGACGACGCTGGCCATTCTGCACTCTACGTTTGATGTCTTGGTGATGAATCAGTATGGGACGGTGATTAAATGGGAAAAGGTCGTTGCGAATGCCGGCAGGGCGTGGTGCGGTAGGTTTTTCCCCCTTCCAATCTTCCTCTTGTCCTTGACCATGTGCTATATATATATATACTACACAAAACGAGTGTGGAATACATGATTGGATGCTAATGTGGTGTTGGAAAAAAAGCCTTCTTCTTCCTCTTCTACGTCCTCCACCCCCACGAAGCCAACCAGACGCTCCTCCCCGGCCTCCCGCGCCGCTTCCAGAGACCCCTCCGCCAGCTGCTCTTCTTCGGCATGAGCTGCGCCGCGGGCTGCGCCCTCGTCTACATCACCAACTCAAAGGGCTACCTGTACAACATGAAGAGGGCGCCGCCGCTGGGCTGCCTGTGGGTGTGGGCCGTGGTCGAGCTGGACTTGGTGTGGGCGGTGCCGAGTCTGCTTGTCACGGGGCTGTATTTATGGATGAATGGGTTTTCGATCAAATGAGGTCTTTCTGTATACTACCTTGATGTATATACCTATGCATATATGTTGATTGGCGAAGCAAGACAGGCAGGGAAAAAAAAACATGGCGATTCGTGTTTTTGCAAACTTCTAGATGCTCTGGCTCTAATTGAGCTCCGGCCTTCTGCACGGGAAATCACAGCATTTCTTACGAGGTGGTCTCTTCTTTGGAATAGCAATCTAATTCAACTCCTAGTCAAACCTTTGACAAACCGACATTCGTAAAAAAGTCATGGGCTTATCCTGAGATCCTCCCTGTCTAGAAACGTCGCGTCATACATTGCACATCTCAGAAATCTCACAATGTCTCAATGGTCCCCCCACTGCAACTGCAAGGCAAGGCAAGGCAAGGCAAGGTAGAACAAGGTAATAGGAAATTAGATAGACCATCGTCTGTCAATATCGTCTTTCATACCGGATTACGCTATGCAATCATTCAGTAAAGAAAACATGGATATCGCACGCTTCCCTTGCCATGACATTATACATTCAGCGTCCACCTCTTTTTGTGCCAAAAGAAAAAAAAAAAGACAAAAAAAAGAAAAAGCCCGTTCTTATGCAGATAGATGACGAGAAAACTCGAGGCCTGGATATAGCACAATGATTATGATAAATAAGAGAAACATTCCCGCTCCTTGACCCTCGAACCAAGAACTGCCAGAGGGGGTAAGAGAAAAAAAAAAAGAAATAGCAAAGATCATCACTTTTGTCGGCTTGGCTGCTCCGCGAACCGGATGCCTCTTCTCGCAGGAGGCACTCGCGGCGTGCCTTCGTCGTCCGAGTCGCTGTCCTCGGCGGCAGTCGGGCCACCCACTCCCAGGGCTGCCTCTCGCCGCCGTCGCTCGGCAGGCGTCTCGCCCGTTGAGAGGCTGGTATCATCCATCCTCTGTCGGGCGTCGATCGCGCTCTCACGGCGCTCGGTTTCGCTTTGCTGGCCTCCCAGCGCGGCCAGGCGACGGTTTCGCTCCACGGGAGTTTCGCCGTCTAGCTCGGAAGGCTGCACAGAGGCGTTTACACCGCTGCGGTCTCGGCCTCGAGGCGCATCACTTTGTCGCAGAGGTGAGAGGGACTTGGAGTCGCGGTAGCTGCCGCGGGGAGCGGGTGACACCGATGTGGACGCCGACGTGGAGGCGGGGCCGGAGCTGGATTCGGGCTCGATAATCTCGGGTATGTTCAGCGGGCGGCTCGTGCCCTGAACATGGAGATCTTGCCGGGCCAGGTTCTTGAGCGCGTTGGAGGCGGAGGATTTATCAACCACCTCCTTGCGCGTGCTGGCGTCGAGCTTCTGCACCTCGCGGATAAAGTCCTCCTTGGTCATGCGTCGGCCTACGCCTCCGATTGTGAAGCGAATCTTTCGATCATCGTCCGAGTCCTCCTGGTGGGCCACGTTCTTCTTGCGGCCTTCGCCACCACCAAGGACACCAAAGCCGGTAGTCCAGCCGGGCTTGGACGCAGGCTTGGAAGATGAAGCGGCTGCGCCAGAGGCAGAGGATTCACCTGCCTGGCCTTCTTCCATGGCGGCCTGCGGCGACCTTTCGGGGTGTCGTGCGAGGGCGCCGAGACCCAGGTACTTGAGACTGTTGTTGATCAGCTTGCCCTCCTGGCCCGCGGGCTTCTGTGGAGGCAGTTCGTATGTCTTGACGACTTCGCCATCCTCGTCCTCGACAATGATCTGTTGTAAAAAAAAAACGTTAGAAAGCAGTTTCACTCGTGTGAGGAAACGGAAAGAAACATACCGTGTTGCCAAACTGGTAAGCTCGGGCTGGTTCATGTCGTCGACTGGTCTTATCCTTTTCTTTTCGCTTCTCCAACTCGGAGCTGTACACGTCTGTCATTTTACGGCGGATGTTGTTCACAGACCAGTGGAACTTTTCTGCTTCCGACTTGGACTTCTGCCCAGTGGGCGCCAGTGATGGTCGCTTTGGCACCTCCTCTTTCTTTCCTCCCTCCTCGACCTCGCCCTGTGTTGATCGAGCATCAAGAACGTCGCCCTCATCGTCTTCGATAACCAGATGCTCGCCTTCCTCGTAAACATTGACGTGCGGTGGCGGGCTCTGACTCTCATCGGCGCGTCCGCGACGACCGCGCGGCTCTTCTACATCGCCCGACTTCTCCAGGTCAACCTCCGTAGGGCTCTCTCCAGACGGGGTAGAGGAGTCCCTGACCTCGGGCTCTGGGGCCGTCTCCTTTTCAGGTGGGGGTGACGCTGCTGCTGACCGGTTAGGGAAGATGGCCGATTGACTGATGGGGCCTCCTGGCCCAATGCCGTCGTCCCACTTCCTGTTCCTCCTCTTCTTGGCCACCAGTGACGACGGACGGCTGCCGGAGCGGCCGTTGTTGTCCTCTTCGCGCTGGCGGCGGAGAAATTGCGCGGGTGGTGGGATGGTGCCTGGGGGGAACTCGGGCGCCTTGTAGTCGTCAAAGGACGTCTCCGACATCGTCCGGGCCTGGGATCTGGACTGGGACGAGATCCTGGGCAGCCTGTTCATCCAAGACGGCCCGTCCTCGGGCGCGGCGGTGTAGGACATGGTAAGGGTCAGGGTGTTGATGCGCTTGCCGAGCGTGAAGACGGCAACCGAGGATCCGTGGACCAGGATGGAGGAGATGACGAGGAAGGTGACAATGGGCCACACGAGGTAGATGAGGTTATAGTGAGGCGAGCCCTCGGGCGGCAGATCCGATAGCGGCACGGGCTCGTCGTGCTCCAGCTCGGCACGCGCGAGGATGGCGACGAAGATGGCGCCGACACCGATGGGGCCAAAGTGGCCTGCGAAGAGGGCCTCACGCCAGTTTTTGATGTCTGGTATGACCGGCTTGAGCAGCATCATGACGGGGATGCGGCGGAAGAGAATGACAAAAATGGCAATGACGACGAGGCGCCAGACCTCCATGCCCAAGAAGCCGTTGTTGTACTGCTCCCAGGGGATAATGGTTCCAAAAAACACAAAATAGGCCAAGTTGAGAAGCAGGTCGATGACGTTGGAAACGTGCGACTCCTCCGTCTTTTCGCCGAACCAGCCGTCGTTAGAGAAGCCGACTCCGGCAGCAAAGCCCACGAGGAGATCGTCGACGCCGAGGATACTACCCGAACCGGCGCAGAAGAGTGAGAGGGCAAAGTAGAAGACGAGGAAGCTCTCGCGATCAATCATCTCGTGCTCCTCGGCGTAGCGGATGCCGCGGCGCGCAATATAGCCAATCATGAAGCCGTAAAAGGCCCCAAAGATGCACTCGTAGAGGATCACGTAGACGACGAAGTGGAAGCTGACCTCGCCGGCGTTGCGGTTGTATTGTATCAGGTACAGCGAGAGGTAGATGAAGGGAAAGGCCATGCCGTCGTTGCAGCCGGACTCGGCGGACAGCAAGTCTCGCAGATGCTTGGGCACGCGCTTGGCGAACTTGCCCTTGCCGACGACGGACGAGGCCAGGACGGGATCGGTGGCGGTGACGCAGGCGGCGACGACAAGCGAGTCGAGCCAGGTGAGCGGCGGGATCATCCACCAGACGAAGAGGCTGACAATCAGCCAGCCAAAGGCCATGACGGGCACGAGCAGGAAGACGACGGAGCGCCAGTGCCTTTCCATGTAGAATTTGGGCAATTCGACGCCGACGGCGAAGCACTGGACGACGAGGACGATGCGCGAGAACTCAACGGTGACGATGTCGACGCTGCCCCAGGACCGGGGATCGATCAGGTTGGCGGCATGAGGCCCGAAGATGACGCCGCAGATGGTGGCAACGGTGGCCTCACCAATGTACATGCGCTCCTTGATGACAGACGAGCACAGCATGAAGAGCGAGGTGAAGCCGCCGAGGATGATGTAGACCAAGTGCGGCTTGGTGATGTCGAGGTTGTCCCACGCCATGGCGGGCGGTGGTCTGGATTCGCGACGAGGTGGACGTATGGGCTCCTGTCTCTGGATGGTATCAATCCAATCGATTCGGTTCGTGTGGTTTGATTTTCTTCACAAGGCCCGCCTCTTATTATTGTTTCGAATCTCCTCCTTTTCTCTCTTCTTCTTCCTCCTCCGCGTCTTTTTCCTCCTAACCAGCTCCTCCTGGTTTCCCTCGGTGGCGTTTCTGCCCGACGGGTTATGCTCGAGGCGCGATGCCGGCCTGATATTCTTGGCCCTGTTCTTTTTCACCTAATAGTCTTTTCCTTTCTTTTTATCGCTTTATCAATTCCTAGCTTCGTTTCAAGCTGCGAACCTGGTCCTGCTGGCTCAAGGCGCGGGTTGGGGCTCCGGCTGGCGCTGGAGCCGGGAGAAGCAGCGGCCTACGGGCTGGCACTGCAATCTTGAGGTAACTCCCCAGTCAATGGTAGCCGAGCGAGGGGCGTCGTGATGGCGAGACATGCAGGAGAGCAGAATCGAGGATGATGAGAGGAGAAGAAAGCAGAGTGAAGCAGGTGAAGGGTGACAGGACAGGAATGACGGAAGAAGTGGGCTTTGCACGTGGAAATAAGGCCAGGACGAAGTTCAAGGTTCTGATAAGGATTTTGGACCTGGATTTCGACTGCCGCTAAGCCACAGTCTGAGCGAGTCCGAATCCCGAGTCAAGGGCTTGGAAGCAGCAGAGAAGCAGCGCAAGATGGATGGACGGGGTGGAGACTGGCAGCAAGAGGTGCCGTGCGCGAGGCTGCGAGTTGCAGGAGACGGGAATGTGGGTGAGTGTCGCTATGTAGCAGGTAAAAGGTGATAGTAGGTGTGTATGTGTATGCGGGCGTGTTGTGTGCGTGGTTGGTGGTCATCCACTCGTATTCTGTGTCGTCACTCGATCGGACAGGTCGGTTCCGTGGCGAAGCCGCCGATATGGGCCCGGCACAAGTTCGTGGACCGGCGCAAGGATGGGGGGGAAACGCTCCGAGGGCTGGGCGCTATCTGATCAGATGGATCATTATCGCGGCTGCATCAAGGCTGAGCGTCGTCGAATGGCTGTCGGTGCTGTATTGCGATACTGTATCAATGTCAACTCGCTTCATCCGTCGTGATTCGAGGACTTGTGCTGTCTCCGTCCGATGGCCAGCCCTGAACCCTGAGATCCGATGGCAACTGCAACAATCCCTCAATCCAGACACCGAGCACCAATTGATTCCCTGGTCGCTCTCGTCTCCGTTTCCTCGCCAAACTCCGTGCCCAGGAAAAAAGAACGACGAAAAAAAAAAGCCCGTCACCAGAAATGATGCCACAATCTGGACGTCAAACCAACCAACGCGGCCGCCAAGCAACTACCGCCGCCAGCCCCCCCAGTCCAGCGCTGATGCACAGCGCCAGTGCGGGCCCTTCAGGGCGTCGGGGCGTGGGGATTTTGCGGGCTGGGGCACCACCTCGCCTAGGCGGCAGCAGCTGGCGGCCACTAGAAGCCCTGAAGCCACTGCTGGCGGAGCGCCGTGGACCGATTCTGCCGCTTCAAAGGCGGTGTTGGCTCCAGCCTGTGATTTTAGCAGAGTCTTGGCCAAACTGGCGATCCCGTCTTTGCCTTCTTCCTTTTTCTGTTTTCTTCCGCCGTCTTCTGCTATGCTCTGCTATGCCGTGCTTTGTTGTTGTCTCGCCCTCCCGGCTGCTTTCGATCAAAACAGAGCCCCGAATGGAATTGGCCGTTCCGGTTTGCCGGAACCGTCGTCGAATGCAGTTGCTTCCGTTCCACGACTCTCCCTGTTCTTCCCTTGCCCTGTCTCACCCGCCTCGTGACGACTCAGATCCGGCCTCTGCAGGCAATCCGACGAGACGAGACACCAGCCAAGCCAGGTCTCGGCACCGTCTTCCTTGGCAGCACGCGCGACGTTTTCCTTTTTTTTTTCTTCGCCCTCGTCTTCGGTCTATTGTTTGCTATTTTTATGACGCCCTTGATTCGTCTTTTGTTCCTCCCTTTTTTTCCATTCCGATGGGGGCTGAACCTGTGTCTCCGTTGCTCAAACTCCCGAACTTCACGTCGGCGCGTGTTGTCGCCCGTCTTCCGGCAGCCAATTCGCCGTCGCTCCTGTGATCCGTTCCGACATGCTCCGTGAATACCACAACCTGGCGTTTTTCGGCCCCGGGCATTGGTGAGATCTGCAGTTACGGAGACAGAGCCAAGAAGCTGTGTCCCCGTCCGGCCCCCTTTAATTCTCTTCCTTCTCTTCGATCCTTCGTCCCTGTTTTTATGCTTATCTCTTTGGCCCCTTCCTAGCCAACTAGCAAACGGCTGGATGGGAGCCTCATCTAGATTGCTGACAACCTGCGTTAGCCCCCAACACCAAACCCGTCCTGACCCGGGATTCGTGAGCAGTCTGCCGGGTGCTTGTCACGTCTGCTAGTATCCTCGTTGTTTATTGACTTGGCATCATGCTTAGAAGCCAATGGGAGTTGACTGTCTGCCACTTGGGAACTTTCTCTACATAGACACAGTCCTGATGGACGACTGAAAGGCCGATCTGCCTTGCTTTTTGCTCGCTTCCCCGCGTTTTGTTGGTAATGCATCATGTGAGAGCCCATTGGCGGAGCTGTTCCATACAACAAACCACTCGTTTGAAGATCTCTGGTGCAGATCATGGAATATCATCTGCGAAACCAGACGTCGTGATGCTGGTTTTCCAGCTGCAACCTCGAATCGTACCACCACCTGTAAGAATCTACCGACAGGTGGTGCAAGTGTCTGTTCGAACGCTTCCTGAGCTTGCACATCATGTGTGCACATACTTCGCACGGGTCACCTCAATGCGAGCGCGCGGCTTGTGTAGCGACGTCAAAGCTGGCGAGATCTGCAATTGGCTCTTGTCGCGTGCATTCGGCGCTGTCCAACCACCGCTCATGTTACTCTGCGGATCATAGGCCTCTCGGCTTTGCAAGAGTCATGCAAACACGCGCGCATCCAAAGGAAGTTGACGGGAAGCCCGTTTGCCGTTCGTTTTCTCCATTGCTGCCTTCTCTCCACGACCAAGATGTCAACCTGTCAGCGGAAGCCAGGTCGGATAACCTGTGTCACATGCTGGCATGATGCACCTGTGAGGCTATCTAGATGCTCTTTACCTGAAGTCTATGTCACGCATGTGGCACCCAAGATTCTTCACCACAAGCCTGTCGGAGGGGAATGTATCACGAGCCACAGCTTGATGTAGGTCGCCAAACTCTTGGGGAGCCGCATCTGCATGTATGCAGCCAAGCCGTTTCGAGGATGGAAGCCGGCGTACGACTTCTAGAATGATGCGTTTCACGTCAACTTTTGCGCCCCTTGCTATGCTTATTCCGACGTCGATGTTACGTGGGACGCATGCCAGTACATAGTCTTTTCTACGAGGTCGAAAGGATCCTACAGTAGGTAGGTAAATTATATATACCTTTACATTGAAACAGTTTATATCTGGCTTGATGTTAACTTGAGGGACTCCTTGTCCTACAATTTGGGAGAAACTAGAAGTAGAGAGGCACGTGGAGTTGCAAAACATCCTGCATGTCAGCGATATCAATAATACGGGGAGGCGTCTCAGTTACCGTCGTCATACGGGCTGCCGAGTCTATACGCATGGTGACGGGAAGATTATATCGAAGCACTGAACACAACAATCCTTTGGGTATAATGAAAGTGTGAATTCTTTGTTAACGTGCATTGAGTTTGCGCCTGTCTTTGTTGTAGGAGTGCTGTAGTGCCGTGATTCGATGTCGTTGACGGCTATTCAGATACCATTTGCCACTATTCGGAAGCTCACACCTAAATTTATGTATATGCCATGCCATCTTAGTGCCAAATCATTGAAACAGTTGGTGTTTGTCTATCAAGCTGTTTCCTTCACATACGAGGCTTTGTGCTCACAGTGATTACCTTCAAGAGTCAATGGATGGGTAGTCAGTTCGAAGAGGAACCGACTCCTATGATCAAGGGAACAGCACTCCATGTTTCCCAGGCACTCACAGGCACTCAGTGACGGTCACACGCCCCAATGTCTGAGTTTAACTCGCCTTGATGCTATGAGATGTTGGAAGAATGACTATTGATGCATTGAGCATGCGCTGATAAGTGTATGGTCGACGGACGACTCGTCAGCCATGTTGCTAGGATGGATTGGCTTTCAAAGGATTGAATGCTCCGAAATTCGCATTCGTAACAGTTGCGAAACGCACTGAAACCCTGAATGACCGTAGCATAGGTAATCTAGGTATCTTAAATTTTCTGCCGCTCCTGCTAGCACAGGTGGTACGCATGTGATGCGGTTCTTTCATCTTGATGCTGGGCACTTTGGGTGTCTATTAACATAAAGTTACGTACATCAACTTCACGACTGTCGACAGTACCTTAGGTACCTTATATCGGAGGCGCTTGCATAAGTCCCCGTTTACCGTTTCACCACCTACTAGGTAGGTAGGTAATCAGGTAGGTAAGTTCCAAGTGCAAATGGCGTCTGAACGGCACATGAAACGTTTGTTGGTCTCTTTCACCGTTGGAACCACGTCGGTCCCAACTCTACCTCACTAGAAGGTTAGAGGTAGGTTGGATAGAAAACAAAACACAAACAATCGATCATTAAATTGCGTTACCGTAAGTCATTTCGTCCTAAAAAACAATGAAACAATACTTGCATCATGGCCGTAGCGTCGTCGCGTGGAGAGACAAAGCCTCCCTGCGCGTGGTATCTCCTCCAAAGTCAATCCAAGTAAGGCAGTACTTCCCGTCTGCTGCCTGGTACAATCTGGTACATGTTGTTGGTTCAGGCTGGACCCAACAGCCTTGCACATGACACGCAACAGTCTGATAATCCCTCTTTCCTCTTTCCAACTCTAATCCGACTTCACTCCATCTTCAACTTCGTCTCACTTTCTTGCGACTCTTCACTGCACGCTCTTCTCGTCCGCGGGCTTCGCCTCCTGTCTGTCGAGCTTGCCAATCAGCTTGCCCCCGTCCAGGATGCTGCCAAACATGGCCGCCTCAAACAGATGATTCACCTGCCAGGCGTGGTGGTTCGCATGGGCAATGATCCAGACCATCTCCAGCACCTGGCCGCGAGAGAAGAGATCGGCCATCGTCAGCCGCGACCCCTCTGCGAACTCGTACTCGCGCCCCTCATCGACCACGCCGCCCCGGACATACGCGAGAGGCTCGGTGACGAGGAAGCGCCAGAGATCCTTCAGCAGCGGCTTGTCTTGGTGGCGATGGAAGAACTGGTGGACATGATCGCACGTGTCTTCGCCATTGCAGGCGTACTTGGCCTCGAGAGGTCTTCTGAAGCCCGTGGTGCGGTACTGCTTGTCAAAGACCTCGTCAAAGTCGGCTTCGAACTGAGGCTGGTTCGGCGTCTTGCGGGCCTTGGGCCAGCCTAGGATTGCACGGCGGAAGAACATGTGGCGGTCGTTCTGGATGTGCCATGTGTACAGGGCGGCGCACATTCTGGCCACCGGCTCATGCCATCGCTGGGTCAGCATACGGGCACCGGTTGCGGCATAGGCATCGTACACCCGGCGCAGCACCTCCTCGCTGACGACGCCCGTCTCGGTAATGTCCGTCACGTTGAGGAACGAGTTCATGACCTCGGAGTTGACCAGATCGCACCCCACGTCGACGACGTCGGTTCCCGGCGAGCTGAAGACCAGATCGGCCATGACGGCCCCCGGATCGCAGCCGCGTGCGATCGCCTCGGCTGCCATGCCCAGCAGGCTGCTCTCTGACAGGGAGACGATCTGAGCAGTGCGCCGGTTCAGTCGCGCGGATCGATACGACAAGTTCTTCTTGAATCGGTCCTCTAGCGCGATCTTACCCTGGATGTACTGCTTGCCGAGAGAGACGGCGTCTCGCCGCTCGCGACCCCCTGGAGCGCGCAGCGCATGGGGATCCTCCAGGCCTTTCTGCAGCAGCGGCTCCAGCGTCGGGAAGACGTAGTTGTAGCCGTGCTCATAGTAAAAGACCATGTCCGTCACATAGTTGGAGAACATGGTGGGCGCATCGGCAGCGCCCATGAGCAGGCTGGCGATGCCGCAGCCAAAGAGGGCATTGTTTGTCTTGAGGGCGTCGGGCCAGCCCGCGGCTCGGAACTTCTGAAGGGCTCCAGCCGAGGCCTGGCTGAGGCCAGTGCCCTTTGGCGGGAGGATATTGCCGGCCGCGTGCTGGGATTCCTTCCACGCCTGCAGATCGGCGGATAGTCTAAGCTGGACTACTCTAGGGCCCGACTCGAGAGAGGACAACGACTGCTTTTCGCCCACGGACGACGTGTCCGACGCATCTCCGACATCTGCAAAGACCTCGGCAACAAAGGCGCGGGCCTGGTTTGACAGCATCGCCAGCTCCGGCACAGTGCCATCTCCGACTAAGGCTCTTGCTTCTGAATAGCCACGGTGGACGGGAAAAGAGTGCTTCCTAGGCTTCCGACCGAGGAGTTTCCTAACCCGATTGCGGAAACCCTTGGCCCAGAAATATGGGGGAATCTGGCCCGAGTCATCCCGGAAGACGTCTTTCTTGGGCGACTTGATCTTGATCTTGAGCCCTTTGAGGTCAAACTCGCTCCAGTAGCTCTGATGGGACAAGGGTTGGCACCAAAGGAAAGCCATTGCGATGATCGACGCCCGGGAAGAAGCAACTTGAGATGAATGGCACAACAAGAGCTCGCTCATGGGTTCCCGCCGTCCGTTTATATGTTGCTTCAACGGGCGTCTATCCAGCCGTGGTGGCACAGCTGCAGCCTGGAAAAAGGCCGCATCTGCACTCGGATGGAGCCTCTTAAAAAAAGTTCGGGGTGAACCAACAACACTACATGTCACATTCTATCACAGGATTTGCTGGGATTGATACGGAGGAGGAGGGGAAGGAAGGCCAACATTGAGGTGACCTGACCTCGACTGACCGGAGCTTTACCTGAGCCCACCTGAACAGCTGAACTCGGCGGGCGAGGGTAAGCTGATGCTTGTGGATTTCCAAGTATCATTACAACCTATTACTACTTGGCCTTGATCGAGAGTCCTGCTGCTCTTTCTTGGCATGCAGGTCTGCGACTTCACGGAAGATCTGGATATCACATGGACAACGGAGAAGCCCAGATTGACCAAGGACGAAGAGACGAAGCGATGGAGACCGAAGCAGAGAGAACACAGACACAGACACAACCACTCAGAGACGGTCCAAAGTGGCAAGATAACGAGCCGAACTGGATACCACTCTTGGTCTCGCTACCGTCAACTGGAGAAGCTAATGGCGCCAGAAATCTTCATCTTGGCACCACGTTGACGACTTGGTTGATCAGGAAGAGATTTCCCTTCATCCATGCCAACCTCTCCGCAAGAAGACGCGGAACACGAGGGGGTCCCCTGTTGAGCGATTGATGGTTCATACTCCACAATGATATCAAGTTCGTTGGCTTGTCCATGTTTCCCGCCGCGGACACTTGCTGCCTTGGGATTAGCTATATGTATGTGCTGTCTGCAAGCGTTGAAGCGGTGAGAAATTGGGGTTGATGTCACGGTTTGCGAAGCTGGCGATGGTTTGACCTTGACCTTGCAGAGTCGCACTCGAGCGGCCGTGGTCCCATGAGCATGTACGAAAGCAAGGCGTATCGAGCCTTGGCCGTTCATGCGTTGCGGTTCGCCGTGGGTGAGACCGAGGAGACCGAGGGCAGAATGCAAGGCTCGAGGATGGGCCTTCTTGGACCGCGTGACGGACGTGGCATGCTGGAGAATGGCCGTCTGCACGATACAGGTACATCGCTTTGCCTCTGCATTGCATCAGGATCCAGATGGATACAGCAATTGACGCTTGCGATTCGCACGACCGCGCCGCCGGCATCTGCAGGACCGGACCGCCAAGCCACGCCCTGTTGGTTGGTTGGCTGACTACTGCCACTCGTACCTTTCTGCCGGAGTCGACGGGGACGAACTGTGGACTTGGTGGCAATGTGGATTACACAAAAGGTTATGACGGGAGAGCGACGGAGCGGATAAGACTTGTGCTAGGCCTGCCACATGTTATCCTAGCACCAAAGTGCGAGGCAGGGGTATGGGTGGCCTTGATAACCACTTAGGTAATGGAAGCAAGCAACATCCTGGCCGACGTCGAGAGGCCCTGGTCTTGTTTGGCTGTTTGCTGAACAAGCGTGAATACGCCTTGCCATATCATGCCTGGTCTTGTTTGTCGACCAGGTCAGGAAGTATTTGTAGGACTGCCACGAGTCCACGAATCATCGTGTTGTTCTTACATACAACTTCTCCGCACTGACAACAAGGTGACAGATAGCAGATGGCTACGACTAGATAATAGCACCCCACGGCAGTCTCTCCCCTTGTCCTTTGAGTTGCGAGTGGTACGAGGTTTCTTGCGTCTTGTCAATGCGAATCGCAGGGCCCCTCTGGTTGCCGAGGAAGCGTGTCTGGATGGTCAATTGAATGTTTTGTCGAAGAATACAGACAGATACATACCTACATACCTGAGGTTGGCAGTCTGTCCCGACGCGATCCAGATCCGGATATGCCGAGGAATCAACTCCCTAGGCCACAGACTGCAGCTTGACAGGATTGGTGTCGACCAGGGGACATGGAGACTTTGGCGGCAGCATCTCTCAGCACTGCCGTACGGGGACGGACAATGTATTCTGTCGCGCCTCGCGGCAATTGGTTAATATCTGCTGGCCGGCAATTCAGTTGGTGACTTGTTAGTATGATCTTGGGGGAAACGGACTGAGGCTGATGGACGCGAGATGGAGGCTGGTTGCAAGGGGATTGGCGCACTGCCTTTCTCCACACCAGCCAGACAGGTCCATCCCAAGGCCAAAAGACGCAGCCCGGCACGAGCGAAGACGCCGAATACGGCTGACACTTTGGGGGTTCGCTTGCCAACAAGGCGTGCTAATAAGAGAGGTCTGCCGTGTCCCCTTGGTACGGGCTGGTATAATAGTACAAGTACGCTGCAGGGCCCCAAGCTCCCGGGACGAGCGAGCTCCCAGAGAGGAGAGGCAGAGGTTTCCGGACGAAACACCAAGCTCCAGCCTGCGTCCCACGGCTGATTGCGATGGCCAGCGCTGGCGGGCCGCGATGGCAAACAATGCCGGCGAGCTGACGGCCCTCGTCCCCCTTCAGCTTATACTAGCGGTGGGCTGCTAAGGACGGTTGTGGCATCGGGTGCTGTTGAGCCCATACGGCCACTCGTCCGACCCCGGCCTGGGGAAGGGCTGCAAGGGCTCACGTTCAAGCCCAATGTCACGGCGGAAATGACACTTGACCCCTTCCACGGCTGTTACTTGTATAAGTGCCGCTGCAATCGAGATTGGCCGCCGCAGCAGAAAGGTGCCCTGGGTTGCGGTTCACACGCCTGGAGGAGCGACCCGACCTCGTCTTCCCGAGCCAACGTCCCGAGCCTACATGTAACCATTCGGTTCCGGCACCCTCGAGACAGGAAGCGCTTCTGATCACGGCCCTTTTTTTTCTCTCTTTCTGATTTGCATGCCAATCCCATCCGACCATGGCCCCGCCCGATGCCGTGTCGTCGATTCGGTACCGCCCGCTCGACCGGTCCGGCAACGAGATTCGCCTGCTCGAGCTGCAGCCGGCGACGACCAACGACATTAACGAGCGCGTCGTGTGCCGGCTGGTGCACGAGCGGCTAAGCGACTCGCAGTCGCACGACTTCATCGGCCTGTCGGCCCTGTACGGCGACATCACCGTCACCGAGACCATCATGGTCAACGGCGCGGCCATCTGCATCCCCGTCCACCTCGCCCAGGCCCTGCGGCACATGCGCGCCGTCTTCCTGGCCGCGTCGCTGCCCACGCCCGACGCCTCGAGGACGGACCTGCAGGACGGCGTCGACGCCCCGAAAAAGGCCCCCGGCTGGCTGCGGTCGCTGCTCAAGAACGTGCGGCACATGCTGGCCGAGCCGGGCGCGTCGCGGGGGGGCACGCCGCCGCTGCGCATCTGGCTGGACCTGCTGTGCATCAACCCGCGCGACAAGCGCGAGGAGGCCGAGCGCCGGGCTCACATGGCGCGGGCCTACCGCCACGCCCGCATGGTGGTCGGCTGGCTGGGCCTCAAGGACGCGACGTCGGACCTGGCCATTGAGATCATCAAGGCCTGGGACAAGTGCATGCCCCTGACCTTTGGCGAGCCGGGCGATCGCGAGCTGCACCCGGACGACTACGCCCCTGTCCTGCAGTGGATGGGCCCCGTCGCGCACCTGAGCGACATCCCCGAGGGCATCACCGACCCGCGCGACGTGCCCAGCTACAAGGCCATCTCCGACTTCCTCAACCGGCCCTACTTCCGCAACTCGTGGATCCTCGACGACATGAGCAAGGCGCGCTTCCCGGCGTTTTTGCTGGGCGACGACATTGTGTCCTGGATGCAGGTGCTGCGCCTCAACCGCGTCAACGAGGACATCAAGGACCACGGCGCCGACATGTTCCCCGACGAGCTGCGGCCGCTGCTCGAGTACATGCCGCTGGGCAGCGTCTATACCTTTCTCAAGGAGTTTGACAACCGGCAGCGGCAGGAGGGCGGCATGCCGGCGATGCTGACGACCACGACGAGCTCGGTCAGGAGTTCGTCTTCGATATCCAACATGAGGACCAAGTCACGGCAATGAAGTGATGAAGTCTGAATGACATGCTCGCTTTTCCTTGTCATGTGTTTTTTTTTTCTTCTTTTGGTTTTCTTTTTCGGTTTACTGTTTACTAAATACTGCATATGAGGAAAAGTCACCTACAAACCAAAAAAAACATGATGTGTGATTCACAAGGCGGGACGACCAGGCATTTTTCTCTTGTTTCTTTCTTCTTTATTCCATATCGTCTCCTATCTCTGTATCTGTTGGGCGGAAGGAAAGGGACGTTGTGGCCCCGGATCACGACTTGGCACACTCTGGGAAACGGGGGGGAAACGGGATCGTCAACTGTTTCATTACTTTGTTGTTGTTGTTGTTGTGTGTGGACAGCGAAACTCGGGATACCTATTTGTGTTTGATCCCCTCTTCTTTGTATAAAGAAAAGGACATGAAAGACGGGATGTTGAGGTGCTTATTGGGCGAAAGCTGTTGCTTCATTGTTCTGGAAATTCTTATGTATGTAGAGAGATACCAATCAATTTAGGATAGTAGATAGATTTCTTTTGTTTTCCTTTTTTTTTTCTCTCTTTGCTTGTTTATTTGCTTATTTTTTCTTTTTATTTCTACTTTATGAGCATGAGTTGGGGCACAATGTCTAAAGAAGTGATGTTCTTGTACGCTTTTTGTGTGTGTTTGCTTGTTTCTCTTCTGCATGCTTGTTGTGATGTCGTTCGATTGGATTTGCATCACGCGTCATGTTGACATACAAGAACGAGACAGAAATTCTTACTACTACTAGTACTGTACTGTAATGTCACATCTCGCTTTTCGTGCCGGATATCTGTGGAACCTGCCGTAAACTGTGTTGGTTGTGACCCCTGAGAGTGCGGCCGCAGTCGAGTGCAGATCAGCAATTTTACCGATTGGAGGGGGGAGGCGGATGGGATGGGATCGTGGGATCGTGTTGTTGGATCGTTGGTTTTGAGAAAAGCGTTATTGGAGATCATTTATCGACGATTGTGTTGTTTTGGGTGCTGTTGGTGGGAATTTGCCAACACAGACTACATGCAGGTACAGCCGTCACCAGCATCCAAAGCCCATGCCGGAACCACCCCCGAATACCTCAAACTCAAACTTATTCTTTCCCCCAAGCCAGTAGTGAACCGAGCCATACTCCTCATGCGTGTTCCCCGCCTGAATGAGAAGATCTTTCCTAGCCGCAGACAGCGCCTTCATGGCCGCCTCGAGCCTCTCGTCAATCTCGCACTGGTCCGACAATTTCAGCTCGACCGGTTTCGGGGCCATGGCTGAATTGTCCTTTAACTTGCGGAGAGAAGTCCCCTTGACCCTGCCGGGTGAGTTGTCGTTGCCGGATACCTGAACGAATGCAAGGTTGGGACAGTTTTCGAAGAGGGACAGCAGGGATTTGTCTGTGAGCTGGACTGCGCCGTCGAGACTGACGTGGACGAGGTTGGGACACGCTTTTGCAAGGCGGTCGATGGCTGCGTCGGTCAAGTCATAGCCCTTGCCGGTCTCTGCGTCCCCGGCAGAGAAGCTGCGCAGAGACTGGCAGAAGTCGGCTCCCACCGAAATGAGAGCGTCGATATGAGCACTGTTTTGCTATCAGTCCCGGGAGGTGTCCCACATCCGAGGGCACGGAAGGGGGGGCTCACTCTTTGATGATAAACTTTTCCGAAAAGTACACCCGCTTGGTGTCGTTCAGCAACTTGGCATGGTGGTCTTCCCACGACTCGGGCGTTTCAAAATGCACATTTTGGTTTGGGCTGTATATTCCTTCGACGTACGGCTGCCGCGGGAGGGTCGCGCGCCGATTGGGCTTTCGTGAAGCTGAGCTTTTGGTGGCGTTTGTTTGCTTCTTTTGTCCGGGTCTGTTGTGGTTGCTTCGACCAGGTTTGCGGCCTGCTTTGGGCTGAGAATTTGGGTCGAGACCCATTTGTCTTACAAGGGGGGAACGTTCAGGTGGTTGAGTTTGATGGCCACACAATGCCGCAGCAGCGCAACAGTAAAGACGCAGAGCACAGGCGACTACTAACACAGACTCAGACTGGACACCACCATGGTTTTTGCCAATCTCAATTTCAGAATTCAGCTCTGCAGCTTTGGGCTTGCACGCTAAATCAAGATGATGTGGGCATCTCGAGGTGGATCGCGAGAAGGCTCTCGGCTTGACCCCTTGTCAGGGGCTGTTTTTGGTCCCTTGCTTTTCCACACTGCCGGATTCCTTCTTCCCACACTGCCGGGTCTTCGAGGAGTAGCGGTCACACTTTTTTTGTTAAGGATGGATGGATCTGAAGGGTGAATGCTGAAATGTACACGCATTGATTCTTCCTTGACGATGGACCCCATTCTGTGGTTCGAGCCCACTGAATTGGGATCCGAAGCCGGATCAGATGGTATGATGCAAGAATTGAACCCCCCCTTGGAGGATACTACTACTAGTGCTTTGCATATCCATTGGTGTTTGCTGTTGATGCCGATCTGGAAATGCACGATGTTGCTGATCAGGTACGAAGTATTATTGGATACCCGTCCCCATCCTTCCACGATCGTGTGATGATGCGGTTGGATATTATTATAGGGTAAGGTCAAGGAAGGGTATTCGTAACATCGTGCAAGCTCCGAAGCATTCTCATAACCAGCCCTCATCTTCAGTACTGCCCACGAACATCTTTAACCTGCCTCGTCCTCTCCGAATCCGTCTCATCGCCGGTATTCACCGTGGATTCATGCTCTATGAGCATGACGGACGCCTCCTCCGCGACGGGCCGGTGTCTGAGGCCCTTTGGAATGACAAACATGTCGCCGACCTGCATCACGACGTCGTCGCGGCCGTCGAGCTCAATGGTGAGCTTGCCGGAGAGCAGGTAGAAGAGCTCGTCTGAGTTTGGGTGCGCGTGCCAGATGAATTCGCCGTCGAGCTTGGCGACTTTGACGTGGTGGTCGTTGATGGCGGCGACGAGGCGGGGGGACCATGTTTCGGTGAAGGAGGAGAGGAGTTTGGGGATGGATTCTGAGGTTGACATTGTGATTGATTGTGGTATGAGAATACTATCTTGTTGAGGTTTCTGATGATGATTTTAGTTGATTGGAAAATAAGCCTTCTGGATTGGCTATCGCTTATATGTCTTTGAAGTCTATACATTTGCATTTCTCAGCGCGTGGGGCAGAGGGCGCGTTACATTGATGTTAGCGCACGCCCTTGCAGTGAGATTGAATGTCAAACAGTAAGCAATACGCGGAACGATGAGATCTTGTGTCCTTGCCGTCTCTTGATCTTTAACCCGATACACTACGGTAGTTGCTAATGCGTGTATTGAACCACAATCAAGACAGTTCTGTTGTCTGCTTCAACTGAACTTGACAGTCACAATTTTGGCCATCGAGGTCCGTCAATTATCATAGACAGTGTTAAAGTCTGAGAAAAGGGCAGAGTCCGGGTTTCTCGAGGGTTTGATGCCTGTTGGTAGTCTCATGGTCCATCATATCAACCCTCACCTCTTACACGCCGAGACTCTGACACGGTAGCATCACCCCGACATTTAAAGCAAACTATTAAGACCAAAAAGATGAAGAAACCAAAAAGAAACATACAACAGCCGGTGTTCGCCAGTGGTCACCCACCTGACTACTAATCTGCCTCTCATTAGCTTGACTCTGGGAGAGCGGACGGGATCCCGTATTCTCTAATGGATATGGTCGTATGTGCCTGAGTTCCGTGGCAATTCAGTTCATCTGGATGGCTTCACTCGAGACGAGTGAGACATTGTAAAGTGCAGGCATTGACATCTCCTCGACAAGGTAGTACTGGAAATGGAGTGTCTGCATACGGATTAGGCCAATGCCGTGCAAGGGAATTAAGTGGCCGCTCTAGCGCAAGGAGCCTTGTGCTCTACCGAATGAGCTGTCGAAGCTGCATCATATGTCCTAATGATGCAGCTTCGACAGCTCATTCGGTAGAGCACGAGACTCCTTGCGCAAAGTGGCTGACTACGCATAATGGAGGATCAAGGGTATATCCGTCTGATGCCCGCCCAAGGCGTCCATTGGAGCCTAAGCTAAGCCGCATCGCTGAGCCGCTCAGGGGCCTTGTCAGCCTCGAATACATACATGTACTGTATGTAGCATACACCCAACCACCTGAGAGGGTTGAAGATACACGAACATCACTGCCTCACACCTAAAACCCTTGAAGGCTTGACTAATATCACTGAGAACCAAAGGAGATGTTGCTTTTCCTAGATGAATATCAGGTCAGTGTTATAGAGCGTAAGCGCCCTATATGGCAATTTGTGTTTTCGCCTGAACACGAGAACTGTTAAGGCATCTTACGACGCCCTCAAGGCTGGCATCTCGACGCAAAGCTTGGCCTCATAGAAACGCCGCAGTGGGAAGCCTTGGATAAGGTACAATTTAGAGCGTAAAAGTACCTAGGTTGGCAACGACAACAGTTTCAGCCTCGCTTAGAATAGCCTGATTCAGTAAGGGAGTTGGATTTCGGTGAGTACATGGTGGCTGAATGCATGTATGCCTGATCAGGGCCCAAGTACGTATGTAAAAGGGCCCGAGAGCCAACACCTGAAGCCTTCCAACTTGGGTAAAGTCCTCATATTGAGCATTGGCATTTCAGTCTCATTCCCAAGCCGATATGTTGAAGCACGAAGAGTACACCGTCGGGTGGTTGTGCTGCATCAAGGAGGAATATGTCGCTGCGCAATCTTTTCTCGACGAGAAGCATGGCCGTCCCGAAGATGTCTCCCCAAACGATAACAACGACTATACGCTAGGCACGATGGGAAAACACAACGTTGTCATTGCTGTGCTGCCCGACGGGGAGTATGGCATCGCCTCTGCAGCAACTGTTGCGAGAGACATGCTTCATACTTTCCCTAACGTCAGAATCGGGTTGTTGGTCGGTATTGGCGGCGGTGCACCAAGCAAGAATCATGACATCCGCCTGGGTGATGTTGTGGTCAGCACTCCGCGCGATAGAGCGACTGGCGGAGTGTTGCATTACGACTTCACGAAGACCCTACAGGATCAGAGAGTGGAAACCATATCATACCTGAACCTCCCGCCGACGCTTCTACGAACCGCTTTGAACGGGTTAAGGGCGGAATACGAGTCTGATGGACACCAGATACAAGAGTCCATAGACCAAAAGCTTCTGGAGAAGCCGAAGCTGAAGAAAAAATACATGCGACCAGACCAGAACAGCGATAGGCTCTACCGGCGAGACATCATCCACCCACTGTCCCAAGATATAGTCTCCTGTGCTTCAGTCTGCGGCGATAATCCATCAAAGCTCATACAAAGGCCAGATCGAGATGATGATGATGACAATCCGACGATTCACTACGGCCTGATAGCCTCGGCGGACCAACTTTTGAAGGATGCCGCTCTTCGAGACAAACTTGCAGCGGAGAATGGGATTCTGTGTTTTGAAACACAAGCTGCGGGCCTTATGAACCATTTTCCATGCCTGGTCATACGTGGTATATGTGACTACTCAGACTCACATGGCAACACCTCGTGGCGAGGTTATGCAGCGATGACAGCAGCGGCCTATGCAAAGAATCTGCTCTCTCGAGTTTCCATTAACAGGGTTCAAGCTGAGAAGAAGATCGGCGAGATGCTTTCTGGTATGTATAGTCTATCAAGTGGTCAAGCCTGTTACAGTCCCATTAACCGTCAGCCTATAGGTGTTCAAGAAGGTGTCAACAAGCTCCTCGATATCCAACATGATCGACATGATGAGGCCATCCTCAACTGGCTCACTCCAATCAACTATGCCTTTACACAAATGGATCATATTGCAAGACGGCAGCCAGGAACTGGTCAATGGTTCATAAACTCTGCAGAGTACCAAGCGTGGCTGGCCAGTGACAGGCAAACCCTATTTTGCCCTGGCATTCCAGGATCTGGGAAAACAATCATCACGGCGATTGTTGTTGATGACATATACAATCGGTTCCACAATGACACCACGGTGGGAATTGCTTATTTATACTGCGATTACCGCCGGCAACACGAACAAACTATAGAAGAGTTGCTGTCGAGTTTAGTGAAGCAGCTGGCCCAGAGACAGGCTTCAGTACCCGATGACGTGCGAAGACTTCATGAGGAGTATAAGAAACAACCCAAGCCACTAAATCTTGACGATATCTTGATGCTTCTTCACTCCACCAGTAAGCTCTTCTCTAGCGTCATTATAATTATCGACGCGTTGGATGAGGCTCGAGACAAGGGATGTCGTGCGCGACTTATATTTGAAAGCTTGAGGCTTCAAGCCGACGACAACGTGAAAATCTTCTTGACTTCAAGACATGATGCGGAGACTGTCGGGCTCTTGGGTGAAAGCCTTCTGTTGGAGATCCGTGCTCATGCTGAAGACGTGCAGAAGTACGTAACACATCACATAGCAACGCTTCCGTCGTTCATTTTGGAAGATCGACAATTGCAAGACGATATTATCAGCGCGATATGTACTGCAGTCGACGGAATGTATGCCAGTCCGAAGTATCATGGAGTTGTCTGAAAACGAACAAAGACTGACTCTAATCAATATTAGGTACCTTCTTGCTCCTCTTCTTGTGGAGGCTCTTTCTCGAGAGCCGACTGTTGGACATGTCGAAACCGCGCTACGAAGCTTGCCCACTGGTCTGGACGAAATTTACGACGGAGCACTGATGAGGATCGAGGACCAAGGAGGAGGCAAACGAGACCTGGCGAAGAACATACTTTGTTGGATCCTACACGCCAAAAGGCCACTCTCCTTCAAGGAGCTCCAACACGCAGTCGCAATCCGGCCTGGCCAGTCGGAGCTGGATCGCAAGTTTATCCCAACAAGGAACACTATTGGTACCATCTGTGCGGGTCTGATCACGATCGATGCTTGGAGCAATCAAGTTCGACTGGTGCATTACACGACCAAGGAATACTTGAAGAGAACACAGGACATATGGTTTATCAACCATCAGTGTTACATCCTCAAAACTTGCCTCACCTATCTCTCATTCAAAGCCTTCGAGGGGGGATGTTGCGCGACAGTCACTGGTCTTAGAGACCGACTCTTGTTGCATCCATTGTACGCGTACGCCGCAGTTCACTGGGGACATCATGCACGCAAGACTTCAACATATAACCGAGGCATCATGGCATTCTTGAAGTGCAACGCCAAGGTAGAAGCCTCAATCCAGGTGCTGAAAAGCCAATGGGGATGCAGAAACCAATGGGAAATGATATATGCATTATTGTTTCCTGATGCTAGCCCTAAAGCCCTGAAAGGCACGAGAATGTCGGCTGTACATCTAACTGCGTATTTTGGGCTTGATGAATCATTGAAGCATCTTATTGAAAGCAATGATCCCGATAAGGCTGATGAACAGAAGCGGACGCCGCTATCGTATGCAGCAGAACATGGGTATGAAGCTGTGGTACGGCTGCTGATAGCTACAGCCAGAGTTGATGTAAATTCAAGGGACAAGAATGGGTCGACACCTTTATTATGGGCTGCAAGAAATGGCCATGCTGACATTGCCAACCTCTTACTTGCACACATACGGACATTAACCTAGATCTTTGATCTAACCGTGGGCTTGTCGTCAGGTTCAGGAATCAGGTGTGAAACACCACTATCCGTTGCTTCGAGAAATGGACTCGAAAGAGTAGTTAGGACGTGGCTTAGAACGGGTAGGGATGGCATGCAATGTAGTTTAGATCGGCGGTCTATGTACGAGGGGCGTTCTGCTTCGGCAATTACTGGCTATGAAGAGGTAGTCAAGTTGCTCCTCGTATATACATATAGGAAACACTCTAGTTAGCGAAAGCGGGCATGAAAAGGGTGGTCCCCTTTCTGCTCGCGGAGGATGGCATTGATATAGATGTTATGTGTGTAGGAGGATTTATAGTGGATAAAGTACGCTCTCCCTTGCGGCGGAGAATAGACACAAGGCGAGAGTGCGGCCACTCCTCGCAGCAGACGCAATAGACGTGAACTCTGGGGGCTCCGGTACGACGCCTTCGGAAAAGAGCGGATATGAAGCAGCGGTGAAGTTGTTTTCGAAGGAGAGTGATGCCAAGAGAAACAGTAGGGACCACACCAAGAGAGTCCCAAGACAGCACTGACATTTGTGCCGGAAGCCGGCGCTACCTCTACAGACCGTATGGGTTGAAACCGCCAATGGCCACACGTTACATGATCTTCCGGTATCCAAAGCCATTAGAACGCTTTGTGCCAATGAAATTATGAACTTGGCATATGCATACTATCGCCCCAAGATCAGTGAACCTGGGTCAGGGAGATAACAGGTAGGTACTAGGTAGAGTAAATGCATGCATGTTGCCCTTAAGGCAAGAAGCGGCCAGAGGATAACGGCTTGGCATGACATTCCCCTGGAAGCTGTTTTAGTTCTCTGTGTTGTTTCTCTGTGTTCTGAGGTTGTCTAGTTGTGAGAGACCTGTAGGTAGGTTATAATGACTGCCTGTAGGTAAGGTAGGTTTACAATGACTGCGCCTCCCTCATCTCTCATTTTCTTTAGCTATAGCCCAAATTGATCGATGTCGAGGTATACAAAAGCTGCGGGGGATCCCTCTTATAGCCGCTGAAGCCATTACCCATGTATAAACGGATTGCCGTGGTGGGAAGAGACTGTTTCGCTCGCAGAGAACGCGGACGTTCGTCATATTCCTGTAGTCTTGATTACCTTCATGGTCGATGCTTCGCATAAGCTGAGAGTCTACAGAGGATACAATCGTCTTAGCATCCGCCCCTTTTTGCCTGCTGAGATCAAGCTAGCATGGAATATCCCTCTAATACCCCCGAGCCCAACGTGTGAAAGACTCATCATCGCCCCCTCGGGTCCTGAGGTCGCCCTCGTAGTCCAGGGAACGATTGCGCAAATCTTCGCGAGAACGCAACAACGTCGACGCTAGGTCTGCGAGCTTGAAACGCGAATTCCAGCTTTGGTGTCTAGACTCCCATCCACTGTCCTTGATTTCTTTCAATAACCCCAAGGCAAAGTTCTGACAGTTGTTGAAGAACAAACTGTAGGCGTAGCCGCCTCGTGACGTTCCTTCCATCGAGACCCTGTCGCTCGTTTGAAACTCTTGGAGTACTCTTTGAGCTACGCCGGTATGACTTCATTAGTCTCGTTTATAGTTGAACAAATCGTTATGTGATGAGCTTTCTTACCAGTCAGGACAAACTCCTCAAAGCTGCACACTACTCGCATGTTATACTCCTCTTTTGTGTCGAAATCTGAACGGTCGACCTTGGTCTGAAACTCTCGACCTGCAGTCTGCCACTTTTGGCCAAGGATGAACTCCTGTCTCGCAGCGTCTCTGAAGTTCAATCCGAATACATGATATGGATTTTCCTACGCTAAATGTTGAGATATAATTCATCTTTCTAGTTTGTGAGCGGCTCATCTACCTCATTATCTGCCTTGACGGGGCAGATAAACACCCCCCAATGGGTAGCTGCCCCAAAGGCAGCCGAATTCAAGGTATCGGTGGTCCCGTGATGATTGATTGCAAGACCAATGTTCCAAGTCTTTCGCTCAAATGTAGCGTTCGGCGGAATCTCGAGCCATCTAGATCCATCCTCAAGTCGTTGATAGAAGGCGATTTCCTCAGGCTGGTCCGGCCTCATAGTGATTGCATATTTGAGCGGTGCTTCGCGGTCCCCGGGGCCCCGGCGTGCGTCCCGGGCGGATGTGGCGTTGGTGGCTGTGGCATCCATGGTCGTCGAGGCTGGAATCAGCTTCGTGTGAATTTGCTGATTTTGTCCTCAGATATTTGCGTCTTTTCGAGATTCGAGAATACGTTGTGGGTGATTCGGCCGCGCGGAAGAGGGACATGAACTCTTAAATGCTGGTGTTCGGGGTGATTTACACCGCGAAAAGCGCCAAGACCTTCTTCTTATGCCGCCGAAAATGATTGTCTTCCTGCCTAAATCCTACAGGATCCAGCAAACATCCATTGGTGATACCTCAACTCCATGCCCGCTATTTGATAGGCTCTAATATGAAGGGTTGTGTGAGAAGCGGCCCTATTGCACACATGTGCTGCAACTCCTCCCAACCCCAACTTCACAAAAGCCTCATCGGTTGGAGAACTTGAAGCATCATTGGCTCAGGCTGCATGAGGAACATGGGCTTTGTTGGTCTCATGCGTGTGAGCGCTCGCTGACTGCCTGCCTGACTGCCTCACGGAAACGTTTCTTTGCATAGCCACTCACAGGTGGCCTGCGCCTGGCTGCGCAACGTTGGCATAAAGACTTGCTCGCGTCCGAATGTGTAGGCAATCAGTCAAAATAGTATATCGCGTTTGTCTCAAATCTCCGAAATGAAGCAGCCTCGAAACCACGTGCCGCTCGGCCAAACCACCTCACTCGCCTTCCCACTCTCTGAGAAACAGCCGCAGCTTATAAGCGACGACGTATTTCTCAGACATCTTCAAGACTATCTCCCTGGTCATTCAGTGTTGGATCGGTGTGCTATCAGGGAAAACCGAGATCTCACCGCGGTTGTCGCTGACGAGCTCAATACTCCAGTCCTGGATGAAATACAGGACTATTTGCATCTCATCGCTCCTCGCCTACATACCCGGATCGATTCCCTTCACAGATATCAGATCAAGAAGATGCGGATAGTTATTACCGAGGATCCTGGCCTTCATCTTATCTGGTACTATGACACCATCTTCATCAAACCTATTGTGCCTCTTTTTCTCAGCTTCATTATGTGGACCGAGTTCCTACTTCCGCCTTCTCCATCTAGTACTACAAGTGATCAGGATGAATCTCGAACATCTATTTCACCATCAATCAGTCGGTACTCAACAGCAACCTTGAGCTATCAGTGCCAATCAGCGCTTGGCTTTGTCCGCACGTATGCGTTCCTGGTTCAGCATCGTTCTGATTTCGACATTGCGCAATCCCTGGGGCTCATACCCCAAGATATCGACTACTCAAGCTTCCGCGCCTTCATCAAGCCCTTTCGATACCTCCCAGTCGGTGCTGTCTCACCACGATATGAGTTCGGACAAATGCGCCTCACCCGGTTGAACTGGGCTGTGCGTCTGCTGCAACCGCGTTCAGTCGCTACGGGTGGTTGGGTTGCAAACAGACTGTACTATCTGGAGTTGTATACTCAGTCGGCCGACTATTCACGTTCATGGCTTCCTCCGCTGCTGTTTGCATTCGCCGTTCTGTCGCTTATGCTGTCGGCTATGCAGGTCATGTTGGCTGGCCTCGGGTTGAGCACAGGGGAGCCCATCGTCCGATTTGGTTGGGGCTTTTCGATTGCCACGATAGTGTTCTGTTTGCTGGCGAGTAGTATCTTGCTTTTGTACTTTCCGATAATGCTGCTGTGTCAAATGCTGTACATACAAAGCAGTAAGAAGCGATGACTACCTAGGTCACTGTCACTTATGGATCAGTGGTTAGTAGCTAGGAGAATGCAAGTCCAACTTCTAAACGTAGTCTCCAGAGATTGGAGTCTTTAGATGATAGACCAGGACATTGTGAGAGAAGTGGCAGCTCCGCATATATCATAGGTATGCTTCTTATGTGGATGGGTTCTCTCAGGGTCAATTCAGGAACAGATTAGGCATCGATGACGATGAAAATCACCTCATGCGCTTCACAATCCATCATTCGGCAATATGTATTAATCTACATATGTTAAGAGCAGTCCTATTTGCATACTTCTTATTTTGAGACTCTGCGCGGGATTGTGAGGATGATAAAATGCATTCTCCCTCTTTTTATTTCGTCAAAGGTGTTTGGATTCTGAGGTGATGAGATCCGTTGGTGGGCGGATGAAATGTGACCTCTTTGATGCTGTATGCGAGTGAGTGGCACGGACACTTACATAGCCTGCCAGGCAACAAGGTCGCATTCCACGTTTCAAGCTCTCAAGCTTCTCGACATCCGAATCTCATTCAAACACCCATTACACTTCAACTTGACCAAAATTTTGCGAAATACCGTCTATGGAAGACATAGATAGAGATAGGCAAACCTTTGGTCCACTCCTGGATATCATAGACGACTCTCTTATACGGCTCGCATCGAGAATCGCAAATGACTCGCTACACTCTCCAAGCACAGGCGGCAAGGTTATTGCGCGAATCGACGGATCGTACAACATCGTCCATATTGTCGAACTGGAGAGCATCAAGCTCGTCATTCGCGTTCCTTGTACGGGATGGGGTTCTGGCATGACGCCAATCGCGGCCCAGGCTATGGAATCACAGGTCGCTACGATGCGGCTCATCCAGGACAAAACGAGCATGCCATTGCCGGCGATATACGATTTTGACACGACGGCGAACAACGAGATTGGCGCTCCCTATCTGTGCATGAGCTTTTTGCCTGGCAAACCTGTGTCTCAGCTGTGGTTTGACAACTCGGGCGCCTTGCCTCTGGAAGAACTGCGCCTCAGAGTCTTGACAAGTGTATCGCGCTCTATGGCGCAACTATCGTGTCTAACCTTTGACATCGTGGGGGCTATCACAAGAGATAAATTTGGAGCGATTGCCGTCGGGCCCTTGTACGATTGCGACGAGCAAGAAGATGGCAGCATAAAGTATTCCTCCTCAGGTCCATACAGCTCTGTCTCTGCTTTTCTCAGGGATAAATACGTCACCATCAGTCAAGAAAACGTCTGGGGAAAGGCAAAGGCCAAGGTAATGGAAGCCATCATAGCCTGCCGGCCAACCTTCGATTCTCCGCCTGGGTTTGTTCTTTGCCATCCCGACTTTGACTCGCGGAACGTTCTGGTGGATGATCAAGGCAATGTCACGGGATTCATAGATTGGGACTTTGCCCATACAATGCCACGATCAATGGGCTATGCCAGATATCCAGGATGGATCACGCGCGACTGGGATCCTCTGATGTATGGATGGCCGCACATGCCCGACTCAGAAGACTCGCCAGAAACGTTACAGCGATACCGAGCACATTACAATGCAGAGATGGGCAAGGCCCTCAAGTGGCAGGGTGACTGGAAGCTGACGGAGAAGTCGCACATTGCAGAGGCGATATGGATTGCTATGCTACATCCCATGAATCGCATGGAGATTTGTCGCAAGTTTGTGCAGGTTGCTCTGGGCGATGGCATCAAGGCATTGGATGTTCTCTACGAGATTGGGGCCGATGAGTATGGAGAAGAGGACTGGAATACTTTGACGGCAAATCTGAAGCGCTTGATATGTTGACCTTGGAAGGTGGAACGTGGTATCATCCAGCGCTATATCACATCGACAGTCGCTTTCTATCTTTGCCCGTAATGCTTCTTCACCGGGACACTGGCACTTGCAACACCCTAGTTGACGAGCGATCCTTTTGCTTGGTCGTTGTTGTCGGATGCTAAAGTCTTACCCCTATGGCTAAACCTTCATTCCCTTGAGGCTCTGTCGGGGAACTTCCATCTCAATGATGGCTGGAGACGTTATGAGGACCTCTCTGGCTCACAGCATGCTTTTGGGCCACGTTCCAACAAGAAAAAGGAGGTTTGACACAGAACGACTTGCAAGCTATCAACTTGGCAAGGACCATCGGACTACTGCTGAACAGTGGCTTCAGGAGTCACGTATCCATGGGACAAGGCTGCAGGATTAAATGGTTGTATATGCCGAATAAAACAACGACTCTAGAGCTCAGTAACCAAGCTATAGATTGTATTCCTGTCCAGAGGCACTAGGGCTTCGAGTCCGTCAGGGTATATCTTCCCAGCATTGCCTTCATCACAGATGCCGCAGTCGCTGCCGCAAATGGCTGCCACCGTTTGTTCTTGTGGCTATCAGCATAGTCGCACACTCCCTTCACAACAACGCACGGCACCTCATCCCAGGCACCAGCTCCCTCCATCTCGAAGGCGATGATGTCTCGTGGTATGGCAATCTGATCACGATGCTCGCCAGACTTCATCACCGTATCCCCCGAGGCTACGCAACCAATGAAGATCTCGGGGCACTGCGCGTCTTCTGGCGTCAGCGTCTTCTTCCACTCTAGACGCTGTCTGACAACCAGCTGCCCCTCGTCGCAGAGGAGGTTGGAGCAGAATGCTCGAGCGGCCTCCTCGCAGAGACCATCCTTCGCCTCGGTACACTTGCAGCTCTGCGATCCTCGATGCTTATGGCGGTATGTTGACGCAAAGAGCTTGTCTTCTGTCGCACCGGGGTATTGATAATTGCATCGATGCCTCTCCTGCGTGGCTCGCGACTGAAGATCCCTCAGGTATTGACAAGCCTTCTGCCTCAATCGCCTTCTGCCCAGTTCAGTCTCAAAGTTGGCGATGAGCGTGCGAACGTCTCTATTTGGTCGCCCGAGTCTGTCACAAACTGTGTCCTTGGTCACGAAGGTATTAGGATATTGTCTGCCCAGCGTGTGCTGAACCACCGTTTTGCTGATGACCACATCGCCAAGTAGAATCTCGTCTGCACCCGTGCCTGGTACGCCACCGCAGATTCCGACGAGGAGGGCAAGTTTCAGGCCGGGATAGCTGGATCGAAAACTCGCGGCCGCTCCAGCCGCAGAGGCTGTGCCCATGTTGGGTAGAAGCGCCAGCACCACATTATGCTTGCCGATTCGTCCCGTCGTGTAAGTGTTCGTATCTCCCTGCGCACGTCCATACGGCTCGTCATCCTCGTCCCAGAAGTGGTCAAAGACTAGCGATACCGCATCGTATTCAATGGACAAAGCGCAGATGATTGCGACATGGAAGTCCTCGCGACGACGCGGCTGGTCATTGTCGGACGCCTGACTCGGGGTTTCCGGTGGTGATTTTGCAGGTTCAGTCTGCCGTTGAAAAGGGTTGACTGCTTCCAATTAGCCATTAAACACTGATAAGGTGCTTTAGGGGGATATGTTGATCGTACATCCCACGAACCTGCCGTGATTGATCTGTGTGCCCCCCGCGTTGTTGTTGTTTTGAGGTCCGTTGCCTGCAGCAACATTTTGGGGGCCAGAACCATGATTGCTGATGGTGATGTTCGAAGGCATTGCCACTAACCGCTTCTCTGGAACAGGGGTGACTATTTGACGGCTTTTCCCAAGGGAAATGGCAATGGGCAGCTGGGGGTATTGAAAGCCTTCGGCTGAAATCCCAAAGCCTTAGGCAGCTTCCACGTTGCACCCATATGCAGAGCGCGACAACGTCGTGGACGACGAGGATTGGCTGAAATGTTCAGACACGAGCTGAGGTCTCCTCAACAGGTGATTTGTCGAGTTTGGCAATTCTCAGCCTCTTCATTACCCCCCTGACCAGAGCTGAGGGTGGCTTAACATTGGGTAGCAATCGCCCCAAGATGTGCCGGTTTTTTATTTCTGTTTTCCCAATCCCACCTCTCGATATCCTCACTCAATCAAAATTGCCCTCGGTAAGCCCACAAACTCCGATTGTCAAGATACATGGCCAAAACTAACAACATTGCCAAGATAACCCAACATGCCGGGTCCTATAGCATGTGAAGTAATCGCTCCGATCGGAGATTCGACATCAAAGCTCAAGAGCATCAATAAGATCCACGGAGACATCGAGAGCGTCGAGGGTCTACTTCCCGCATTCAAAGACGTGAGCAAGCATATACCAGTTGTGTGCGAGGCACTCAAAGCTGCCAAACAACACATACAACAGAGGAAAGATGATAGCACTTGCGCAGAAATGAAGCCTAGTGTAGAGGGCTGCAAAGGCAAGGCGACGAATTTGGCCGTCTTGTTCACGAAAGTTGTTCCGCGAACCGCTGATGAGAGAGTGGAATGTTATCGCTTGGCTGTGCGTGAGCTGGGCGAGAGGAGTCGTGTAGAGACCGAAAGACGCAATGGAGGACGTCCAAAACTTATTGACGGTGGATGATGAGATGCAAGCCGCAACCAGCTCCTATCTCGAGGAGCTGAGTGAGGCTCTGAAGGTGGTATCAGCAATCTCACCGTCGCTGCAGCACGAGAGCTCGTCTCTTGGTATTTACAACTACGGCTCTGGTCCGCAGAATGTGAATACAGGCACGGGGCCTCAGAACAACAATAACGGCAGCGGGGCACAGATCAACGGAGGTTCGTTTCATGGCATCAACCCTTTTCTACAGAAATAGGGCAAAGAAGCGGGACTCCTCGTCTCGCGGAATTTACTACGAAGGTATCAGAAATATGACAGGGAGCCATTAATTCCGAGTTGTATATTTTGAGTCTTTGAATTTGCATGAGCGTCTGGGTAAAATCGGTCCCAATGAGATTACAACAAACGTATGTAAGGGTAGCCTGTTTTATATACAGCATGACCAGACCGCCATATGAGGGCCAGATAAGGGAGAGACAGAGGCAGGAGAGACAGAGGCAGGAGAGACAGAGGCAGGAGAGACAGAGGCAGGAGAGACAGAGGCAGGAGAGACAGAGGCAGGAGAGACAGAGGCAGGAGAGACAGAGGCAGGAGAGACAGAGGCAGGAGAGACAGAGGCAGGAGGTTAACCCGGACAGGAGAAATGACAAGGCAACCGTGTCACCGGTAAGTCGTCGGTATCGTGGCTTGGTCTTTTCCTCTACAAGTTCTATTCAATTGGTTCAGAAGCAGCCAGCACACATAGAAAGAACCCTGCGCTACATCTCTTTGAGCTCGCTCATTGGTCAAACTCCATCCCCAGGCGCGTGTACAGAGAGTACCATAGGCTGATTTCGTTTCAGCCTCACTTGCGGGGTTGGGAGTGGAACAAGATAGAAGCATCTGTGCCCAACACAGGGCTTCTCCCCTCATCACCTTGTTCAGCCCTCGTTATATACGATTTGCTTCATACAAAGTAGAGCCTTCTTGTGGCAGTCTCTGACGGCACACAGATCTTCTCAGACAGATCAAGGCAAACCATTACGATGTCTTCGAGATGCTTCATCGGTAACCACGGCGGAGGCCCTCAGAACGTCAAAACAGGCGATGGGTCTCAGTACAACAACAACGATAGTGGCACTCAGTTCAACTACAATAATTTCTATGGCGGTACGAGAAACGGAAACACCCTCATGTGTTGTTCTTAGGCCGCTGATTCATGACAGTCCCTCTGAAAGACCCAAAGACGGAAGAGGCTGAGAGACTCAAGAAAGAAAAAGAAGGTCAGTGGACCTGTCCACTCTGTGGTTCATTAAGGCAGGCCCTAGTGATACTAACAAATAGAACCTAGACTGTCTGCTTTCACTCAGCTACCAAACCATGGACGATCGAAGGACCGATATATCAAGTGCCCTTCCCGGAACTTGCGATTGGGTTCTCGACTCTGAGCAATTCCGGAAGTGGCACAACCGCGAAGACGTTTCGAGCCATAACGGGGTGCTATGGGTGCAAGGGAAACCAGGCACTGGAAAGTCGACGCTGATGAAGCATATTCTTGAGAAGTGCGAAACGAAGTTCTCCGAAAAGCATTTGATTGCAGCACACTTCTTCAATGCCCGAGGGGACCGCTTCGAACAAACGCCTCTTGGCATGCTACGCTCGATATTGTACCAGTTGGTAGACAAAGAACCCTCTATATACGAGCAATTCATTCCACTGTTCCGGGAAAAATGGCAAAAACACAGAGAGTGGGAGTGGCGAGAGGAAGAACTGAAGCAATTTCTGCTCTCAGAGACACAACGCTATTCAAAGCCAATGCTGCTTCTCATTGACGCTTTGGATGAGTGCAGCGAATCATATGTGCGGGAGGTCGTGCATTTTCTCGAGGACCTCAGCATCAACGCGGAAGCACACCTCATACTTTGTTTATCCAGTCGCCATTATCCAAACATCACAATGCAAAAGCGTTTGCAGCTGGTCGTGGAAAGGACATTGCAGCACGATCATGATATCAAGGTATACGTTGGCAAAAGATTGACTAATCCAGATGAGAATATCAAGAGAGAGCTTCTGAAAAATGCATCTGGCGTCTTCTTGTGGGTTGTTCTTGTTGTCGAGATGCTTAACAAAGCACATGACGAAGGCAAACTTGAGGCAATGCGCAAGAGGTTGAATGACATCCCCCGAAATCTCGACGAAGTCTTCCAGGACCTGTTGACCAAAGACAATGAGGAGAAGCAGGAGACCGTCTTCATGCTTGACTTTGTTCTATTCGCAAGACGACTTCTAAGGGCCGAGGAGCTGTATTTTGCCACGATGACCCATATTCATGCTCAAGATACGGGACCCTGGGACTCAGAGAAACTGACGCAAGATGTTATACGGCGGCGTATCATTCAATCCTCGAGAGGTCTTATCGAAGTACGGCAAGGCGGCACAAGCACTGTTCAGTTCATCCATAAGTCTGTCAACGATTTTCTTCTTCGAAACAAGAGACTGCAGTTATTAGACCCGTCCCTCTCGCCAAACATCATTGGCACGAGCCACGAACGCCTCGAGTCTACCTGCATGGCGTATCTTATGATGGAATCTCTTGCATCAGCAAAGAGTCGGGACGAAGTCAAGGAACTGAAGCCAGAATACCCATTTCTAGAATATGCTTCTGTGTATATGTTCGACCATGCGGAAGAAGCGGAAAGCAGTGGTGCCAGGCAGGCTGGGTTCTTGCAAAAGTTGAGTGAGGATCATGCCACCTACGAGCGGGTGAGGCTGCTCCACAATGCTCTCGAGGAGTCTCCTGGATCAGGGTGCACCAAAAGAGCCAGCTTGCTCTATATGTTGGCATTCCATGGATACAGTGGGCTAACAAAGTCATTGCTGGAGATGCGAACTGATCCCAACGCTGGCGGAGGACTTTTCGGCACTGCACTCCAAGCAGCTGCAGCAAAAGGCAACAAACAGGTTGTCGCAGTGCTGCTAGAAGGAGGCGCAGACGTTAACGCTCAAGGAGGGTATTATAATACCGCACTTCAAGCAGCTGTCGTAAGAGGCGATACAACCATGATGAGAATGCTATTGAAAGCAGGAGGAGATGTCAACGCCCAAGGAGGACGTTATCACACGGCTCTTCAGGCTGCTGTCGAGATGGCTAGTGACGATATGACAGAGATCGTGGCATTGTTATTAAGAGAAGGCGCAAATATCAACACTCAAGGAGGAATGTTGGGGACTGCCCTTCAGGCAGCTGCAACAAGGGGCGATGAAACCATGGTGGCATGGCTATTAAGAGAAGGCGCAAATGTCAATGCTCGAGGAGGACATCACGGCACTGCGCTCCAGGCAGCTGCAGCACATGATTCAGAGACAATTGTGGCAATGCTATTAGCGGAAGGCGCGAATGTCAATGCTCGAGGAGGTTTTTGGGGGACTGCGCTTCAGGCAGCTGCAGGACAGGGCCATGAAGCCGTGGTTGAATTGCTGCTTCGGAACGGTGCCGACGTCAACTTACATGGGGGAGCGCTTGGCACTGCACTCCAAGCGGCTACTTTCCGCGGTCATAAAAGCATTGAAGAACTGCTGCTTCATGCAGGGGCAGATCGGAGAAGTCCAAGTGCAGTCACCATCGCTTTGCTTCAAGAGGCCAGAGATGCTGGAGATGTCGAAGAAGTCCTGGAGATATTGCGCAGGGAGCGGAGAGACGGCAACAATCGAGACATCCATCGCTTCGCGCTTAGGGATTCTATAAGAAATGACTGGCCAGGGGTGATGGAAGTTCTGGTTCAGAAAGAGGTGAATGCTGAAACCCAATGGATGTTTGACTCTGCACTCGTCTATATCATTCAGCAGGACACGGAAGAATCAGTGAAGATCCTGCTCGAGAAAGGAGCAAATCCAAATGTCGATGGCGACTCTTTTCCAGGTGCTCTGGAGATGGCCGTCGCTAGCGAAGAGGAAGAGATGATGGCATTACTCATTGAAAACGGCGCGAACGTCAACATTGGAAGCTGCAGCGCCAATAATGAGGCAGGAGCTCAGGATATTCAGATACCTGTCGCGATCTACATATGCCTGGCTACTTTGATGATGGGATTGCTGTTGATGGACTTGAAAAATCTTGTGCTTTAGCGAGCTTTACGACCTGAAAGCGGGACGTGAGAATTACCAGTATACATACGATGTTCTTCTCAGCAGGGGCAATGTCAGTAGTCCTCTGACTGTTGAGATTGAAGTAAGACCTTGAAGAGGCTGTGGTTACGAGAGGCGAACAACGTGAAAGGGAGGCTCTCTAATTTGAACGTGGGAACACTTGTGTGTAACACCCGCAGCAGCTGGATAATCATAATGTTGAACACGTTTCATTATCCAGAAATTGTGATACGCGTGTAGCTGTCTGCTAAGTGTCTTCATTTGCAGCAACTCTCATATGGAGGAAGGCATAAATGTACGAGCTGCATGCCTTGGCCATCTGCTGGACGCCACTGATGTCCTTCATGACAGATGAAGGGTTATATTGGCTGTGCTGATACCCGACAATGGCGGAATTTTAGAGACGAGGGCACTCACGGTGTTCATAATGGCCTTCAAAACCCCTCTCCATCTTGTCATAGTCCTTTCCTACTGACCAAAGTCCTCAACATAATTATGCCCAAACATGGTAGCCTCCTTCGCCGTCATAAATCCATCACGAGCCCGAGCAGGGGTTTATCGTGAACACAGAGAACTCCAATTACTAGCTTGACTATAGATCTATCCTACACGACCCCTTTTATTCCATGGGAAAGCCCGCGATGGCAAAAGGATATAGAAGCTCTACCTGCACATCTCATAGGTACAATGATACCTAGGTACTTTACCCAGAGGTATGCCATTGCTGGCGCTATCAGGCGTGCTTACCGAAGTTTATTGTTTAGAGTCGACAACTGTAGCAGTCATTACCGACTTGTCATGAGTAGAGCTTGTGAGTCGCGAGTATATCCCGAACTGTTGACGCAGTAACAATACCTAGGTAGTCAACATAGCTTGCAAGGGCCGAAACCTACACGCAACTTGACTGTGTTTTCACCATTTCCGTGAGGTGCATAGGTAGCCGACCGACGTGCCTCTGTCGCCATGTTCGACCCAGCAGACTTAGAGCTCATCAGGGGCATCTCCCTCACGTACGAGCTGGAGATTGTCCACGCCTCGTTCAACGTCATGTGCCGCAGCCTGGACTTGCCCCTAATTTGTGGATCGCTCCACGACTTTGAACCAAGGCGTAAGACACAGTCGCCGGTCAAATTGCAGAATATAGACCCTGACTTGCTTTTACAGAGTTACGGCTTCTTGCGTGTACGCTATTCAATGGGCTTCTGTCGGCTTTGCCTGAGAACAGCCGTTTGAGGGCTTCCCTGAGCGTCCTCGCGTCTTCGATGCTTCCAAGCTCCGACGCTCTGGGCTCCGACGCCATGGATCGCATTATACTGCTCATCGAGACAGCAATTCATTCCCCAAATACAATGCTGGTCTGGGACCTCGTACTTCGGGAAATTTCCCTCCTCACGGGGTTCGCTCCCTCCCAGCCCATCGACCCTCGATCAACCGCAAAGGATGGCGGATCGGAGCAAAGAATAAAGCGAATCCGAGAACATGTCCAGAGAGAGACCTTCAAAGAGATACAAGGATGCACATTCTTGGGTGTGGGAGGATTCTTTGAGAAGTTCTTTGAAGGGAAAGACTGGACGGAGGATGTTCGAAAGGTTTACGGATTACTCAAGAAACAGCATGTCAACAACATGTGGGCTTTCTTCCGCGCATCGCCGAGCATATCCGAGATGATGAGATGGCTAGACTTTCTGCAAGACCATATTCTCAAAGTGCAGCATCGTAACTTTTGGGAGGTGAATCTTCCGAGCGAGCTGACTGAAGGCATCACAGGAGGCCGGCTCGATCTATGCGTCAAAGGAAAGCCGGAAGAGCCGCCTCTGACCACGAGCGAATGGGAAGATATTCTAGTCATTGGCCAATTAACGACCGAGGGTGCTCTCAAGAAGCGGCTGGTGCAGCTCGCCTGCTACGCCCGACATCTGTTTGACTACCAACCGACTCGCCGATATCTTCACGCATTCACCATCTGTGGGAGTATGCTGGAGCCATGGGTGTTTGACCGCTCGGGATGCTATAGCCCAGGCGCGTTCAATATCCACCAACACCCAGAACGATTCATTCGGGTAATGGCAGGGTATATCATGATGAGTGGAGATGACCTGGGTCTCGACACATTTGTACAGCGAGAGGGGCGTTCCCGCTTCATAGACGTCGTGGGCCCAGAGGGTGACAAGAAGAAGCTATACTTGTCTCCGGCCCTCCTCGACCATCGGCCTACCATTGTATCCTGCGCTACATCGTGCTTCCTTGGGAAGCACGCAGACTCCAATGCCCACGACCATGTCATCAAGTTTTCGTGGCCACAATATCACGAGAAGAATGAAGCGGCTATTCTCCAACTAGCCCAGGAAAGGGGTGTCCAAGGCATTGTCCGATTGGTCACTCACTCCGAGATCACGACTATCAATGAGATGCGCAGAGGCATGACGTTTGGAAGATGTTGCAATTTTGATGATACCGCCAGCGTCATGCCAAGGCCTTCGCAACCGCTGCTGGCATCTCAGCCTTTGACCAGCAAGAGCACTGGAACATCAGAAAGTTCAACAAGCGAATCGAAGAAGCGCGGCTCAACCGAAGGAGTCTTGAATCGTCAACGACTTGAGGACAACAGTCAATTGCCAGGCCAGAAGAAAGAACTCACGCTCAAGGGAAAACGGGGGATCAACCGAGACATTATCAGTCAATGGTTCTGGCAACACCGCATCTTCCGCTGTGTGGTCATCTATCCTCCAGGCCGACGTATCTAGGAGTATCAGTCGCCCATGGAGTTGTTGATGGCCATCCGAGATGCGATCAAGGCGCATCAGTCGTTATATGTCAAAGGAAAGATGCTTCACCGGGACATATCGGAGAGAAACATTGTCATAACCGACGCGAAGAAGACTGGCTTTTCGGGCATGCTGATTAACTTTGACCTTGTTTAGGAGATGGACAAGGGGCCGGTCAAAGCACGGAATCGTGTGGGCACGAAGGAGTTTATGGCCATTCGTGCGCTGCGTAGTATTGAGCACACTTACCGGCAGGATCTCGAGTCGTTCTTCTATGTTTTACTCTGGCAACTCATCGCACGCGGGTGGGATTTTGTGGGTAGAAAGAACCCCGTTGTTCTCAGTGAGCTGCACGGTTGGCTTGCTGCCAGTTCTTTCGAGCATCTTGCGAGGAACAAGCAAGCCAATATGGACAAGCACTGTTTCGAATCGGTCCTGGCAGAGTTTCCGGTCGAGTTTGAGCGTCTCAAGCCGTTCTGCCGCACCCTGCGATCTATCTTGTTCCCGATGAAGGACGGTGCCATGTTTACTGGGACACCGTTTGATTCAAACACTTTGTACGGAGAGATTCTGGAGGCTTTTGACGAGATTATTGCTAAAGGACAGAGAGACTGAGTAGGGAATAGGTGAAGGATAACAGGGGGGCATTGGGGGGGTTTGCACTGCTCGGAGTACTGGACTTGGGCTTGGTTGCTGTTTGTGAAGTTCATTCTGATATTACAAGTAGGCTCTCCAGCAGATTCATACGATAGAACATGACATGATTATCCTTGAATCACCAGGTGGCTTATCGCTGTACCGACGTCCGAGTCTGGTTTCTGATTCAAAGACACTGGGCAAGAACATAGCTGAGAACGTAGCGACGACCGACACACTTGACCTTTGAGTATTGCCATTACTCAGACAAGCAAGCAGATAATAGAAGTGGCGGGAAAAGAAGAATCATGTCTTGCAAATCGTGAACTGACCAATCTTCCAGTTGAAGAAAATTGACCAGATGTTGGTTGAGGTTGAGTTTAGATCATGGTGTTGTCAATAGAAGTGATGGAAAGGCTTTATATATCAAAATAATTCAGTCGTATTCAACGAGCCGCCTGAGCTCAATCGGGACAAGCGTACTTGGACTTCAAGTCACGTGACCTGGCCCGGTTAGCTCAATCGGTAGAGCGTGAGACTCTTAGTCGAGAACACGTTCTGATGCAATCTCAAGGTTGCGGGTTCGACCCCCGCATCGGGCTTTTCCTATATAAACACCTGATTGAGATCAAGGCGGTTTCTTTTTTTGCTCTTTACGGTGCCGTTTTTCTTTTGTTTCTTTTTTGTTTCTTGTCCTTTTTTCTGTTCTTCTATCTTTGTTTTCCTTTCCCTTCTCATTGTATCTTGAGGGAATGATGAGAGAGATGATTCTTTCTGCCTGCTTCGTGATAATACCTGATAAGGCTCAAGCATAATCGCACATTTTAATACACAGGCGGGTACCAAAAGAAAGACTAGGAAATGGCCATCTGTCTTTCTATTCACAAGTCCTCGATCGACAAGTTTGCCGGTTTTCCGGAGACTAGTCAACAGTAATCCCGTCAACTCACCGAGACTGGGGGGAGAGGCACCGAATAGCTTCGGACTAGACGCACCTCGCGGGCCGACTGTCCCTTGTCAACTTCGTACTTTTATGCGATCCTGCCGAAAGTCCCTGACAACAGCGCCCATAATTCTGGGGGGCGGTGATGATGTCTTGAGGATAGGATGGCCTTTATATACGGCGGTGTGTGCAGGAGAGGGTGACTGCTGGAGTTGAGCTTTTGTCTCATTGAAACTTATAGGGGAGGCTAGTATAGAGCGTCGAGTTGCCCACTATGAGACTTGCAGAATCAACTATTGCTACTGCGCTGGCAGCGGCTGGTGCCGTATCCGCGGCTTCACTTGACGGATGTGTAGGATCAACCTCTCTTTGTCTCATTCGCCTCATCATCCCGGTAACACGACACTGACCGTTGCAGTGCGCTCGTCTCGCCTCTGTGCTTGGCGACATCGTCACCACCACGCCGTTCACCGAGAGCGACTACTTCTCATTACAGGAGTCAACCCTCGTGCCGGCCTGCATCGTCCGGCCACGTTCAGCACAGGATGTAAGCAAGGCTGTGGCAATCCTCTCCACATCACGTTCGCCGGGGTGCGAGTTCGCCGTCAAGGGCGGTGGTCACACACCGGCCGGGGGCTCTGCCAACATCCAGGGCGGCGTGACCATCGACATGACGAGCCTGAACGCGACAGTTCTGAGCGGCGACGGCAAATCAGTCGCTGTCGGGGCAGGCGCCGTCTGGAACGATGTGTACGGCTACCTGGACGAGTTCAGTCTTGCTGCTGCTGGTGGGAGGAACGGTCTCGTCGGGGTTGGTGGGCTGCTCCTTGGTGGTGGCATATCGCACTTCTCGTCGCGGGTGGGATGGGCGTGTGATGGTGTTGTTGGGTACGAGGTATGCGCCCTTCTAAGATGTTGCTCATTCTTCGTTGTTGTGCTTCATGTTCTCATATGCATTCTGACTTTTGGCCAGGTCGTCCTCGCAAACGGCACCCTAGTCAATGTCTCTTCGACCAGCAACCCCGACCTGTATCGCGCACTCAAGGGCGGCGGAAACAACTTTGGAATCGTAACGCGTTATGACCTGGCGACGTTTCCGCAGGGGAACATGTCGGTGAGCACCCTCTCGTACGACGTGTCTCGGGCCGGTGCCGTCTTCGACACCTTTACGGATATCGCCGCTTCGCCAAACTTTGATCCCTACGTGTCCCTCCAGACGGGCCTGCTGTACGCCTCGGCAGCAAAGGCGTGGACGCTGAGCAGCTCGGCCTACTACACGAAGCCCGTGCTTCACCCTGAGGTGTACAGAGAGCTCGAGGCCGTGCCAAGCATTTCCAATACTTCCAAGATTACGGCCGTGGCTGCGCTGGCTGCGGAGAATCCCACTCCGCCACTGTGAGTACAACACCAAACAAGACACATGTGTCGACGGTATTTATATAAATGGGACATGTATACTAATGCGAGTTTTGATGAATGAATAGGAACTGGCTCTTTGCCACGTTGACGTTCGGGACCTCAAGCGAGGCTATGCTAGACATCTTCAGGGCCCTAAACGGATCCTTGTATGACTTCAATCCCACTGGTGGTGTTACATGGAACTTTGCCTTTGAGCCCCTCCCATCTGTAATGCTTTCACATGCAGCTGCTACTGGGGGAAACATTCTCGGGTTGAGTCCTGAGGATGGGAATGCCGTCAGTAAGTTGCTACGTCTCAGAAACGTCTCGCGCGATGCACTTTGGCATGCAGCATAGTTGCTGATTGATCTAATCCCTGACACAAACAGTCCTTCTCTTCTCCGCCCTCTGGCCCAACTCGAGCTCCAACGATGCCGTCTACCAAAAAGGCCGAGACGCCTTTACGGTTGTCAAGGAGGTTGCTGAGCGAAAGGGGGTGCTGCGCAAGTTTGAGTATCTCAACTATGCTGGCCCACACCAGTCGCCGCTGGCTTCATACGGGGCGGACAACCTGGAGTTTCTCCGCAGGGTGAGTAACAAGTATGACCCGACGGGGGTGTTTCAGCGCAAGGTGCCTGGTGGCTTCAAGTTGTGGTGAGAGGGTACCTGCCACGAGCAGAGGGCGATTGTGAACAGAGCGATCTCGGGCTCTAGAGGATGATGATGATGGACTGTCCTTTGAGAGACGGTGAACTGGGCCAGTTCACCTCGAGAATCACATGTCCTATGTTCTCAAAACCTGAGTGACTCTTGGCCGTAGACCTCGAGTCGTAGACTTCTCTCCAGACCCTTCTGTAGAACCAACACATCAAACATGTACTTTGCATGCGGTCTGTGTCACTTGACATTCCTCCCACGGAAGATGCTGAGATGCTGTTGGTTGAAGATAGGTATGAACAAACGCATAATTTGAACCAAACACCAATCACGATCTGGGCAAGTCAGTCCAAGCGCGTAGTTCACAGTCCCGTTGAAAGACTTGGAGAGGGGCTAGCGGTACAAGTATAATGCAGAGGGCTTCATCACAGTCTTATGCTGTTTCCCAGCCGTTGCATATATGCCCTTTGGATATACAATGGCTCATGAAGCTGAAACCTTGGAGGCAAGCAATATCGTGGCTGCTGTCTCTGAACTCAACCTCTGCGGCAAAGCACCGTACCTTGACGGAGAGTTCAGCGGAGGCGAGTGTCGCATCTTCAAAGTGAGCTTTGAAGACCGCCCAAGTGTCGCTGTTCGTGTGCGGCACGCCTCACATGAGATTAGCCATGACAACCACATCGCCATGGTTGAAGATGAAGTTCAAACCCTTCAAACGCTTGAAGAAAGAAGCTTTGCTTGGGCGCCAAAGTGCCTCGGGGCTAGCTTGACATTTGACAATCCTATTCACAGCCCGTTCAGTGTTCTGACTTGGATCGATGGCTCCCCTTTGCGTTGGGACGAAGACTTCCCTCTACGGCCTTTGAGGGATGAACTGCTCGGCAGACTCGCCTCTGTACAGTTGTCATTGATGACATGCACACTGACGACTCGTATGTAACAAGCTTCATCACCGGAATGACCTTTCTGACTGGTGAGGCAGGACCTATCACTGCTGGGATCTATTACGAGCGACGTCTGGGAAATCGACAGAAACGGGTGCTCAACGGAGAACTCGCCGGGCTTTCTGAACGAGATTGCTTGGACCAACAATCTTTTCTCAAAGACGTGCTTGGCGAAGATGGAGAGAGCCAGGCATTTGCCATGAGCCACGGCGATCTCAACGCGAGCAACATTATTGTCGACGAGCAGTACAACATCAAAGGGTACTTCATCCATTACGAACATCATCCCCCCCCCCCATAGGTTGTATCCGAATCTGACAAAGTATGTAGAATCATCGACTGGGGCTTCGCAGAAATGGTCCCCATTGCCACAGCTGCCCTCTTCCCTACACTTCTATGGCCCGACGAATCGGCTCGATGCGCTCCGAGCCAGGCTACCCTACGAGATAGGCAGGCCTACATCAACTCCTACTCTTCGCAGACTTCGCTGGCAGCATTATCTATGCGGCGTTGGCAAAGCGCTGAAGATGTGGACTTTCGAATATTGTATTTGACGTCCATATCGAGTAAGGGGGTACACAAGGCTCTGGCACAAACTGGTTGGAAGCTTCCATACTACAAGCCAGCAGATGGTGGTGCAGGTGGAGATGTCCTGAGCGAAGCAGGAATATAAGGAACGATTGCACGGGCCCTTGTTCACCGAGACCTTGAATTAAGATAATAGACCCTTGTAATTGGGCAGTTGCATTTATTCCAGATGGTGTACCATCATCTATCTGAGACTACAGTACATGTTCCTCCAGCCCTCTCTGCTCGACATTTGGCTACCCGTTTCTCTTGACCTGCCATGCTTTGCGTCAGTCTTCTTCCCTACGCTCCATTCAAAGATATTCCTACAAAAACCCGAGTGATCCCCGCATTTCCCATCTCTAATAGTACATGTTTACCTCGGCATCTCGTCAAGGCTCCCTCCGTTGAACATGCTGGTTCACCAATGTCCTTCTCCGCCATCCAACGTGCATTCTTGTATCCCAGCTCTTTCTTCGTTCGTTAGACATTAGAGATTCGTTATTTGCAGCATCCAGGCTGCATAGCAGACAAAGTAACACGATTCGTATCATAAAAGCGCCAGTGTTGCGGATGCGATGGCTATGGCAAATGCAATAGAGCCTCCAGCAAGCTCGAGGTTCGTTGCTCTGCTGGAGGCAACAAAGTCGAATGGACTTCCACCGCCGCTCCCTGGCTGCAAGTTTGGCGGGCGTGTTGGCTTTGGCTTTGTATTCCTTGTTGATGAGGACGGCTGGTCATCATTCGAAGGCTGAGGTGTTGGGCTGCTGGCGTCTTCCGTGGTAGACGCCGTGGGTAAGCTGGATGCTGCTTCTGAGGTGGTGCTGTCCTGAGACTCGGTTGATGTGGATGATGTTTCGCTTGTCGGCGTGCTTGTGGTTGCTTCGGGAAGGGCGGATGATGATGTTGTTTGTGATTGGGTAGTCGACGTTGACAATGTCGAAAATATCGGGCGTGGTGCGTCGGGATTTGATGATGGTGCTGGTATTGGCGGTGTTGTTTTCGGTGGAACGACTGATGCTGGGGTTGTCGGTATTGGTGCCTTGTTCACGCCGCAGAGAACGTCTACTATGTGGCCGTCCTGGATCTGCTTGAGCAGCGAATTGGCGGGAGCGTTGACGCTGAAGCACAGCCCTCGTACGGTGAACTGCGCTGCCTGGAGTCCCGAGATGCAGGACTGGGAGCATGAGGCGCCTATGGAGAAGTCGTCGGGCGTGCATCGCTGGATGGGCATATTGTAGGCGTAGAGGCATTGCACGGGCACCGCGGTGGTGAGGCCCTAGAAGTTAGAGAGCGTCAGGAGGGCTGCTGACGCTGTGCCGGCCATGAGGGCGAAGTGGGCGAGAATCGCCATGAGGCCGACGCCGAGCTGCTGTGCTGGTATGGTGTGGTGTGGTGTTGCTGGTTATATCGAACCGTTCGTCTCTCGTGTCTGATGTAAGGGTCGAGCATCGAAGGGATGAACTGAATCGATACTACAAGAAGAATTGCCCAGCCACCAGAAAGCAATTTCTGGGGAAGATGACAAAATTATCTATCCGCATTCCAGTATGACGACTTTGCTGCCCCGGAAACGACCGGATTGCTGGAGATGATCGGATGCGCCTCTCCAGCGTCATGCGAAACAGGGGCGTGTCTCAGACGCTTCCCACTATGACGGCGCGCAAGAGCGATTGGCGGCTCCTGAGGGTCATTGTCGGATGGGCTTCCCGCATGCGTCAGCATTGATGTTTCCTGAGGTCTCTTCTTTTCTTGACATGTTTTAATCAGGGGCTAGGCAAGAGCATGAAGCTGGGGAGGCGCGTGGCAGCGGAGATGGGACGATGTGGGAAGGGAGGAGGGGTGGATGTCTCTGGTGATGCGTGGGAGCGAGCGTTTACTTGGTGAAGAAGACAAGGGACGGTATTAGTTGGAACATTCGGACCATTCGCAGTTGAAGGAGTCACAGGAGAACTATTGATACTATTAATACAATTGGTAGCCCTGATACTACTACGTGCATACTTAGCTATAATCCTCTTGTCCCACGTTTCTACATACCTCTCTCTTTGCGGCAGCCTGCTGAGAGAGGTCATCTGGTGCGTGTAAGACAGAAGGATCCCGCGCAGGTAAGCAGTACGAGATCACAGCATGTGGAAGTAACCGATGGCTTGCTGCAAGCAGTCCCATGTTTCGTATCTTTGTATGTATCAACTTGTCCTTTGAACAATTTCTTATCAGCCTCCTCACCAGTGTCTCCTCTTCTCAACCTGCCATCAATGCGAAACAATATCTCGACATTCACCAGTCGATGAAACAAGCTACAGCCCTACCCTTGCCCTCCTAGCCCAAGCCAGCATAGGCCAGGCACCGCCACATCTTTATTCACACGATGCCTCGCTCCCTTGCCACTACTAGCTGAACCGACTCTCGAGCCACGCGCCCGCCCCAGCGCCTGTTGTGCCAATGGAAGCCCTGCCCGGCCATGCAGAAACCGGCACTGAAGCCCTGCTGCATCGCGCAGGAACACACCAAGGATGCGAATCCCGGCAGCGACACGGCAGAGAAGCGACACAAGGCAGCAAGTCTTTAGACGAAGAGAAGATGGGGGAATTTGAGTCGACGATCAAGTGCCAATCGCTCTCATGCCATCGAACATGTCTTTTCTTCTTCTTTTCTATCCTCCTACCGCCTCCATGAAGCTTCGACGACGCCTCTTTGGCAGCGACCATCATGTCCCACTCCGGCGGCCGGCTCACAGACGCAGAGGAGCTGACAGGGGCACGCCTGGGCGCATATCACCAGATTGTGTCCACGAGGAGGAAGCCCGTTCCGGCGCGAGCGGGGCCATATCACCAAGGTGCGTTTGCTTGTCAGGAGCGAAACTCGAGCGAAGAAGAGAGATGATTTTTCTGATCAGCTGCAGCTGCGCAAAATGATGACCTGGTAGACATTGATGTTGAAGAGGAGGGTGTTTCCTCACCACCGAGGCTCTACGAGTCTCACGATCTCGGGCAAGGCGGGGTTGCAGACGGTGTTGAATCGAGCCATCGCTCACAGACACCGCCTCCCAAATGGCCACGCAACTCCCATCCAGCTCTCTGGGCGCCGATTTGGCTCAGTCGAGTTGCTCTCGTCGCTTTTGCCGTCACATTTCTGCTGATGTTGCTGGCCACTGCTTTGCTCTACCATTTTTCTGAGGAGAACAGCGGAATCAGCGTTCAGAAAGAGGCAAACCACTACGCCTGGAAGTACGGCCCTACAGCAGGTAAGGCACAGATACCTCATTAGAGGATTTCTCTCCACCTGCTGATTCTATGACATTGTAGTCCTTGTCGTGGTGGGAACACTCTGGCGGCAGGTAGACTTTGCAAACAAGATCCTGATGCCCTGGGAAGAGCTCAGAACTGGGCCTTCGTCGGCAGACAAGACCCTGCTTCTCGACTACATCTCCCCATTGCTGCCCGTAAGCCTCTGGATGGCTATCAGAAACAGGCATTGGGCGGTGGTCATGTCGATTCTCGGCCAGTTACTGATCTTGGGCACTGTTCGTCTTTCCAACATGAGACAATTCTCCCTCGCTAGCCCCGTAGCTGCGTGCTGATACCTACTGCTAGACCGTCTTCTCAACCGGTTTGCTCATCTTGGAGCCGACTCAGATGTTCAAAAGCGACCAAAAGTTTCAACTTGCCTCAAAGTTCGAGTTGAATCAGTCCGCCGATCCCACATTCGCCTGGGCAGTCGGTCCAGGTCCCGCGCAGACTTACTATGGAATCAATTTCTACGGACTGCGTTACCCTCCCGGCACGGCACAAGACTTTGTCGTACCCGAGTTCCAAGTGCCCTCGATGGCGGCCAGCAACATTGAATACTCGATGAGCACGGATGGTGCCAAGGTCGGTTATGACTGCGAACTCCTCCCCATCACCAACGGTACCGAAACCCGCATGCCCTGGCGAAGCATCCTTGCGCCGTTCATTGTTGCGAACGTCACCACCAGGGACTGCGACATAAAAGGAGTCACTCTCGCTGCCGGTCCCGACCACAACTTCTACCATGATAAGAATGCGACGCAAAACTATCAGGCTCAATTCGTCGTATATCCCTGCAACTATGACTTTGACTTCAGCAGACAGTACATAGACCCAGGCAATCTATCGATGCATCTTCAAGTGTACAACACAAGTCGAGACCTCCGACTGTTCATGTCTGTTGTCGATCTTCGCATATCGCCATACAATGCTTCTTTCAGCGGTCCCAAGTACATGTATCTTCAAAACGTGACGGCTGCTCTTTGCAAGCCATCCTACGAGCTCGGCCGCTTTGAGGTTGGCGTCCCCAATGCCAACAACGGCTCTGCGCATGCTCTCTTTTCAACATCAGCAGCAAAACAGGGTGCCATCAAGCACTTTCCGCACGGGTCCTTGGCCATGGCCGTCGACACCACGGTCGGCAACTGGATCCTGGGCAACGGAGGAGTCGACTATGTCCTCACAGCAACCGTGCCGACCTTTTTCCAACTCATGTCGAAGAAGGCTGGAGTCAAGTCCATCAGAAGCTTCATGGATCCGGAGCTTCTCATAAACACTGCAACTGATGTGTTCAAGGGAATCGCAGCTCAAGCGCTGCATTCCATCATAGTGCAGCCGGCTAACCGGACGACTACGGGAAGCATTACGTATGAAGAGCAGCGGCTGCGTGTCAAGGCGCTTTCCACCGGCTTCATGTGCAGCTTTCTTGGCCTTCTGGTCATAATCGCTATCGCCATGATATTTGTGAGGCCTAGTTTTGCGGCTCCAGATCGACCAGGTGCAGCTCTTTCAATGGCTACTCTGCTAGCATCCAGCCCCCGTCTCAACGAGATCCTGTCATATATGGGGTCGTTGAGCAATGAAAGGCTACAGCAGCATCTTACCGCATACCATTTCAGAACAACCAATCCTTCCGAATCCGGTGCGGGCGTATCGATCGAAGCAGTACAACTGAATGAGGGCCAAACAATGAGCCATCTCACCGCACAGAGTCAAGGTCAAGTGCCGTCATGGAGGCCAATGGCGGGCGCAAACTGGTTTCTTGGCTTTGCGATATGTCTTCCACTTGCCATTATTGCGTCTCTGGAAATTGTTCAGCATTTCTCAGATGTCAACAAAGGATTCGTGGGCATCAGCCATTCGAGCTCGGCTGTGCTTGCGACATATATCCCATCAGCGATTGCTCTAGGCGTGGCCAGTCTCTATGCTGCAATGCAAATGATGGCCGCAACCTTTGCCCCCTTTGCGCCTCTGAAGCGTGGGAAGGCTAGTGCGGAGAGAACAATATCGCTGAGCCTTGTCTGCCAGATCTTTCCCCGAGCATTCTATCTATCCCTAAGATCGAGGAACTTTGCAGTCGCGATTGCACTATTTGGCACCTTTCTCGGTAGTTTTCTCTCCATCATAGTGTCGGGTCTCTACAGTAGCATCAGCGTGCCAATTGGCAAGAACATAACGCTGCACCAAGACGACTGGTTCAACTTTGAAGATGTGAATCTCTCCTTGGACGATAACGAGGCCGCCGCCATTGACAACTTGGTTGAATACTTGGGACTGAACAGCACAAGGTGGGTATCGGAAGACCTCGTCTTCAACACGTTCCACCAGGACGCCGTCTCCTCAAGCAACTCAAGCACGAACGTGCCGCTGACGGTCACCATACCCGCGGTGCGGCCATCGCTGAACTGCACCGCGATACCGAACGAGGATCGACAAGTGACAATCTTCAACCAGGAGTCCACCTCGGGAGCGGTCTTTGTCATGCCTGGGCAAAGCGACATTGTGACTCCTCAGCCAGGCTATGTTTGGGTTGGCGTGAACACGACGATGAGATACGCCGACTGGTGTGAGGTTGCCCCCCACGGCATGATGAAGAACGAGCCGTGGATGCAATACTTTCTTCTCCCCAACGACACAAGCATGGCCTATGTCGGCAAAGGCTCGATCCTCACATGGAGTGGTGGGATAGTAGGCGGCGATGGGGCGCTGAACACCGATCCGACTGCGGGAATCATGGGCGACGCAATTACGGAGCCGGACAATGGGTGTCCGACATTCACTGCCACGTTAGGCCACATGAGGTTGAAGAAGTCGGGCAAAGGCCCCAAAGCCAGGATTACGGGATTTGAGCAAGATCTTGCCACCATTGTCTGCTATCAAAATATGGAGCAGGTCATGACCAACGTCACATGGCAACTCCCTCACTTCAGTCTCGACCCTACCCAGCTTCCAAAGACAGATGAGCGCACGGCGAGATTATTGAAGTCGAAGCGCGGCAGCGAACGGTTTCCGTATCTGCCAAACGCCTGGCTGAACGGCCTGACCACTCCGCTGTTTAACCAGACGGTTCCCGGGCCAAACAACACTGATGCAGCAAATAACCACATAGACAACTTCATCAAGGCTCTGGTCTTCTCCAAGGACGGTAGGCCCGTGACGGAGCTTGCCGGCGCCAAGAACGTCGAGAACCTCAAGAATATGACCCAGAGGCTCTACAAAGTGTACATGGCCCAAGCCATATCCCTCAACATGCGCTCCAATAGCACGGATGGCGACGGGGCCTCGCTGGGCACCTACGACGGCGTCGTGACCACATCTGGTCATCAGCGGCTGCAGCAGAATCGCGGGCCCAAGATTGCGCTTCAGGTCGTTTTGGCAGTCATGGTCGCGTGTGGTATTGCAACGAGGCTGCTTCTCCCGGTGCGAGATGTTCTGCCGCATGACCCTTGCTCAATTGCCGGTACGGCGACTTTGGTGGCGGGCGGAGAATTGGTGTCTCGACTGGCCTCGTCCATGGCTGAGTTGGATGGACGGACGAGTACGGAGGTGTTGCTGGCAAATGGGCTGTTTAGCTTGAAATGGTGGCGAGATGAGAAGGGCTTGGAGCGATATGGCATTGATATCGAGCCGTTATAATAACATCAGTATGTATAATTGATACAGCCAACAAGGAAGCAATTCGCATCTCAAGCTTACAGGCGTAAAACGAATGATGGTGATGGCTGGGCCAGGTAATACCACTTAATAAACATGCATAAAGTTTCAGCGGTGCAACGAGAAGTGAGATGCATATCAAGTAAGCATCCATGCTTCTTTCAGCACCATGCGGCGTCTCGAGGCAGATTAGGCGCGATGTCTCCAACCGATTGGTCGTTGCGTGGTGTTTCATTTCGCTGGGCCGGCGCTTAACTTGAGGGTGTGCAGACAAATCAAGTGGTGAGAGGGAATAGGCGCGACAAGACAGGGGGCAACGCATGTCTCCTTCAAATAGAGGCTGTGCTGGCTGAGTGATGTTCAACATGAGCTGTTCTGTTTAGCGTTTGTTCTTCTTTTCTATTTCTTTGTCGAAGGGTTTTGCTTTGTCTTGCGGTGCTTGGATGCGCTTGTTGTCATTAATACGACTCTTGTTCGACTTCGAGAGCGCTTACACCACGCACTACCAAGGATTGCCTACAACAAGATCATCATCATGAGGTTCATGCTTTTCATATGCACAGTCATTTCTCTCATTGGATTCTCTTACTCGACGACCATTGTTACCGTTACGGCTGCCCCAGCCATCCCTTCCAACGAGCCCTCCTACGCCAACCCATCATCATTCACATCCGCCGTACTCAACTCGACAAACACCTACCGGAGGCAATACAACGCATCATCAGTCCACTGGAACACCACCCTCGAAAAGTTCGCCTCCGCATACTTGGCAAACGACACCACCTGCAAATTCGCCCACTCAGGCGGTCCCTTTGGCGAAAACATTGCAATAGGCTACCCCAACGCGACCGCCGCGGTCGAAGCATGGGGCAACGAGGACAAGGAGTACAACTTTGCGAAACCGGGCTTCACGGAAGAGACGGGGCACTTTTCGCAGCTGGTGTGGAAGGATACGAGGGCTGTTGGGTGCGGGAGGAAGTTGTGTGGTGAAAGGGGGTGGTTTGTTGTTTGTGAGTATTGGCCGAGGGGGAATGTGGGCGGGGAGTATAAGGATGAGGTTGGGAGGAGGGTTGATGGTGTTGAGAGAAGAGGAGGGTTGAGGGAGGGTGTGCTTGCGGGGGTCGCGGTGGTGGTTAGTTTTATGCAGTGTGGGATTGTGGTTTTGGGGGTTTGGGTTGGGGGGAGAAGCACGAGGGAGAAGTGAGGGTTTGTTGAGGAGATGAGATGCTTTTGGTTTTGGGTTGGCGAGTGTTGTTGAGATGGTATTTGGGGCGTTTATTTCAAGGTCTGAGTTAGAACACTCAATGCATACTAACCTGCATGAGAATGACTCTAGAGTACTGCCTGTAGAGAGGCCATGAAGGGTCTCAGGACTCGAATTGAGAACATGCATGAATTCCATCTCGCTCCTGTAGATGATGTGGTATGGTGTTGATGCTGGTCTTCTCTGATTAGCTAGGCTGATAGTACAATGTGAGTCGCCACTCTCCAATCAAGATCCTCTGTGGCGCAATTGGCTAGCGCGTCTGACTGTTAATCAGGAGGTTGGAAGTTCGAGCCTTCCCGGAGGAGACGGGTTTACTTTTTGTCCCCTCGATATTAGTTTTTTTTTGACGTGTGAGATTTTGTTGGTTGTATCTCTTTCGTCTTTGTCGTTGGAAAGGGATTATGAATCTGTGGAAAAAGGATGTGGTGGCCTTGGCATAGACTAGGTAGGTATGATAAGTAATTGCAGCACCTACCTAGTCTAATGGCCACCCTGCAGATGCTTGGAGTTTGCCACGATGCACCTTAGCAGATTGCTATGAGGAGTATACAAGTCTTTTGTGAACATGATGTTGACAGCTTCAAAATTGAGGTGGAGAGTAGCAGTAAAACTGCAAAAGTCATCATCATTCATGGCTGGAATGGGGTTAACTTAAAGGCTACAGTAGTGCTCACCTCACTAATGTTTCCTCGTTTGCGTCGTGCTGAGCGGCTTGTTATGGGTGGATGGGGCTAGCAGGATGGCAATGTATCCTACCAGGTAGGAGCATCACATCAGGCATTGAAATTTACTTTGTAGGTGCCCCAGCCAAGAGTTGACCCATGGTCCATACTCAGTATCTTGACATGAAGATGTGATTGACAAAGAGTTCATAAACGAGGCTTTTGGAATCTTGGAGCGTCTCTTATGAAGTTCTCGTTAAGCTCGGATATACGAACCATTTGTTAATTACCCTACCTTGTAGCTGTGCTTGATGACCCTGTCTAATGCCGACAAACATACTGTATCACGTCGTATATTCCCCGGCTTGAATGTTACCATCATTTCGTGCTTCAATGTGCCAATGCAAGCGTACAATGCCAAAACAGAACTTTTACTTTTAGAGTGCGTACCGAGTCTTCCTCCTAATGCTCGCGCCAAATCGAAAGAGCACCCACGGAATGGGGATCAGGGCAATGGCAATGAAGCCAAGCAGGCTGGCGGCCCATTTTGTTGTCAAGTTATTGTACACTGATGGACCACAGGGTTAGAGATCCGACGTCCTGATTATCATACTGCTGATTATCATGCTTTAGGAGAATAACTTACTCTGAATAACAAACAAAGGAAACGCCGCCGCAAAGACGTAGCGTGTAAAGGCGTTTGCTGACAGCGCCGAAGCACCATACCGAGCACCATAGCAGTCAATCATATAAGTAATGCTGCATGCCTAGAGTAGACGAATGTTACTAACATCAAACTTCCGATATATTGAGAAAGGCCAACTTACAAAGATGCACAGATTACCCCAGTTGAAAGGAATGAGGGCAAGCACTGGGCTTATCCAGTGTATATCAGGCCGAGCAGTCCAGGCAAACCAGAACAGACCAATGGCAACCCCGAGACTGCCCATCATGGCTGGATAAAGTCGTTGTTCGGGTGGCAGATGGCCTGTTTCGCCTCTCTCGCGCGCCTCTTTTGCTTTCTTCTGATATATAAGGCGGTCGCAGAGAATGTTGGTTGCTGTTGCGAGCAGCGCGCCGATGCCTAGGGAGATGAAGACCAGTCCGTTCTGATGAGAATCAAAGCCGTACGTCTTTTGAAACACCAGTGGTATAGAAGCAAAGAAGGCGTAAAGCACGGCAAAGTCGAAGCCGATGTACAAGCTCAGGAAGAGGACAATGGGCTCGGTGAAGAGCAAGTGCATGGGTGTCACCAGCGACTCGCTTGCCCACTTGTGTATCGCGCTCCAGCTCAGCGTGGGTTTCTTCATTTTGGAAGACAGCTTTTCTCTGATGGTCTGCTTGTTTCCTCGCGCGAGTAATATCTTCTTGTACGTCTCTTGCATGCCGATTGCGAAGATGCAGGTCGCGACGCCCCAGAAGACGGAGACCCATTCGAGCCATCGCCAGTTGAGTCTTTCCACGACGAAGCCACCTATTATAGGAGCTAATTTACCATGAGTATGATAGTATCACAAGGCCACGTATGGACAGACTCACCGATGCAAGGTCCCATAAAGGGGGCCATGACAAACAGCGCTGTCGCCGGCCCACGACGAGCAGGAGGCCACATGTCTGCCATTGTCCCTCCGCCCACGCTCAAAGCCGGGCTTCCAAAGACACCAGCAAAGAAGCGGCAGATGACAACGCCACCGATATTATTAGATGTCGCGGCGCCGACGAGGAAGAGGATACAGATGGGCAGCCCTAGGCGGTATACGATCAGTCGACCCGCGGATTCGCTGAGCGGTGCGCCAATGACTGGACCAAATGCCAATCCAAGACAGAAGAGCGAGATGCCGAGGAGGGACACTGTTTCTGAGACGTGGAGGTCGTGACCGGTTGCTTTGGCTCCTGGGGCGTAGGCGGAGGACATGTAGGTGCTGGGAAAAGGGGTAGATTAGCGGAACCATTCCTGTATGCGTACTCAAAGCTCGCAAAGAGACCTCCAGATGTGTAACTTACACGGTGAATGCGTACAGAGACACACAGACGGTGTGATAAAGCCGTTTGCCATCGCTCCAGTTGTAGGGGTTGCGAGGATCGTTCTCCCAGTCCGGTTCGTGGCTGCTCTCTGGTGCGCTCTCAGGGTCGCTCGTTGGAGGTGAGTCCTCTTCCTTGTCACCTGGTGTTGTGTTTCCCATTCTGTGTTCTTCAACGTCCATCTTAGCTCCACTTTCCTACGAAGAACGTATATAGAAACGACCGGATCAACGAAGTGATCAATTGGAGCACCAAGATGGCAGGTCTATATGCTTGATTGAAGAATCGCAGAGGAGTAGAAGCAAGGTTGAACCCCAAATTGGGCTCCAAGATTACCCATCCACATTAGTAAGGGAGAAACAGGGAATCTGCACTGTTGAATAATCGAGCGGAACGACGGCAAGCTGGTGTAGGGAGACGAGACCATATGGGAGATGGGGGTCAGATTATTTCCATGGTATATCCCTCGATAGGGTCGTGAACTCTCACTTTTTATGACAAATCATGACCCTTTTAGGGTTAATCAAGGAAGTGCGGAGTCAAGGTATCGGGTTGGCAAGCTCTTGCGATGTTGCTCAACACGGATGATCAGACTCGTGGCTGCGTCTCACAGGGCTTCATTGCAAGAGAGTGTTATCTAAAGTACAGACATCTCGAAAGTATTACATCTCAATTTACTTTCTACAATCTCATTGCAATGGCCCCTATCGCATGTTTCTGGTCCATCAGTCTCGAATGACCGTTCCGACAGCCCCGGGCCTGGGATATCTACGAGGAAACATGCCATTTTGGGCTAGGATTGCTTGGTAATCAGTTGCCGAATCGGGGCGGCAGATTTAACCAGTAATCGTCGCGTGGAGGGGACGGAAAAGCTCAGAGGAGGGGGAGTCTGACCAAGTGGCGCCTGGGGAAACATCTTCGTCAATGCACAACCTTGACTCATGGAGGATACACTAAGCAAGCGTAGAGTAATCACGGTTTAAGGCAGGAAATAGCTACATATATAAGTGATCCTGAATTTAATTCCTTTGTTGGAAGTCATCAGATTGCTGAAGGTAGGGAGCCACAGAATAGGAGCAGTATGACAGAGAGACCTATCCTGGGCCGTCAAGACTCGCGCACACAAACAGCATGATGAGACCAGCAAAGGCATCCCTGTGCAGATGGAGGCGTGCTATTGGGCGTACAGGGTTCGGTGATCGCAAATCAAATGCGCTTGGCGCAAGAATACGGTCCCCAGAGGACAAATCATTTGCATCGCTCCGAGACGAGATTCGCTGGCCGGTGAGTAAACTAGCACCACTTCGTACGGACATGGGATCTTGGGGTTTCCTGCGGGAGCGGAGTGAAGAGGATCTGCTGGCGATTGACGCGATACTTATAAGGCAGACAGACACCACTCCTTTACTTGCTCTTACGCACGTAATTCGACCTCGGCCTGACATATTAGTTATCACGATTATTTATTCTGCTCAAGGCATCACGTGACCATTGATTCCGGTATTAAGTTGGTTATTAATAATCCTGTCTCACACTGGGTCGAGCTGGTGGCACAATCATATAATCCTGCCATCCCTGGCGGCTCGCGACGAGGAGCTTCGCTCATGCGACACATTCACTGTACGATTGGGTACTATCTGGAAACGGTTTCAGAACCCCTGACTCCTCCTCGCTCTTTGAGGCTCGAGATTTCCTGAGAAAACGGAATACTATGTCACAAACGCCGCCGCGAGGGAAGAGACGCCGGACTCAAGAGTCTGATACTGAAGGCAGCGGACTCGTGGCGGAGGCAGGACGTGATGCTGGTGACACCAAGGCAAACAAAAATTCTCCGCGAAAGCAGCCGGCGAGTGAGGATGTAAATGGGAATCCTGAGCCCATGGATGATGCGGGTGAGTTGTGCTGCTCCACCGCTGTATGACCTCAGAACCAATACTGACCGCACGCTTTAACAGAGAAGAGATATCGAGCCTGGCGCAGTGAGTTCCACCGGCTTGACATTGCAAGTCTTTCCCTGTTCAGCACTAACCAAGAAAATCTTAGAGAAAGGATCTCCTCACGATGGCTTCTGCTTCATCTGCAAACGGGAAACAGACTTGCTGGACTGCTACACCTGCAGGAGATCATACCATCAGCGCTGTCTAGACCAGCCAGTTGACCACTTTTTCCACAGCAACAACTTCTTCTGCCGCGTGTGCGTCAACCGTCAATGGCATGAGCACCTCCCTCCGCCCAGCCCTCCGCCCTCCCCGCCACTCGAGAGACAAAGAGTTGCCTTGCCGAGCCACAGGCCAAACGCACATTCAGACGCCGAAGCCCGGGTGCCGTCCGTTTCGCCAGCTCCTGCTGTGACGCCCAATCAGAATACCCAGTCTTCAGGACAGTCGTCCTTTACATGGCTGTCGCAGAACCAGTTTACGGCTCCTTTGACGCGGTCAAGTACGATTGCAAGTCCACGCACGTCAACACCAATGTCAGGCGTCATTAATCTCAGCGGTCCTGGTCGCAGTATCGTGTCTGGTCCACGCGGTCCCCGGTCACGATTCTCTACTTTGTCTCCGGAAGTCGACGATGCCGTGTCCTTGCTCCTCAGGGAGTTGGAATATCTTGGAGACGCCAGACAGAAAATCTCACAGCTCGAGGACGTCATCGTGAGGTTACAGCAAGACGTCCGTATCAATGAGAATGCCCTCATCCTGGCGCAGCGAAACGCCGCTTCATCGAACCAGCGTACCTCAGAGGCCTTACGGGTGGAGAATGACCGGCTGAAGAAGGAAGTGGACGACTTGAGCCATTTATTGGCAGACGAGAAGTCGCGGTCACAAACCCACAAGGCGGACGCTGAACACTGGAGATCACAGGCGTTGAGTAGGCAGGCCGAGCTCGAAGAGCTTAAGGGGAAGCTCAAAAACTTGCTCGGTGGATGAGTGGATGAGCCTGTCTCAGAGCGGGTGATATTATGCTTTGTTATGTTCGTTTGGCGTTGCAATGAGAGCTCGTATGACGCATGGAGTCCGTGGTTGGGGATATCCGTTTGTATTTTGGCAACACGGGGCGTTACTTTTCGGAGTTTACATTGATGATTGCTTTCGGTCTCTTCCAGGTATGGGTATCGCTGTTAGAATCCTGCCTTGAACAATTTCATGATGTGGTAGAGACGCATGAGCTTACACTGCGGCCCGGTATGCGGCAGCATCCGGCTCGTCTATTTCCGAAGCTCCCCCCCCCCCCTTCTTCAATACTCGTAAATGGAAAACATCCTACAAATCAAAAGCACCTGGCTAGCTTAATTAGTGGTCAGAAGCAAGACGGCGCATTTTATGTGGAAAAGAATCTTGTACGAACTGGGCTTTGTTTCTTTTATGTAGTGACTCCCAGTGGCTCCTAACAGTAACTAACACCTCTCCCCCATCAAAGCCCACACCATGCCTCCAACTGAATCCTCTTCATTGCTTCGGTTGTTATTCTTCCTCTATTTCATCCTCTTGTTCTCCCTCTGTCTCACCATCCTCTTCTTCATCTGAATCATCTTCTTCCTCTTCGTCCGACTCTGGTTCATATCGTATCGCATATAAGACATGCGTGGACCCAGAATGCAATACCCCCTTGCTTATACCGCATTTCCAGCACATGTAGAACGTGGCAATGACGCAGCCGGCTTCGCTGCACTCGAAGCCCAACCCATCTCCAGCCTTTCAATATGCCCACGTTAGTATAAGGCCTCACAACAAAGGGACGATGGAGGGGAAGTGGAAGGATTTCTCTCTTACCGCTAGACACATATGACAATATACGGTGGCCTGAAATTGGCCTTGACGCCCGCATGCTTCAGTCCATATATCTCTGTCAAACTCCTGGCGCTGCCCCAGTTCCCCTTCATCCGGCGTCACCAACTCCAGCACATCTTCACTCAGGCCACGGTAGCTTGCAAGTCTCGCCGGCGTCCAAACCTCGCCATCAGCGCCATCTCCCTTGACAAACTTGCTCGCGCCGCTGTTAAGCAACAGCGTCAGCATCTGCTTCAGCTGATCTGGAGTTGTAGAGCTGCAGAACGTCGGAGGGGCTCGAAGCGCCCAAAGCAGCGGCGTCCACCCGTGGATGTCGGGCTTGTTGACGAGATGCGGCCGCTCTCGGAGGATGAATTCGACAATGTCTGATCTCTGGCTCTGCACGGCAAAATGGAGAGCATGCCGGCCCAGTCTGTCTTCCCCGTCCAACGTGACGCCTTCCTCTCGCAGCAGCAGCTGAGCTGTTTCCACCGACTGCAGCAGAGCAAAGTGAATCGGTTCCCGACCCAGATGGTCTACATCATTGGCGTCGACACCCATCTTTAGCAGCCTCGAGACGATGCTGGGCTGGCACTTCAGAGCCGCGGCGCTGAGCACCGAACCCCATAGACGGCTTCGAATCCGCACGTTGATACCGTCCGTGTTCAGTAGGACATCGAGTATCTGGGCTTTGCTCGTTGCAGCTTCACTTTCACCTTGCTCCCTAAGCAAAGCCGCATGCAGAGCGGTGCCAGGATTTGCGTAGCAGGCTGCATTGACGTCGGCACCTTCGTCAAGCATAAACTTGACGAAATCAGGCGTTGCACTTCCGCACGCTTCGACCAGTGCAAGAGGTTGGTTAGCAGGCCCGTTGACTTTTGCTCCCCGTCGAACAAGGCAATGCGCCACGCTGAGGTTGTCTGCTGCGGCCGCCTTCCAGAGGGGAGTCTCTTTTCGCCAGTTCAAGATATTTACGTCGGCGCCTCTCGCCGCGAGTGTGCGAACGATGACAGCTTCGGTGCTGTGACTGATGGAATGGAGCGGTGCTTCTGCCCAGTCATCGCTGCTGAGCTGGTTAATGTCCAGGCTGCGACAGCGATCCAGAATCAGGTTCACAAGAGCAGCGTCGGACGTCGATACGGCCATAGCCAGCCACGCTTCCGCGTCCGACGATTCAGTTGTCAGGTCATCGTCATGTTTGACGAGCAGCTCGGCAATGTGAGCTCGGCTGTTCTCCAGCGCAACGCCCAAGGCCTGCTCCAGGGTGTCTCTGTGAGGCTTCTTCCCCAGGATCGCGCTGGCAACACCGCCATGGCCCCATTTTGAAGCAAAATACAGAGCGGACCGATTCGAGACATCTCTCAGATTGACATCGGCGCCACTCGCAAGAAGAAGCTCTGTGATCTCGGTGTTATCGTACGCGCAATGCAGGGGTGTCCAGTCGTCTCCTCCCTCATTGACCTTGGCACCTGCAGCAAGGAGGGCTCTCACAGCGCCGATTTGGTTGTGATATGCGGCATATCCCAACATTGACCGCCCAAGGCTCGGAACCTCCAAGCTGGGATCCAGCTTGAGCTCCAAGAGAGGGGCGATGAAGTTGCTCTTTATGGAAGTCTGGATGAGGCCTTCGGTGAGAATCGTGTCTCTCACTGCTGGGTGGGTCATGTCGATATTTGATCGTGACCCTACAGTACAGATGAGACAAACCAACTTCTCATTGCATTTGAGGATAGCAGTTCTCAAGAGGGAGCAGAAAGTTTCTTCACCCATGGTCATGGGTGGCTGAAGTAGCTCCTGAGCTATCCCAAACACCGCTTTCGCAAAAAAGACGAAGACAGCTTTCTTGAAGAGCGTATCGCCTTCCTCAAAGGCCTTGGGCTGCTTGAAAGGAGACATTAAGAACTTCGCGTTCTTCATATTGGACCAGAATGCGTCCGACAAGCAGAGGATGTGTTGGTTGAGTAGGATAAGCGAGTGCGCTGATGCCCAGTCCAAGATGGAGGATATCACCGCACACTGGCCGTAGTCATCTGCTTTCTTGAGCATTTCACGGCAGATGGAGGTCATCAGTTCCGTATCCCCAGGGTGTTTTGACTCGAAGTGCTCCAGCAATGGCCTCACAAGAGCGCTACCCCCGTAGCAACAGACTGTTTCCATGGGCTGCCGCCAGCCTTTGACATCACCGGGGGGTGGGCCAAGACCGTTCTTAAGCAATGCAAGCAGTATTTCTGGCTTCTGTGTGTAACATGCCAGGCTTAATGGGAAGGAGGTCTTGGAGTGCTCATCAAGGGGTTTGTGCTTGAGGATCTTCTCGTGCAAAACTTGCAGAGCGACCACATTATCGAGTGATGCCGCCCGGGCCAAGTATGCTGCAGTGTCGCCGAATTCTAGTCCGAGTCGACTGGAATAGTCAATGACCTCGACAAGAGCCTCTTCGTCTTTGGACTCGATCGCTGCCAGGACGGCTTGGTCAACGTCAAATCGCCGAAGCTCGACTTGTTGGGTCAAGACACGGATGGTCTCACGATTGCCGCTACTGGCGGCAGCGATGAAAGCATCTGCCAGCTCGTCGCAAAAGCTATCGTTGCCCCTGGCCAAGTTGATTACAAGATCCACTGCAGAGGCAAGGCCGTGATGTGCTAGGATGGAGAGAGCTGTTCGCGGGCGGGCCGTGACGCAGGGGATTGCCGGTTGTCGCAGAACCTTCGCCACAGTCCAAAGATTTAGGACTGCCATGTGGTCCTCAAGCAGAGACTGGAAAGCCGGCTGATCAGCGTTCCAGAAGCCCTCGCTACGTCGGGCATGCTCAGCCCAGTGGTCAACCGCATACCAGAGAAGGCCGTGGTTAGCACATGGCATTCTGTCGCTTTCCCGAATCCCCACCAGGATATCTCGATTTCCCGGCAGCTGCAAGTATCTCAGACACCAATTTGCCAGATCTGAGTGAGATTCTGTTTCTTCCCGATACCATTGGTCATCCGCCGAGTCCTCCTGCGGCTGCCGGGCTTCCCTGACCATGTCCTTAGCCGGCAAGACGCGGCCTTGTGTGATAACGAAACGACCACCATAAAGTTCCTCGACTTTCTTGGACGCCTTATCTGGAGTGGTCGAGGATGGATCCATTGCCATATTGAGCAGTGATTCAAACTCTGCCTTCTTGAGGGGTCGCATACACCGCAGAATGATCGTCAGGGCCAGGTCTTCGAGGGGTCTTTCAACGGATGAAGGGTTCGAAAGGGATCGATCAAGTAATTGCTTGGTGAGGTGGTGGTTTGGCTTGTAATACTGAGTCAGCCTGCTGCTGGTACTGACCCCTGACTCCTGTAACTCTCGAGGGTTAGGAGGTTGTACCAAGGAGGCAACGTTGGTGGTTGTCAAACGCAGTCTATTAACGACTGGGTAGTGTCTCCTGAAGATATGCAGAGCGGTTTTGTTTCTCGTCTGTAGCATCGAGAGCTTCTGAGCTTTGCCGGGCTTGGACGCTGTCTCCTTTCGAGGGTGACGAAACATACGATGGACAATGAGGCCGAGTGACTGTTCAATTGTGTATATTTCTCGACTTGTGATGAGAACCTTGAGCCGCAAATGGCTGCCTCGAAATGTGTCGTGCAGCTTCTTGACAACTGACATTTGCCAATCAGAGCTTGCGTCGACATTGTTGAGAACTAGGAGGGTCGGATGTTGTCTGTCCGCTTGTATGTTGTCTTTAAGCGTGCACAAGCAGATGCGGAGGAGGTCGTCGTCTCCCAAATCGTACATCTTACCCACAACATCAAAATGTTGACTGAACATGTTTGGCGTAATGCCACCAGAGCCTTGATATGAGATCCATCGGGACTTGGACCAAGACAGAAGCTGTGATAGCCACGTCCACAAGAAGGCGTTCATCGAAGTGTAATTGGCTTCCCTTGCAGAGAAGTTAAAACTTAAGCCGAGCCCGCCTCCGACTGACAGCTTAGGTATCGAACAATATGCGCTCTTGGTCGTGCCATCGTGCGCAGATGGATGTCCTCTTGGGAATCTAAAGCTTGTTCCTTCACTTCTCATCCAAGTAGCCCATTCCTCTCCAGTTTCTCCTGTCAAATCAATATCCGTGGGATATTGGGGAACTGCGTGTCGAAATGCGGCCACAAGATGCAGATCGAGGCTCTGTGTGACTATTAAGTCAAGCAGGTTAGCCCCGGTCACATTTCCATTTTGACATGGAGGTTGACGTTGGTGATTGCACCATACCTGGATACTCGCGATCTGATCGGCGATATATCGACGAATGACCTGCCACAGCATCTAGAATCTCCCGGTACGGGCACGAGGCTTGTATGTTCTCCTCCAGCGGGTGACACATGGAGCCCATGCCCCTGTACAGAATTGCCTTATTTGTAATGTAAGCTCAGGCTTGCTTCGAGCGAGAAATAAGTCGTAACTCTTGGTAGTAATGAGGGATTGTCAACCTACATTCGAAAAAGCGCCTTGAGTGGGCACAACGCTTATAAACCGGCTTTTGAACATGGCTTTCGAGTCGTAAAACGCGATGTTAGTGGCTGAGACAGTCTCGACGAGTGCTGGTGAGTGCTGGAGTGCCGCGGCATGATCCATTCCATGTTGAGCAGTCAAGATTTGCTCCAGCGCCGTTTTCAAGGTTGCCTCATCTTTCCACCTATGAATCGGGCAAATGAATAGCTGTGAGTCACTAAGATCAGCCCGTGAGAAACAAGAAAAGGGAAGGGCGAGACTGATAACTATTTCTATATGTCTCTTTTATGGGTGCTTACCGTAGCCCATACGTGTCTTGATAGGTCATTGAGCTCCTCGAATGTTTGCGGAAGAAGAGCCAGAGCCTGTTTGTAGCTTAGACTTCATTCAAACTCGGGCCTCTGTAGTTAGAAAATGACGTACCTGCTTGAGTATGAGCCCACCAAATCCCTGTGCAATGAGTAAGACTGGTGGTTTCTAAGTTGAACAATAATGATTAGCTTGTCTCCCTCATGGTTCTTCGTGGCGGTGGTCTCAGGGTGGTGCTTTGCCCAGAGCTAGCCGAGTGTCACATACCTCTGAGTCGTCCTTACGGAGATCCAGAATGCCATGCAGTAAAGAGTTAGCCTCAGTCCGGACGCCCTCCAGCGTAAAGACTCCTCCCTGGGTGTCGTCCATCCGCAAGAAGAATTGCGAGATGCGAGACTTGTTTGCCGATCGAGTTTCAAACTCTTTCGCGACCCGGTTGTCTTGACCATCTGCCTCAGACCACGCCTCCATCACAAGAATGATGCTGAAATGATATTAGAGAGATGAAAAAGCCGTTAGAATCATCTGTTTTGAACGAGAGGAAAACTCACTCGAGCTCAGGCAGGTTGAACACGTCAAAAGCATGTTGATTAACACTTTCCAGCTTCGCCATAGTTGAATTCTAAGCCACCAGCTGACGAGCCTGTGCGATCAGATATACCGTGGTGGTATTCAACAATATCAATAGTAATGTCGGGACGAAGCGGCAAATGCTCCTCCTACCCGCCCTATGCTCACAGCCCTCTGCTTAACGCTCTGTTGTAAAAGTCTGCCTTTGAGGATTCAGTCTCCTCACCCGAAAAGGCGTAGAGCTTGTAAATCATGTGGGAGGCGGACACAACCATGGAACAGAGTCGTGGACTAGAGTCTGCCCAGATCCGTGATAGGGATGCCTGTGGATTTGGGTTTTTATTGCTGATGAGCAAACTAAGGGATAGCTGAAGTTCTAAAAGAAGGGTCACATGGCGCTTTCAAGAAGAACAAAGAAAGTATAAACATTCACCTCATTGCTTTGATCCGTACTTTTTGGCTCTTTGACGCAAACAAGCCGAGCCAAGCCCACGTCACCCGCCGCCCTTTGATGCAAGGCAAACACAAAGCGTTGCGTGGCCCATACAGGACGAAATTTGACTTTATGAGTATGTATTTACAGACCTGCGTATACGGAGAGCGGCATGAATGTTGTATTGTAGCAATATGATAGGTGCATACATATAAAAAGGAGGGGTCGACGAGCGTGAATATCAGCACACCCAGCCACGTAGTATGTACCACGTATCACGTCTGCTTTTCCGCGGCGGCCCATACATTGTAGGAGGTGATGTGAGTCAGGGTTGGGTCATCCAGTCTGATGCTGCCTAGTGTTGCTCGAGTCTTGTCGTCGTACACCCGGAGTCTATTGGTAGGAGGACGCTTCGGGTCGAAGAGGATGGGGTCCACGGTGTCAGGATGAGTGAAGGCGCCGCGGAACCATTCAAGGCCAGCGGTTGAGCGATCAGCTTGCACTGAAATTTGCACCGTGGCAGAGAATTTCTCTCCGGGAGTGCGACGTCTCACGACCACGGCACACTGCAGGGCTGCGGCAACGCCGCTGCGAGTGTCGGGGTTTTCTTTGAGAGTCCACGAAGCGCTGTTATACAGGCCATAGTTGCGGCCGCGGGTGTCGGCAGAGCCTCGAATAGTGCCCATGCTTTGGAGTTCTCTCTGCACCGTCTTGCTTCTCTCATATGATAGGTCTGGGCCGAGCTGAGTTCCCATAGACAAGCTGCCTCTGCCTCCTGAACTGACCGTCTCATTGCGTCTTGTCGGGAGTATGCTGTAGGTTTCGGCTGGCCACAGACGGGCTACCTCTGGATCTGGACGGTTACTCGACATGCCCGAAAAGCTCAGCTTGATACGGGCGAGCTTGATGCGGCGGCCGAGGCTATCAGCGTCGAAGCGGAAGAGCAGCACCAGCAGTGTGGCTTCGTCGTCGCTCTCCCCATCGTCGCTCCAATGGCCGTGGACAATATCCTCGACTGTGCACCTAACCAGCAACAAGCCTCGCCGCTCGATGACATTCATGCGCTCGTAGGGATTTGACGGGTCGTTTTCGAAGCGAAAGTTGGCAGCGTCATTGATGTTATCGGACAAGTCAAGATCAAAGCAAGGGAGGTCGTTGTCATCCATGTATTGCTCCATGGCAACTGTGTGAACTGCAAGGGTCCTTGTGCCTTCAGATAGGAGTGATGCGAGAGAAACAAGTAGAGTGCGGGCCTTGTAAATCACATTATATTATTAGAAGCAGTGGTGCCGGCCCATTTATTTATAAATCTCACCCACTGCCACTCGCTGAGAAAGTCATATTCGTCGCTAACCTAGGCCATCAGGTGTGGTGTTGAAACGAAAACTGGCCTTTTCGTATGAACGTATTTCGAAGTTGTACATAGTATACTCAATCTAGAGGGAGATACACTTGAGTAACCAACAAGTGAACCCCTGATTCCGAAGATCGTGTGAATTTTTCCTCTCTCTTGTCAGAGAGAGCGGTATCCTGTAGAGGTAAGTACTCGACAATCTAGAGGTGTGATGCCTTCTTCCGAACGCGCTCATAGATTCCAAAGATGCCCGACCCGGGGAGTATTCATCAGCGCCAGGGGACATCTTCCTTCAGCGTTCCGCCCCCTTCTCACTTTCGATGTGTATGTATACATGTATCGAGTTGACCCTCCATCGGAAACTGTTATCACACAGGGTGCAGGTGTACAACTGTCCAATTGCATCCAAACTCCCCTTTTGGAAGCAAGTACATATTCCGTGAACGCCTCAGACGCCTCGCAAGGGGCTGTTAGGTCGTTGGTCAAGCACCTGTGTTGTACGAAGTTACTGTTTACTACCTTGTGTTGGTTACTTACTCGGCTGTAGACATGAATAGATGCGGATACGTTTTCGACGAGATCAGTGTATCCATCAATTGCACTCCCAGGTAGCCAGCTTATGAGGTCCGTCGAAGATCTCTCGTTTGAAGCATTGTTGGTAAGATACGGGGCAATCACATGTGTGCAGCCCCTCCTGGTTGGAACAGCTTTTCTTGTCTTTTCCATCTTGCTGATCACTTTTCTCCTAGTTGACAGTATCATTCATAGTCTCTTGCTGTCTCAATTAGCTGCAGCTATGGAGACTGCCAACCCTCAGTCTGACTCTAACCAAGCCTCCTACTCCACAGCTACACAACCGGAAGGTCACCTTGCCGACATGTCCGAATGGGACGATCATGATGATCCAGAAGATCCTGATTATGAAGATAGTGGAGATGGAGAAGACTATGATGAGTATGATGAGGATTCGGACGATACAGATGGGGATTATGATGAGGAAGGAGAGTACGAGGAGGAGGAAGACGACACCATGGAGGGACACGCCAGCCTTGAAAGAGACAGGGAGCTCATAAAGCGTGAAGAAAGAAAAAAGGCAGAGGAGCTCGCAAAATGGAAAGAGCTTATGCTGGGTGACGTTGAGACTGAAATAAGGCAGGCGGCAAAGGGGGAGAAACAACTTGACGAAGCCCAGTTTCTCGCCAAGTACGGAGATGTTCTGGACCATATCATGCAAGAGTCGGCGAGCAAGAAGAACGTCCTTCACATGCTGGCTATTCATCCTTTCGAGGTTCCTAACCAGTTTCCCCGCTGGATCATCGACCACATTCACCGTAATGCAACGGATATTCAAGGCATGGCACGCAACAGCTTGTCAAAACTGCTCGCAGACAAGGCACACACCACACCCAGCCTGGCCCTTGCTACCGCTATACGCTGGAAGAACGAGCCGTTCATTCACACTATTTTGGCAATTGAGAGGGAGCAGGGCGATGACAGCCTCACAGACAGCCTCCGAAATAATCTGCGAGAGACAGTTGACGCAGGCGATCAGGGGCCGTGCAATTGCATTCACTGGTCCATTGAGATCTTTGCCCGGATTTGACAGTGCAACTCATAGAGAAGGCCGCCAACGATCAGTGTCTTCTGGCAAAGAACAGGAGAGGATTCACGCCTCTGCACCTGGCTGTTGAGTACCCCAAGTGTCTGGAGCGGCTGGAGGTCATCAAGGCTCTTCTCAAATATGGGGAGAAAGCGCTTGATCAGCGCTGCAAGGAAGAGATGTCAGCGTACAGATACTATCGGAAAACCATGGCCATCTATCGAGGAGAGGACTCCGGAAAGTCCTCTGGGCTATCAAAGACCGAAGAACCTCTCGGACGAGCTCAGGGAGACTCGAAGCAACCAAAGGAGAAGCAAGGTGTTCCCAAAGCCAAAAGAAAAGATGGGAGGGAGAAGAATGAGCCAACCGATGCCAAAAAATCTTTTATTGATGTCAAAGAAAAGAGTCAGGACCAGATGCAAGCCGAGCTAGCAGCCGGTCCAGTTCTACGAAGCCCAGTAGAAGGGGGGGAGGTGATCAAATCCCTCCAGCGAACATTGACTCGGCAGCTCCAAGAGGCGCCTATTGCATCCAAGGCACATGTCACGGAAATCAAGAAGAAATCGTCAGGCAAAAAGGCTGGCAGGAGCAAGAAGTCGACCGCATTATCCAAGATGTCCAAGGACAAGGAAAGGGAGAAGCAAATAGAGGATGAGATAGAAGACGAGCTAAAGCTCCAGTATCTTCGATCGACCTTCAAGCTTGAGCCTGATAGACACGTTGCGTCAGCTCATGGCTTTCTCTATGCCCAAGGAGAAGGTAAATCCATTGCCCCCCTCCCTCCGTTTTCTCGCACCACCTAGGATGTCATGTCACGATGCCTCAAGCACTACTTGTGCCCCAACTTCGCTCCTGAAAGCATTTCCTTCATCATCACACTTATCTTTTCAAGATCTTGCCTTGCCCTGTACATTTCATATTTCTGCTACCCACGCCGGATCCACTAACTCATTCACTGCCACAGAGAGACCAGTCTGCTTGACAATGATAGGAGGACCTCAGGCGGTGGACCAACATGCCTTCACAAAGTTCTACAGCAACGAAAACTTCGATCACATACTGCACAACGTGGCTGTAAGCCGCATCATCTTCAAGCACCCGAAGAATAAGGACGCTGGCAGAACAGACATGGAGGTCATCTTCAAACTTCTCAAGGAAAAGGGCGTTCGCCACATTGTCAAAGTGATTGTCTTTGATTCGGAAGCTCCGCCTCATAGCGACGAATCTATTGAGAGATGCTTCTCAGGGTTCAAGTCCATTGAGTTACTCGACTGGCGGAAAATTGACCTCTGCCCAGATACGATATGCAAAGCGTGTCCGAATGTCGTCGAGCTACATCTGTGGTGGAGTGGTAATAATGCCATTCTAGTGGCCTGGAGCGCTCCAGGTGGCCTTGCCACGCTTCCACGCCTGAAGGAAATCCATTTGCATCAGACCCAGGTAAGAACAGTGGCTGCCGAGCCTTTGACTCTGAAGGGGAACGCCGATGCTTCCCCATGAATTCATGTCTAACGAAGGGTTACAGCGCATCGAATCGGTTGAGCGTGACAAGAAGAATCTGCAATCTTTCAAAGATCGGCTGCATAATGATCGCATAGCACAGCGACCGAAATGTTTCCAGCCGGAGGAAAGGCTAAGATTGGCATCCTCAGGTCAGAGACTGCCAGTGACTGTCTTAGACATGTGGCCCGACATAACGGTGAACGACTCGGACACCAGCAACGCTGCTCAACCCGGTCGCTCTCCAGCAGCCCATAGCCCTCAGCTGAACCAAACAATCGCACGACGCCGAAGACGGCATGAGTGGTTGGACATCATGGACAAGTTTGCGGCCGGCATTGATCTCATCGACATGGAGCGAACTCTCTCACCTGATGTTTTTGCGGAAGAAGTGAGGGTGGCTTTGATAGATGATGGTGTCGAGATTACAAACCGGAACCTCACGAATCGCATCTACAACGGCTGGACATGCGACACCGGGTACGAAGGCAATGGGCTGCAAGGCATTCCGAGGCCCTACACCAGCTCCGAGACGCAGCACGGCACCTTTATGGCGTCGACAATTTGTCGCATCTGCCCGAGAGCCAAAATCTTCGTGTTTCGACTTGACGTGGTGTCCACGCCTGGAGAACGGGCACACTTTACCGCGAAGAGCGCAGCAGATGTGAGTATAGTTCTGTGGCTTGCTGTTACCTACATCCTACATATCAAGATACCTAACGTGTCTCTTTGACTGCCAGGCACTCGAGTTAGCAATCGATCCGAGTCGAAAGTTCGACATCATTTCCATGTCGTGGACTATTGCTAAGAACCCGGCCAACGCAAAAGATATGGACAGGCTAGACAAGGCCCTCAAGCAAGCCACTGCACAGAATCGTATTCTGCTCTTCTGCGCTTGCCCAGATAGCGGAGAGATGACAAAGGCACAAGCCGAAACATTCTATCCCTTTGGCTGTGACGGTGGCATCGGTCTCTTCAAGATGGCGGCCGCCACGGTTGACGGTATCCGCGTCTCAATGGCGGGATCGCGCTTCGACTACTCCCTACCGGGTCACGAGGTTGAAGACACCGGCCAACCAGCCGGGGCCAGTGCCAGAGAGATGCTACAGAAAAACCCATATGCCTCTGAGGTTGAACACAGCGGCCTGAAGACAGGCTCTTCCATTGCCACGGCCCTCGGAGCCGGCCTCGCAGCCCTCATCATCTACTGCGTCAGACTCAGCGCTGCGTACGCTCATCGGATCAACCCTTCTGCTGGCACCTCCGCAAACAGCGATATCAACACCGGCGTACTAGGTCGCAACGCTCTGGAGCTCATCAAGCAGCCGGCGCAGATGCGGCGCGTCTTTGACCGCATGGTAAGCACCGGTAGCTCAGGCGACCGCTACATTGAGGTGTGGGAGTTCTTTGGAGAGTTGGCAGACGAGCTCGAGGCACGAGGACGACAGATCGAGGAGCTCAAGGACATCATCGACAACGAAGTGCAGCCAGGAACCGCGGAAGCTGACATGGCGGAAGCGGAGCTGCGGGCGAAGAATGAGTCGCGAATGATGAAGATTATGCAATGGGCAGTGAGTTTTGTTAGTAAACTCTGATTGACAAGTGGCGAAGTGCTTGTTGAAGTAGGCCATGGCAATATTGGTTGTCCACAACTGTAGTTTTTTGAGCTTGACATGCAATGCCTAATGTATGCTTGGATGAATTGCTTGTGCATCGAATTGGAACGTGAAAATTGGACTTCTGTAGCAACTGTCTATATAGGTGTATAGGTATAAAACAAGTACTAAAACACACAGCACAACGAATTGGTCTATGAAAAGCAGCAGAGGGCGACTTCGTGAATCTCCCATGGACCCTTTCAACAATCTCTGCTCTTCACGCCTCATCGGAGGGCTCGCTCGTCGCTCTGTTCCACGAGGTCCGAATAGCGCCCCAGTACTCCTCATTAAACATCTGCATGTGGCGCACATGGCCGCTGCCCTTGAACATGTGGTTATCAGACTTGTACCCCCTTTTCCTCGCCTCCGCAATGTGCTCTTCGATATCCTGATAGGGGATAATGTCGTCGTCCTCGCTATAGATGTACAAGTGCCGCGTGTCCTTGGTCTCATAGTAGGGGTTGATCACCGCCTTGACACTGAATGCCGGCGCGGGCTCCTTTCCAATAACCCACTCGAGGAAGCGGTTTCCGCAGAGGAATCCCGCCCAGAGGGTCTGCGTCACGCCAAACGGCCAGGGGAACCAGTTTGCCGTGCCCAGAGCCATTGCGCGCGACCAGCGGGCCAGGTTCTCGCGGGTCATGATGACGCTTCCCGGCGTTGAGTCGAGCACCAGCAGGTGATGCGGCATAGGCTTATCGTGGACGAGGCGATAGGCGTTGAGCGTCGCGGCGTAGTTGATGCCGCCCGTGTTGGACATGATGTGAGCCAGCACGCGGTCTTCTGTCTTTTGCGCATCCCTGTCGTCTTCCGATTCGCGAGGGAAGATGGCGTCGATGACGGGCCGCATGGACTGCGTGCGCTGGTCGAGGCCGGACCACATGGCCTTGGAGATGGGCGCCAGGACGACAATCTGCGTTGAGCAGGGAAAGAGAGCGCGGTATCCGTCGGCATATTTGATCAGGTTCTTGGGCTGGCCGTCGCCCCAGGAGTAGATGAGCACGGCTCGGGGATCGGTTGGGCGCGGGACGGCATCACTTTCAGGGTCTGGATGGCGGATGAAGACTTGGTCGGACAAGGGGCTGAAGCCCGGGAAGAAGTCCTTCTTTTGCTCAATCATGGTTGAAGGGTTCTGATTTCTGCTTTTGAGCGTAGGAGATGTACTTGAAGTTGGTCGAAGAGGTTGAATCTTCTGGTTGTTGGTTGGTCTTCTCACCCGATTCGCATCTCCATCAGCGATACGGACTGTCAAAAAATATGTACGATTATTCGAATCGCTTTGTTGGGATGCGGTGCCTTGTTGGGCACGTTTCCGACCCGCCCGTCGGCGAATTGAACATTTTTGTTAATGCTTCTCCGTGCCTCGGTTCAGCTCCTTTGTGGCGATCTTGGGAGTGTTAGCGGCGAGGGCCGTTGTGTAAGTACGAAGACAAGGTCGTGAAGCATCAAGTTTGACAAGATAGGTAGAAACCCATATAACGAGGGAATAATGAGCTAGAGAGAATTGACTTTACCAACTGCCTGTCAAAGCAACAGGTGGCGCTCTAGACGTTGCAACTCAGAGGGAACCCCAGATCAATCTGAACATTGATCGCTTTCACATGCTTCTGACGTCTGACGGCTTGGTCCACTCTATGTATTCGGCAGGGGTCCACTAATTTTGACAGGGTCTTGTCTAGTTTCTCACGATGAACCGGAGGCTGTCAGAAACGTGTTGCTCCGTGGCTCCGGGACTCAAAGTGGACTCAGTGACATGCCGTCGTCCGTATCAACTCGATGGCTTGATCGGGCAACTGGCTTGACCGGGTTGTCAAGATAAATCGCCCAACATTCTGTAACTGATTGCAGATACTGAGGTTAATGGCGTCTGACCTTCATCAACTGGACGACGATGCTATCAATGATTACATCAGGAGAGCAATAAGGCTGACAGATAGGACAGAATTGTCATTGTATCTCTGCAAATGTAACATAACGACGCCTTCAGCAACATGTTTCGTTTTGCGTACCTAGACATCAGCCATACAGCATAGTGATGCATAGTAAGCATGATTAGTCATACATACAGTGGAATACAGTGAGTGCAAAGATCGAATTCCTTACATGTAGTCAAATCTTGAGTGACAATGTATGTGAGTGTACTGAGATCAGACAAGAGGCACCATTGTCTCAGGGGCTTTTCACTGGCGTCCCTTGATTAGGAGTTTCCACCATAAGATTGAGATCTACCGACATTGTACTCTCCAACGTCTAGGGTTGATCTCAGCAATTCTTGGCCCCGGCCAACAAGATAAGATACATAGGTATGGTCTGACACTTGATTTACTTCTGGAACTCAGGCCTGGTCTCAATTTCTTCAACAACCTGCTGCGCATCAGGATCGCCCTCTTCTGCCATACGCTTGAACTCGTCCGTGTTATCCTTGACCCATTGCTCGAAATGGCCAGGCTGCCGTAGTGTTAGCAATGATGTCTCCGTCATACGCAGTGTCAAGCTTACCAGAGGCAAATGGAACCCTGCTTCCTTTGCAACATCAATCTCTCCCATGATGAAAACACCCTTGAGCTGCTTCGTAATCGAGTCCTTTCCAACAGTCTCGTTCCAGAATCCCTCAAGCTTGTCGGCCATGCCTTCAAGCTGCTCCTGGGTGCGGCTAGTGCCACTTCGAAGGCTGACAAACAGGCGGTTGATGTTTCGCGGGACACCGCCGACGTAGGAATCGGACAATGGGCCTTGGGTCACGTCGATGAAGCGGACGTTGACGATGAATCTCGGTGCCCTGAAGGTGGTTGCGTGCCAATCGGTGATTCTGCGCACCAGAGCCATTTTTTGGGTCTGGCTGAGCTTGATGGCCAGTTCGAAGTTATACATAGGCATGATGGCGGATGCTGGACTGTTACTCTGTACAATTTGCTTCTTGCTGTGGTTTGATATGAGAAGCTTGGACGATTCTCTTGTGATGTTTCGTCTGTGTCATGTAGCTTTTCAACAAGTGCCTTAAATGCCCCTCTCGTCTATTAAATCAGCCGATATCGGCTCTCTCCGCATTCTGCCGTCTTGTATGTGGAATCAAATTGGTGATAGTTGCCGAAACCAGGCATAGACGATTGGTCATCAATCCAGATGAGGACAAGTCACACGTTAAGACGACAATTCTTGATCATCAGCGGATATCATCGGATAGAAGAAGAGGCTGTGATACCAGCTGGTTGACGTATGAACGTGGGAATAGTAAGAGGGATCTCTTGATGATTAATCATTCTTACATAAGAGCTGCCTTTTTGGGTAGGTAGTCTAGATGAAAAGGGAAGGTCGTAGACTTTTAAGGTGACGAACACACGCATGTCGGATGATGATAGAGAGGCAGAGATCATTTTTCCTTATTAGTGGGATCTTCCTCACACATGGCTTACATGCCCAACCTTGCTGAATTACAGAGGCTCCTGACTCAAGGCAACTCATCATCATAGAGGTCAATCCACCACATGATATCCCGAAACTTCTCCTCGCTCACGTTGGCCTTGGCAAAGTGTTCTCTCTGAGGGCACCTGATCTGTCGATGAACCTCTGTTGCTGTCTTCCAGCCAAAGTATCCAGCCATTTCCCAGTCAATGAGTCCCACAATCTTGTCGTCATTGACGATGCAGTTCGATGGCGTGAAATCATTGTGCATGAAGCTCAGATCCTGATCAAGATTGGCTGAGAAAAGTATCTGTGCCTCCTGGGGATTCAAGCGGCCATTAGTGAGTATATCTGGGTCTGGAACGATATGTTCTCGTGTCTGGTGGATGCGAGGGGGCTTGACAGTATGCATCCGCCCGAGAATCATTCTGGCTTGCATCTTAAAAGACGCTCTCTGTTTTTCGGACAGATATGGCCAGGCAACTTCCAGACTGACGCCGGGAAGTCGTTCCTGGACTAACACAGAGCGGCCGTCAATCTAGTGAAGTGTGAGTCGCATTCTATCGTTAAGCGGCACCTGGCATGTAAGAAGACGGACTTTGCCGGAGAAGTATATGGTCGGAACCCTAATTCCCCTCAGGACTCTCTTGGCGATATTGATTGCTTGGACTGCATTGGCATCCGCATATGCGTAGTCAATCTTGATACTTGTATGTCGATGGCTGGATTTGACAATGATACTGCCGACGGCGAAAACATCTCGACCTTCGTTTGCGTCCGCGGGGTAAATTAGATTCGATTCTGTACAGAGTCCGAGCACTGCAGCCCAGTATTGCAGCGATTTCTTCGAGGTAGAGTTGATGTGCTGAACATCAACACGAAAGTCATCTTGCTTCGGATAATACCTGCCATAGAGTGGTATATCCGCATATCGGTCATCTTTGGGGATATGATCTGGGTGCGCAATGTATGGGTTCATGGCCAGATTTTGTGCTTTACCGATCCAATATAGTATGTATGTGCACAGAGTTGTGGCCCAACAAAAGGTCGACGGCCAGGATTGAATCCTTGGGCCTTGGATGAGCCAAGCTTAGGTACATGAAGCTCCATGTCTGGAATGCAATGGCTGCACAGACGCTTCTGTCGAATACCATGTCAATTGGGCTACCCGTGAGAACATCGAGTGCCGAGTTGTAGCATTGAGATTTATAGGACCAAGTTTGAGAAAGGTCGTCATCAACTCAAGTGGCGTCTTCGAAGAAGACGGAAAATGACAAAGTATCGTGTCGATCTAATCATCTATTGTCTAGCCTCAACCGCTCTTTGTGTGGTCATTCATGGGGTTCTACCTCACCCAGCGACTTAAGCGTTCCAAAAGGCTCGGGCGATGAACCATTTCGGTTACTTCTAACGAAACATACCCTTCCATGATGTCCTCTACTGTTGCATCGGGACACGGAATCCTTTCGAGAAATTGCTCGATTGGTCAGACTGATGATTCATGATCTGATAGACAAGCCTGCCAAGAAACTCACACAGCCCAAACTCAACAATGAGGCGAGCTTCCGAAACACCGCAGCAGGGGACATAACTCCGCAAAGAGCACCAGAAACACCGCATATATAACCCCGCAACACCGCAACACCGCAAAACGCGCCCGGCTTGTGAGAAGTCGTACGGGAAACACGGCATCCAGAATCTGACAAACGACGATGACAAAGTCACGACTCGAGCTGACTGAAACAGTTGCAGTATCGACGTAACCGAGGCTACGTCAATAGAGCCTAGCTTGTTCAAAGTTGCTTATTCAAGTCGTCCCTGTAGGGTAATGAGCTCCGGTCGGGTCTACGGAGTGGCTCGCTATCGAAAGAAAGGTTGAGATTCAGCTGCCCCCTCAGTGAATCTGACTATATAAACCCTGCTGAAGTTTGGGTATCTTTCAATAATCCATTACAATCTTTCAGTAATTCATTGCAAAGAAGCTTATTGCATCAACAACTATACGACCAAAAGAACATCAAACGCTTTCCAAATCACAATCAAAATGCAGGAAAAGACAGCCGTTCTGCTCATCGACCCGCTCAACGAGTTCTTGCACCCAGATGGCAAGATCTACTCCCTCCTCAAAGACAGCATCAACGCCACCGACACTGTGAATAACCTCCAGAAGTTCGTTAAGATCGCCAGAACCAACAATCTACCGATCCTCTACTGCCAGCACCAGCTGTTCGAAGAAGGCCAGTTTGATGACTGGAAGCACATGTCCAGGAGCCAACTCACCATCCAGCAAACCAAAGCCTTCACAGCGGGCAGCTTTGGAGCCGAGATACTGAAGGGGCTTGAGCCGGATCGAAGCAACGGCGACGCAATTGTCTCGCGCCACTGGAACAGCAGGTAATTGGTGGAATGCTGATGATCTAGCTATGTCATTTTGTCAAGACTAACAAGAGTGCAGCTCCTTTGCCAACACTGACCTCGACTACCACCTTCGCCAACGAGACGTAACGCACGTTGTAGTTGCTGGCATGGTTGCCAACACGTGCCTTGAGTCTACTGCTCGCTATGCAGTTGAGTTGTGAGTACTGCAAATTTCGATGATCAACAGCTAGAGGCTAATACGAGATCAACTCAGGGGCTACCACGTCACGATCATGTATGTATTCCCTGTGACCTACAGGTCTCGCGGTACCAGAATGCTAACCTCATCATAGAAGCGATGCAACTGCTGGATTCTCCATCCAGCTGAAAGAGGCCGCTGAGAAGATCATCTGGCCGACCATTGTGGACGAAGTTTTACAGGTTGACGAGTGGGCTGCCAAACTGAACAAGGCGGCCTAAGTGCGAGACTAGGTGCTTCAAGAGAATGATGGACGTCATTGGAAAATCACTGTAACTCATATAAATGCCGAATAGATTATCTCCGAATTCCCTTGCCCGGCACCTGATATGTTGTGAATATCCCATGACTTGAGCCTCACTAGTGTACATATTCCCTCTTCGCAACCTTCTCACACAGCTCTTTCAACGCTTTGGCGCCATACTCAAAATCTTGCAGCTCAAGATATATCTGAGCCGAGAATCTGGCCCACAACGCCCCCGAGATGAAGGCAATATTAACAAAGGTATTATAGTCCCGAGCAAGTCTCCGTAGAATAAAGTCAATAACCTTTGGTACATCTGCCAAAGGGACTGAACGTCCCCCCCTTTCCGCAGAATCGAGGGGGGAGATTTTGATAGGAAGCTGGACATTGGCAAAAGCAACTCGCTTCGACTCTGGCATAGGCAACGCTCGCGTCTGCAGTATCTCGACTGCAAGTTTCTCGCCTTCACGGGCTAGTGATTGACAATAAGTTCGAATCGCTTCCTCCCCTCCACATACCTCCTTTCTAAACTTGATTGCCGCGGGAATGCATAGTGGGGGGCCATTGTCGATGGTCCCAGTGTAGCTGAACTGGAACACGAATGGATTCATAGAGGCTGGAAGTTCGTATGGACTCATGTACTGCTTCTTGTGCAGAATCTCAGGTAGTGGCTGAAAGCCGTGAGACGTGGGGAGAGAGGATCGCATCAGATGCTGGTTCCTTGATGCGACGTATAGCACAGCACACGCGTGTGGTACGAAAAGCCATCTAGAGCAATGTCAGTGTATGGGAGACGTCTAGACGAATCAATGAATCAAGACTCACTTGTGGCAATTTGTCGTCAGGAAGTCAGCCCCCAATCTGTCTAAATCCAAGTCAATCAAGCCAATGCCGTGCGCCCCATCAATGGCACTCAGCACCCCGAAGTCTCGGCAGATTTGTGCTAGCCGTTCAAATGGCATCCTGAGCCCAGGCATGCTCATGATGGTGTCAAAGATGGCTACCCGTACACGGCCATGATGTTCCTGCAGCACAAGTCGAAACGACTCAACAAGTGCATCATCATTATCCATGGTAGGATCAAACGGAATAAGAACACTCTTGACAGGTGTAGTTTCGACAAGGTAATCCACAGTCTTCTCGATTGCTCCATAGGTCCCTCGTACGTATGCAATCAGGTCTCCCGGCTCATACTTTAGATTGCGAAGCACCGTGTTCAACGCTGTTGTTGCATTCGGTACTAGGACAATCTCGTCCTTGTCGGCGGCGTGCAGATGTTCTGCAAGCAGAGCACGGATATTGTCCAGCTTCCCCGGGTATGTGTATCGAACAAAATTATCCGGCTCAGCCTGGACTGCGTCTTGGACAGAGCGTAGAGCATCTCTCACTGGACGAGGGTATCCTCCATAAGAGCCTGAGGGTATATCAGACGTCTAGTGAGAACAATATCATCTCAGCCAGGTACAATGTGTGACAAACCTTGATTAAGATGGATGAACCCCGGTTTAAACATGAAGTGCTTCTCTCCAAACGCACGGCCAAACCGTGGGTGGTTGACAAACTCGATTTGTTCGTTCATTTTGGGGGCAAAATCAGAATGAAATCTTCGTTATACAACGCGCAATATGTGAAGAACTTGAAGAAATGTCTGACCGAAGAGACTGAAATGGGCGATAGAAGAGGGTTGATGACTCTATGATTCCAGCTCATCCTGATCGACCCTCTTGGCTAATATGGCTGGCTATACTGCATGTGGTCCTCGTTTTGTCAATGCCCTAACAAGTCCTCTCCTTCGCCGCAATCGGCTGCTTCTCCCTAGTACTATCATGGTACCACAAGGCCAGCGTCATCGGGGGGACCACGATTCATGGCTATCCACGGCATTGCTGATTCAGCTGGATGACAAAGGGTCCTAGATCGTTATCACCAGAGCCAATGAACGCCTCAAACCATCCAATCTGATGACAAATGTGTCCGATTAGGGAGGAGGGGTATCCGCTTGGAGAGTCCGAGATATCGCAAGAAATGGAATCATTGAAGCTACTGCGCCCTTTGAGGCGGGGGTTGACAACGAGGATGGATTTTATACGGCAGCACATCAAAAGCAACACGTGAATTAGCTGAGGAATCATTGGACATAAAGTGCGAAACATATAGACACAAGAAAAGATGCCATCCATAAAATGCTCCCCAGACATCCCGAGTCACAGCTGTGAACACAAGCCTCAAGCGAAAGAATTTTCCAAAAATTCTCCAAGATGCCTTCTCCCCTACCGGTCCATACAGACGCCGCCCCGGCACCCATCTCCCTGTTCTCGCAAGCTCAAGTCTACAATGGCCTCGTCTACTGCTCCGGAAACATTGGTATCGATCCAAAGACAGGCAAGCTCGTCGAGGGCACAGTAACAGACCGCACAGTAAGAATATTGAAACTATCGGGAGATTTCAGCAGCAGCAGCAGCAGCAGACATTAGTGAAGCCCATCGTTAACCCCCCCTATGTACAGGAGCAAACCATTCGCAACATTTCTGCCCTTCTGGACGCTGCCAATTCGTCTCTCAAGCGAATCATCAAGGTCAATGTCTACTTGACCACAATGGACAACTTTGGTCCCATGAATGAAGGCTACGCGAAGTTCTTTTCTGCCCCTTTCCCCGTAAGCTGTTTCCTTCGCCGTGTGTTGAATGGGACTTTCATTAACACAGAGACAGGCTCGGACGTGTGTCAGCGTCGCCGGTTTGCCGATGGGCTCGGATGTAGAGATTGAGTGCGTGGCGGCATTGGACGGATAGATGGTATGAGTATTCTTGGCCCTCGTCGATGAGGGAAGTCATTCAGAATCAATCGAGTCGAGACATTCAGAGGCGTTGGTGCAATGATCTGGGGCCAATCTGGATGATGAGAGTCGCTTTCGATTCCAAAGAAGCAAATTTGTATGCTACATATGCGCATAAGTAGAGTGCGGCCAGCCCTGTCGGTATGAAGTCCCGCATTGCCGCAAGATAGACGAACAGAAACCCCATGGTCATTCGATGGGTGAGCTGTCAAACCAAGTAAAATGACCAACAAGTTGGGGATTCCGTCATGTAAGAGAATACGAGAATATTCAGATACTCATACAGGCAGAGGATCTTATGATATATTTATGGCCAGGTTATAAAGCCTCCCCCCTCTTCCCGCGGCAGCAATGTGTCTCCAGTCTGCGCGGTCTTTCGTACGAATTGCAATACGAACAGTGATGTGTTCATGGTCTCGAGATTTTTCCGGAGCATATAAACGGCACCTGCTTTGAAATACAACTCGGCACGGCATTTCGCCCCATTCGCTCCGTGGTAGGGTTATACGGGTCATCATACTGTAAGAAGGCTATCACATCGAGATGCATCTCCATTTGGTAGTCCATCGTGTGGGGAGGGGACGCAGGGGGGGAGAACTGGGGGCTTGAAAGATTGCAGGACTGCCGTTGACAAACTCCGCTCGGCAGTTGAAAAGGCGGTAAACTGCGGAGTGCCGTATGCAGGATAAAGTGCTTCGGATGGAGCACCCGATGCTGAATGTCTTCGCATAGAGGATTAGATCGCTGGTCGAACTTTGCTTGTATGATCCCTAGAGAAGTTACCATGCTGAGAGAGTGCGATGACTACCTGATCAAGTGAATGTGTCCGAGCTAGAAGCGCCTTCGAGTCCACTAGGTAGGTGTTCGCGGAGAGATTTGGCGAGTCTGTACGGTCCTCCTATCTGTGATGAAGATGGCGTCACATACCAGCAAACTGCAACCATTTAGCCTAAAGGAGAAGCAATGGCGCCGATATAATGCTTCAAAGTATGAGTCAAAAGTACTCGCACTGAACGATTGTGATTCCATTCGCATCACGAAGTATGAAGCAACTAGTCGCAGTCTGCGTCATGAGACTTCATCGCCTCTTCATTGCTTGTTGTTCACATAAAGGAATTGCCTACTCCTGTCCAGTAGCAGTAAGCATGGAAGCCATTATAAGAATCGAAGGCATGCGGAGGTGGAAGCATCGGTGTTACTGATATTTCCAACCCCCGCTTAACAATCACAGTCGGCGACATTACTTTGCCAATCAATAACGCACCGAGCAACTGAGCCGCAACTTCTACTCACCCTCAAAATCTAGGCAATAAGGAAACTTATGCGTTCTTTTTCTCTATTGTCAATGTATGACTCAAACGTTTGTCGAGAATGGGAACTGAGCGTCAAGGAAGTGCATTTGGCCTCTCAGATTGAGGATTTGAGTGTCAAATCCCCGGGTAATAACCTACAATTACCTTATCAGAAGCATGGTAGGCTATTGGCAGGCGAACAGCTCTTTTGCGAGCATCTTTATCATGAGCAGCCCTTGATGCCATTAATGATTAATGATGTGATGAGAGTAATGAACTTTCAATCTTCAGTGACCATTTTTAGAAGTGGACAGCAACTGTGCCACCCTATCTATGGCCTTGGTCATACAGCCAGGATTCAGGGGTTAGCATCATAAGCTCGGTGCATTCCATATTTGCACATTGCCTTGAATAGTCTGCCTAACGGAGAGTTTTCGCTGGACTTTCTACCTACTAGAGAGGAAGCAGTGGCATCATTCTGGAAGAAGGCTATTGGCCCCTGCTTCGTGTTACTGCGAAAGCCCTGTCCGTCACATTTGTACCACCTCATATGATTGCTTGTACGCCTCTATATGCCCGCAGATTGGACCACTTCTGGAATTTCATGCGAGTGATCCAAGAGTCACATAACCTTTTAGATGGTGAGGCATGTGTTTGGCAATGAGATCTGGCTCTTATGTTTAGAATTGCCTTCGGATAGTTATTCGGACAATGGTTATGTGATGCTTCACGGCTTTGGAATGATTCAATAGACTCGTTAGACATAAGCATATATTTAAGCTGGGCAACCTCTTTGTTACACTGAAGAGAACTCACTCAGTGCTCAATACTCTATTCTTCTTCTTGAGTGATTTATGATGTTTCTCGAAAAGACGACAAGGCTCCTTGTGCTGGCGAGCTTCATCGCTCTCGCGGTAGATGCTGGCTCATTCACTTGTCAGCCAAAGCAAGCCTGCTGGCCTAGCATCCAAGAATGGAACGCATTGAACAAGACTGTCTCTGGACGTCTGAAAGTCCCAGTCATGCTATCGAGTCCTTGTTTCCCCAGTACACCAAACTTTGATGCCAGCGTCTGTGCCAACGTTTTGGACAACTACTCCAACGGCACCTTTCGAGAGTCAACGTACGGCGCTCAGCAAATCACCCAATGGGAGGCTTGCGGCAATACAAACTGCTATCCAGGCATTGTCCCGCCTCAAGGATCGACCTGCTCTCTCGGAAGGATATCGCCTCTCTACGTTGATGCCGAGACGCCTGCCGATATCACAGCCACTCTCGCCTTTACCAAACAACACGGCATTCGCATCGTGGTCAAAAATACGGGACATGACTACCTTGGTCGAAGCGCTGCTGCAAATACCCTGGGCCTGCGAACCCACAACATGAAGAGCATGACCTTCAAGTCCTCCTTCACAGCCCACAACTGCGCAGCCTCGAACAGACAGAACATCGGCATTATTGGCGCAGGCGTCATCGCAGAGGAGGCCCTTACTTTCTTCGACAAGCACGGCATGATGGCCACAGTCGGAGGCTGTCCTACCGTTGGCATCGCCGGCGGCTTCGGTCAGGGCGGCGGCCACGGTCCTCTTGCTCCTACTCACGGCCTGATGGTGGACCAAGCCGTCGAGTTCGACGTCGTCACAACGGACGGCGTCTTCAGAACAATCAATGCTTGCAACGAGCCTGACCTCTTCTGGGCGATGCGTGGCGGGGGAGGCCAGTCGTACGCGATCCTGGTCAACTACAAGTTCCAGCTCTATCCGCAGACGCAATGGGCGACGTGGCGACTCGAGGCCAGTCTGACGCCGAGCAGCTCCAACGTCACGCATGACACTGTCCTCCGCGATGTCCTCATAGCCTTGTCCAAGGACCAGCCGAAATGGTCGCAGAATCGTGTTGCCGGCTACGACCTCATCTCGCCAACTGGCGTCACTTTTCTCGAGATACTTCCCGCCGCCGGCAATCCTTTGGCAACGCTCAAGAATCTCACCGCCAGCTTCAACGCTTTCCTGTCCAAGCACTCAGGCGTCAACATTTCCATCAACTCGTACCAAGTCTTTCCCACGCAGCAGGCGTTCTATACCGGTCAGGCAGATTACATCGCCCGCGGCGGCACAGTTGGCGCTTCCATCTTGCTCCCAAGCCGCCTCATCACCACGGACAACTTCGAAAGCCCTTCCAAGATTGACGCGCTTGTTTCCGGCATCTTGCGAGCCATTCAAATTGCCAAGGAGGGACTTGGCGATGCCCTCGCGTCTCGGGTGGCCTTCCTCCTTCTGAAAACAGGAGCACCCAACACGGCCGACACCGCGCAGGCGACCAGCGTCAATCCCGCTTGGAGAAAGACCTTGTGGCATCTGGTAGCACCTGCTGTATGGCTTCCTGGCACTACAGACAAGGTTAGCAGCGGCGTCGCATCGGCTGCTCGGGCTGCTATGGATGCGATCAAGGCGCCCCTGAGCGTGCAGGCTGCGTATCTGAACGAAGCTGATCCGGATGAACCAGACTGGCAAAATGTCTTTTTTGGCAGGAATTACGATAAGTTGCTTGCTATCAAGAAGAAGTGGGATCCGGATACTGTGCTCAACTGTAAGAAGTGCGTTGGTTATTTGGGGGATAAGGACCCGATGTACTCGTGCTATAGCGCGAACCCCGTTCCCTCGGTTCCATATCCATTCAACTGAGCGGAAGTTGACATCAGGAAGTTGACATCAGAGATGAAGGTATGGCAGCCAGGGTAGATGTACGTAAACAGATCGATGAAGTGTCTATTGCGTTGTAAAATGATTCCAGAGGTGTCTCAGTATTCGTGAGATTGTCAGTGTACTCAATCTAGGGAGTGAGAATGATAGGCATCCCAAGTTGCACCTACATAACAGTAGAGGAGAGTCTACGTCGTTGCTTACCCCTTCCGGGAGAGATTGCGAATGACTTTCTGGAATGTGACGAACAGATGCGATTGGACCTGAAGCGTATGATGCTCATGCAGATTGACAAGGAGCAACAGATGCCAGGAGCACCAAAGTTAGGATATCTCCTGTCGAGTCGGGAGCGTGTCTACAAACTACAGCATATTCGGTACGAACTCCACTTGAAATATATGCATTTATCTAGGTTGCCGGTTTTCACTTAGAGAATGCATTACACAGCTACCAAAAAATCGTTTCTTACTCATGAGTTATTGGTATTGACCCTACATCTTGATATGTGCAGTGAAAAGTCTCACTATGTAGACTAGTATATACATCAAAGTCCCATCGCCCACCTGCTTAAACAGCAGGGAGAACCCAAGTAGTCACAGACTCAGAGGGGACGTTGCCACTCCACTCCTGGCCGCTCTGGGTAGTGAGGTGAATGTAGATGTCGTTGCTAAACGTGTTCTCAATGACGACCGTGCGGGTTCCGTCAGGGTTCAGCGAGGCAACAGACTGGACACCACCGCCAGAGGAGTACGTGTAGCTGCCGGTGCCGCTCAGGACAGTAGCCCCCACGGGCATGAACTTGCTGAACTGGGCCATCATGTAGTAGGCAGTCTGGAATGTGTACTGGCCGTTGTTGATGGTGACGAGGCCCGTGCAGGTGCCGCATCCACCGCTGGACAGGTGAGGCCCGTCCTGAGCAGTCGTTCCGAGAGTCCACGCGGCGACACCAGAGGCCCAGTTCTGCAGAGGGCCCATGGTGAAGCTGGCGGCCTGGTTCCAGGCGCCGGTGGACGGGGTCCAGCACTCGGTCATGTACTGCTCCACGTTGGGGAACTGGTTCTTGAAGTTGGTCAGGACGGTCCAGTCCAGGTTGGTGGCATAGCAGTGCCACGCGACGGCCGAGACGTAGTCGGCGGCAATGCCCAGGACCTGCTCAGGGTAGACAGCCTGGTCTGCAGTAGTAGCTTGCGTTAGCCATCCGTATACGTGGAAACTCAACGCAGTTGAAACAACTCACCAGTGTTGTGGTCGTAAGCCCAGATCTTGGTCCCGAGGCCTGCACTCTTCAGGGCAGGGCCGACGTAGTTCTGGATGAGGTCACCCTGCTCGTACGAGAACATGTACATGGTGGGATAGCCCGCCTGGCTGTTCAGGGGCTCGTTCTGCAGAGTAATGGCGTCAATGGTGGCGCCGTGCGACTGGAAGGCCTGGATGTACTTGACAAAGTACTGGGCGAAAGCGCTGGAGTACTGAGGGCCGTTGTTGGTCAGGTAGCCATCATTGAGGTTGTTGTTGTTGGTGTTGCCGTCGATGGCGTTGTTCAGCTTCATCCAGCCGGGAGCGCTCCAGGGCGAACCAAAGATCTTGAGGTTGGAGTTGAGGCCCTTCATCTTGGCCAACATGGTCGCCATGGCAGTGCCACGGTCACCGAGGTTGAAGCCGGTGAGGTTGGGGTCGGCGTTGCCTCCATTGTCATCGTACGTGTAAGCCGGGTCGCCAGACAAATCGGACGCACCGATGGTGTGTCGCATGAGGGCGAAGTTGGCACCGGCCGAGGTCATGAGCTCGTTGAGCAGCTCATTGAGAGTGCTGGAAGAGAGCTCGTTGAAGGAAGTGACGGTGGCATCGGTCACGGCGGCACCAAAGCCGGTGATCTTCTGCTTGTAGCCAGAGCTCGTGTCGTCGATGGACAGGTTCCAGGTAGACGGGCCAGGGCTTCCATTGCCTTGGACAGGAGCGGCAATGGAGGAGAGCTTGTAGTTGCCGGCCGAGTTGGACGCATAGGCTTGGGCACCGGCCGCGCGAGGGCTGTGAGCGGCTTCAGAAGGAAGGGCAACGCAGAAGGCGGCCTGGCCGACAAGAGAGGCGAGAAGTAAGCCACGCATGTTGCTGGTTTGGTGTTTTTGATGACTGCTGTTGACTGTGAATCTCACCCAATGAAGAGCTTAAGCTGCCGATCTCAAAGCCTCACTCTTGGGAAACTCAGCGCGGTCTTCTTATACAAGCTTGTCAGAAGAGCCCATAACTCCTTTCCTCGGCCTCAACAACCCCTCGTGTCTCGCAGAGAATGTCATTTTCGATTCATGAGATGTTATCACCATCCCTCTTCGTCCTAGTATAGCCAACGACGAGGACAAGGACCGGCTCATGAACAAGGAAATTCATCAGCAGTGGAGGAGCCGCAACTGCTGTAGCAAGCCAATGAGCAAGAGTCTCCGCAACTAAACAGGGCCATGTTTGGATCTCTTCAGTAAGTGACAGTTGCTGGACTGCCAACTTGACAAAGACCTGCCGTTTAGATCTTGGGATCTAGGGGTCAGTTAATGCTGCTTCAAGCGCACACGTCAGGGCGAGTGCCGAGATACCCGTCCTCGTCGGTGCCGAACTTCCGCGACAGACGGTTTGTATACCGGCAATGGCCCAACCCCATACTTAAAAGGCCCGAAGTGCTATAAAGCTGCGTTCTCGACTGAATCTCAAGAGGGAGATGCGTTGTATCAGAGAAGTGATGATGTCGACATGTTTTTAATTCGAAGAGTCTGGGGAAGTCGAAGTCGGGGAAGAGAAAGACTCGGGGTGGAAAATGGCATCCAGACATGCCTGATTCAGACACGGGACGGGCGAGCAACGCACCGTCGGTATCCGCCTAAACAATCCACAGTAAGACAGTTGACAACTTTCGCGTTTCCACAAAGCAACACCCACCAACTAGTCTATGACTTTCTTTGGTCGCAAGTGATGGAGAGAGCTCTTGCTCTATCCGCCGTCATCTCTAGAGTCTACGTCTGGACATTGGCTTTGACCAATTCGGTATCCTAAACGCAGATGGGTCTCTGATCCAGACTGATAGAAGACATGAGAAATAAATAAATAAATAAAAAAAAAACAAAAAGAGAAAAAAAAAGACGTATCATCCTCAACTCAAGGGCTACATTGGAGTGCTATCACCTGGTCATTTGGCAATGGAGAGCTCGATTGTAGATCTGGGGGCGGGTATCGCGTGCCTCAGACGCAGAGTCGCGGTTGGTCAACTCTCCTCTGCAACTTAAGGTTATTCGAGGAGTCTAATTGCCTGAGCAGAAATACCTCGGCGCCATCTTATGGATACAGATACAAATGGATGCAACCTATGTTGCACAACTTGAGATCTGATAGATGTTGTGAATCCTTCCAGAATATCTTCCCGATGGTGCCATCTTACGCGCCCGTCTCCCCTAGGTATGCCATTGTCGTCTTATCAAGGGTCTAGCTTTACGTTTCAGGTATCGGACTTGAAGAGCCGGCATATCATATCGAACAACCGGAATACCATCTCTTGTTCTCTTTCCGAAGGAACGTAGGCACCTACGTGATGACTGCAGAGTTCGATCTGCGACAACTAGGTACACATGGTGCAAAATAAAACGACAGCTGGACCTTTCTCGACTGACGAGCTCAGAGCCCAACACGTCAGCGACAATCCGAACATCTACCCTTCCTCGCGGACCCGCCTCCCGTGTACGAGAGCAAGGGCAAACCGAGATTCTCATTGCAACCGCCGCTGTTTTCGGCCTATTGCGAGATGCAATCACTTGATATACCCGCTTCTATGCTATACCTGAGCGTTGTAACAAATGCTCGTGGAAACGGCAACGGAAATGCTGAGGAGCAGACAGTCGGATAGTGTAAGTGCTTGTTGCTATATGACATCTGTCTCTGCTCCGTAGGACGATTTTCTAACTGCTTTGACTCTTCGTTGCATCAATCTTGCGAACTACACATGCAGAAGTCTGATGCATGACGCGTACAACGGAAGACATACCGCCATAATGAAGACGTAGGATGCGATCTGGACAATGACTGCAAGGCATTATCCGGGGCTTACATGTAGTGAAGCAGTCTCTATCGCGAACTGGAGATTAGCCTCTAGGGCATGAGATCAATTATGTTCATTGCACGCTGTCGATTTTGTTTTTTGTGAGTGGTTATCTTGGCTAACTGTTTCTTCTCGAACTGGGTCGTGAAAAGCAGCTACAGACTTGGTCGAAGCAGGTATTTGTCTCTCAACTGGCCGCCTGATGAAGTTCTGCATCATTCTGTATACAGAATAGCTAGTCAGGACATTATTGAGATGATCGCAATGTCGTTGGATGACTGAGGGACGATTATGCCAGTCTGGTTGAGTTGTTCTCATATGGTGTCAACGCATTGGCAGTGGTCCTATATCAATCTCACTACCTATACATCGTATGCCTGAAGACATCCCGGATTGCCTTCCTACATTTACATGCTGTTGATAGGCTCCATCCCTTTACGCAATCTATGTAATTCATGCAAGATAATATTACAAGTTCTCATGGTGCATCGCCTGATATACGCATACATCGTATCCTTTCACAACTCTCTTCATTGGCGTAGCCTAGGCGAATGAGATGAACATGCTCCGAACTCGAAAGACAGGCTAGTCGCTCATTCTCAGCGACATCCTCTTTTCCCCAATGAAAGACCGCTGTCAAGCAGCAAAAAAAGGAGTGTATAGACAAGCTGTCCATGGGGTACCCATGTAAGCTGTACATGGACATGTACAGGTGGTCTTTAGTGCGAAAAAAAAGATGACCTGTACATGCACAGCTCAACTTCTCGTTACTATTCTAACCACAGTTAAGCCACACTACAATCTACCTTCTATACAGCCTTCCGACCGGACTGGACCTGGTCCTGCAGCAGATGCCCTGTGTGTGCACTGCGAATTGATTCCAAATACCTTCCAATTCCGACCGACCACATCGCAACCTGGAATCAACCATATCACAACCACCTACTAAATACATGCCTACTACCCTATAATAATAAGTATATTCTAGCTAGCTAGCTGTAATATAGTTAATTAGCTGTAATATAGTTAATTTACTGTAATGCAGTTAATTGGCTATAATGTGGTTGATTGTAATGTGGTTGATTGTAATGTGGTTAATTGCGATGTGGTTGATTGCGATGTGGTTGATTGCGATGTGGTTGATTGCGATGTGGTTGATTGCGATGTGGTTGATTACATGTATGTGGTCGGTCGGAATTGGAAGGTATTCAGAATCAATTCGCAGTGCACACACAGGGCATCTGCTGCAGGACCAGGTCCGGTCTGGTTAGCTGTGGCTGTACTATGTGGCTGTGTGTTTTGCGCTAGAGATAACCTGTACATGCACAGCTTGACCTTTTTCTTTATGCTAGAGACCACCTGTACATGTCCATGTACAGCTTACATGGGTACCCCATGGACAGCTTGTCTTACCAGTCCAAAAAAAGCCGTCCAATCGTGACATATAGCCAGATTAACGAGGCATACCGCTATGTATGGTATAAACACACACACACACACACACCCAGGCAGCAACGAGACATGCCGCGAGAAGAGCCCAACTGAAAACAAAGCCCACAATCCGCTTGCCCGCTCCAACCGCGCGGTTTTGCTGTCTTTAGGCCCGAAGTGCGAGTGGAACCAGACATACCATACCGGACGGACAAACGTCTCCCGTGGCACAATTGCGGCGAACTAATCGGGGGGGAGGGGACCCTTCAATGGCAATGTGGTGCTTTTAGCTTCCCTCTTGGAACCATGCAAACCCTCCGCGATACGAAGCCATTCCCGGTTTTCCATCACTTGCAATGGGGGCTGCCACACAGCAAATGGAAGAGGAAAGTCAAGCCGCTGATCAACCTAAAGCGCAGCGAACAAAGGACCATCATTCATGAAGGAGAGTCCAGTCACTGTTCGACGGCGAGACGGGGTCGAACCCCTGGACGCCACCAAAGATAGCACCGGAGACCGTTGTGGACCGGACTGCAGAGCGGGCTCTTCCCACGGGGTCCCTTTGGAGACTTTTAATATCGCGCTCGATGGGCTTGTTTTGCTCATGGTGCAATTGGCGGCGCCTGATCTATGTATGTATTCTCGAGAAACTGCTGCTTGTGGCCCAACATGCGCCTGAGTGGCTGCTGACGCATAATGCCGTTATGAACAAGCCGTGTCTAGAGGGCGAGGGCGAAGCTTCTCGGAGCTGTATCCGAGCACGTGGGACGTGTTGGGCAATTGCATGATTTCGAGACTCTCCCAACACAGACGCCGTTGTTACTTCTCTAGTGTGTTGCTTCGGCATGTTGAATTGTGCCACGTGAGTAGCAGGTCGTAGGAAAAAGTATTACTCTCTCCTAGTAGTACCAGATTTAAGAAGAGTGCATTCGCAGGGTGCTGTTGGTCGAAACATACTTCATGCGAGCTGCTTTCGTCTACACTGAAGACTGCCAATCTCCGACATTATCGGTAAAGTGGCTTTGGCCATGAATCGTCGTGAGTAGCATATTGACGAGGCCCATCTGTAAGTCAGTTCCCGTCTTTGGAGATGTGCGGCTAAACCAATAGCCGAGCGCTGTCCGGGACCACCTGCATCTGCCCGTATAGCTTGTGGGAGAATCTAGGCCATGAAGAGTCAGGGACAGCTCATTACATGATAGTAGCAGTAAGCCTAATGGATGCCAGAAGTTCACCAATATACTTACGAGTATCGGCACATATTGCATGTCCATAAGCTATAACCATATGGAAGCGTATTATCAGGCAGAGAATCGCAGATTCGGATACGCCGCGGAATGACATTCAACCTCTCAGTGGATCAGACTACTATTTGCATCTCTACAAATACTGGAGGCGAAACAAGCGCCAGCGTGAAACGATTACGAAGCCCCCCCCGGAAAACCTGGAGAACGACTATCCGTACCGTGTGAAGCTAATGCTGGCCTCCTTACCCGAAGCTCACCGGTGAACTCGGGAAGCTCTAGGGTCCCTTGAGCAGTCCAAGTGGATATTTCCCATGTCTTGGACCTAAGAATGGCTTGTATGGTTATCGTAGAG